CTCGGCAATTATTAAATATTCATATGCTTAGAAGCAAATAAAATTCAGCTGAAATACTCTTTATTTAATTAGTGAAATAGTTTTTTAAATAAATGTAAATAATAAACTTGGTTTAATAATACGATTTTATGTAATAATCAAACAAAAGTATGTATATATATGTATTTCGTCTTCAATAAGTACTTAAAAACAATTATTTTATCAATTTGTATTAACATTTTGTTTATATAAAGTACAACAAAAAGTCGTTTTCCCTCGGGAAATATTTTGAGTTCAGGGAATTTTTATATCCTAACTACTTTATTAGTTTGTGTTTCAGTGAAAAGCCAATAAACATACAAAAATTCTAACAATTTTCTAATATTATTAGTAGAAAGTCATTTAAATAAATTTCAGCAATTTCGCTCTCATTTCTTTTCGTATTTATTTGAACTTAATAAAAATAATTCCGTCTGAATACAATGAAAATTCAACTAATATATGTTTGTTTAAATGAAAAACTCTTCTATAGTATAGTGTACGTTTTAATCTAATGCAACTAAGTCTTTATATCAGACGTCGGAAATGTTAATGTCTTGACCATTAGGGGAAATGCCGCGCCCTTCAGACCCACCCTCACCAGGTTTGAAGGGCAGATATGGTGTTAGAACATTTAGGTGAAATTTATATTAGTCGGTACACTACGCGTATTATAAGTTTGGTTAGGTAGAGAAGAGCTTGGACGGTGGAGGTGATCGTTTAACGCGCGTTAGATAGGGTCCCTTAAACCTACACCTGGGTCACAAGTCCCAGTCACTGTTGAAGCTCCTCTCACTACAACGACGGACCCGGCACACGCACCGTGAATACATTGAATGATGAGGAGTTTCGTCTCTATGTATACATATTCGGAAACGGTTCTGTAAATGTTTAATGTAATTTTTTTCTCAGTAAACTTATTATATAAGGCCTGTTAGGATTCCTCTCGTTACTCTTATCATAGTTGTCATTCCTTCTACTTATCAGCTAAATGCCGTCCACATAACAAAGTGTTAAACTGAGCATGACTTGCTTTGATCCTAGCTGAGTGTATCTAGAAGAATTTAAACTTGAGGTTGTAATTTAAATTCTATTACAATATAAATAAAGATTAATTTCTTATTTATGTATTAACAGTCTTAAATCACTTAGACATTACAGCCTTTTCACAAAATAGAATAATACTATACACATATTATGTCATAAAGTCATTTGATTATTTATATTTAAATATCATGAAATACCTTCTCAAATTAAGTAAAAATCCTAAGTAAAAATACTACAAAGAGATTTTGATGCAGATAAACGATTTAGAGGCTTCACTTTCAACTGTATACTTCGAGTAACAAAATAACATATTATTACCACGAGTACGCATACTGGGTAATCACAGTGAATAGTAAATACATGTAGTAATAAGTTCACATGAATATAAAACTTGTTACTGTTCGTAATGCACCCATAGTAAGGTCACAGCTGAATGAGCCATTGAGACAACCAACAACACGTTTAACTCTCGACATCTTGAACACGCGCTGACATGAGATGAGGTGAAAATTTAAGCTTGTATGAAAACTATACACAATACTTGGCTTGATTTGGATTATATATGATTACATACTATCAAAACAAAATAATAATAATGTCTAAGACTAGAGTATTTCAAAAAACTAATATTTTCATATTATTATTCGTTTTTTTGTTATTTCAACTACATACTCTCAAAGTTTCGGTAACTTTGCACCAACCGTGATCACAAACAGATGGAAATCACATTTATTGGAGTATGTAGTTTAAAATAATTAAAAATTCGTAGTAAATTCAAAAATATTATATTGCTATGGACCCGGCACCTACACGGTGAATCCATTGAATGATAAGAGGTTTCGTCTCTGTCTAATTAAAACAAATTAATGTATTTCAAATATAGGAACGAACAAAGTCACGGGTAACATAGGCTACTTTCGTATAATATATATCATAACATTCAATTATGCTATAAAATAAAAAAGGAAACAATACTTATCAATGTAAACGTAAAAGGCGACGTAATTCTTACGTTATCCGTACGTAAGGCGTAATGCGAACGTGTCGCTATGAGAGGCGACACAAAAAACTATGAATGAATCAAAGTTGCGTGCTCGAGCCTTATATGGTGAGGACACGACACTCCTTGTACGAGACACGTGGGCTGATATATGAATATGTGGAGCGTATTATTGACACTAGATATACTTACACTAGTATAAGACCGCGGATTCGTTCACTATACTTAGAAGGCCGAGTGAGAAATGGACCTTAACTCTTTACCTTAAGGTGTTACTTTATTTAGTTTTGGTAAATTTTTGTTGACGCTAATCAAAAGATTATCGAGTTTCTCTGTATTAATGATTTTATTGTGAGGTCTACAAGTCATTTACTAGGGTAACCCATAAGAAAAATAGCTACATTTAAACCTATTTATTTACAATGTCGATTCCAGTATCACAATTAAAATAAATATGGTCTATTTCAAAGACCTTTTCTTGACAAAAGTTTCTTTTACCTTATAAATATTAGAATAAACCACATATAATATTTGGTGTTTCTCTATGATCAATGAAAAAAAAAAAACATTTTTCTATACATATATATATTTTTTTGATCGCTTTGAATTCCAAAAGAAGTGTTCTCCTTTTCCATATTATTCACGTAAAGTACTGACTCAATACCTATCAATACATGGCGTCATGACGTCACTGGTCAACCTGTCTGTCTGTCTACACCATATATCTCGAGAACCTTCATTAGTATTCACAATATCCGCATATAGTGTAGTTTAATATTATCATTTAATTTCATTAATTAATAAATTATTTTTATTTATTTAATAAATTAATCGGTTAAAGGAAAGTTTATTGAAATTATTTTGCGTGTATATTTCTTTATACCGAAAAATAATTTGGAAATAAACTCTCGTAGAAACTGAGTTCGTAAAGATTCTGTAATTAATACATTTACCACGTGCTTAAACCGACATAAACGTAAGCAGTATATGCTTTATTTCGTAAATCTTCAAACAACATAGTATTATGGGCATGTGTATAAAAAACTTCAAATTCGACATCGAACATCTCGTCTTAATAATCACGGTTGCTGTAAAGTAACCGAAACGTCGGGAGTATGTAGTTTATACAAAAAAGAAGTCGCGTAGTATAATCCGAAAAATATTAGGTTCATATGTACAAATCGGAGTTTAGTTATGCAAACTTGTAGGAAGGCTATGCAATAATATTTCTTTTCTATTATATACATCCCTACTAAGATTATAAATGCGAAAGTAACTCTGTTTGTCTGTCTGTCTGTTACGCTTTCACGCCTAAACCAGTGGACAGATTTTAATGAAATTTGGTACAGAGATAGAGTTGACCTTGAAAAAGAACAGGATAGTTTTTATCCCAGACTTTTGAAAGGTTCTCTCGGAAACGCGATATAACCGAACTTCACACGGGCGAAGTTGCGGACGGAAAGCTAGTTATATATAAATGAAACTTTTGTACTTATTTTTAAAATATCCTATTAATTTGATTCATTAACAAAGATAAGATCAAAAAAAGATACATCTTTTCTTTCTTTTTATTTATTCAATCTCTTCATTGAGTTTCGCTCTTAATATTTTCTTGATTTATCTTAATAATATCTTATATTTATTTATAAATACCTAATAATATAATACAATTATTTAACCAGTAAGACTTAGCTTCTGTCGCATTGCAGTTGGCTGGCTATCAACAGGTCGCTTACTACAAGTTACTTCGTCACACTGCGTACTACACGTTTGTCGTTTCGTATTTAGTAATAATATATGATTCGTAAATAAAATACTTAATCCTACCTTAGTAAAGGGTTGTTATCATTTGTAACGAAAAATTATATATATGTTTAAATGAAGAAAATTTAAATGAAATTATGTTTATTCTTCTGTAATGTGATAATACTTTAAGGTGAATATACTTTTTATAGTGTACTTATTATTATAATATTTATAAGATATATTTTATAAAATAGAGAGAGAGAGTTGTTTTCATAACTTATTGAGCATATATATGTATGAACGCAAGTAATTCCGGGGTAAATATATAGTCTAAGTAAATCTTTTCCCGTTACAATCTATCACTATGTACATATTACTATTTATTCATTTTCCTAGAACAAACGATAAGAGGGTCATCTAGAAGTGAGTCACACGAGAAATGTGACGTCAAATATCTTAATGCAGTCTTGGTTAATGAGCTTATGTGCATAAATAATAAATATTATACATCAAAAAAGGCGTATTATATACAATTCAATTATGTATCAGATTTTTTTATATACATATGTAAAAGGCATTAATTTAAATAGAAAGTATATAATGAAAAATTTATTAACATGATCAGGATTCAAACTTGTGATCTTTGGAAGATCGTGGTCGATTGCTTTTCCATTGGAGCTATAAGTAACTCACACACCCTGTTATGAGATGTAAGAATGTAATTTAAACATTTAGTGAATATTATAATGTTAATAAAAATATTATATGATATCAAAATGTTCGAAATTATAAGTCAAAGTTTCCTCACGATGTTTTACGTCTGTCAGTGGTGTCTAAATACTCTAAGAAAGTATATATGACTCTTAAATATCACATTGCTACTTGCCAGGATCGAACCCGCGCCCTCATGCATGAGAATCTGGCGTTTAACCTCGACTTTTTTTATATAAAATTCTAAATAAGTGTTAAATTACTTTATTTAGATTACAATATGTATAATTTTAAGTTTTTCTAATGTAAACAAAAAACTACAACTTTTTTTCTTTCAGACAATGTACGTATATTTTGATTATCTAGTAGCAAATCGTTGAAACTAAAAATCCATATAATAATTAATTAATTGATGAGATTTATTTGTAATGAAATTATTTGTCAGTATACAGTACGTAATATTTATTTAATGTTGTAGGTATCTCGCCTGGTCATTCTCCATGAAGAAGCTGAAGATGGTAACGCCATGCCGGACCTGGCGAGGCCCGTACAGGCCGTCTCACTGGCTGTCAACAACCTCGTTAAGGTAAATTAAATTATCATTAACTTGGAAAATGGATCTCTTAATTGTGTTTTAATACTGACTCTAATGATCGTCTATATTCATGAAAATTACATTGCATTATATACACTAGACAACAGACAAGACACCAGTAATGTTATAGTATTTGTGTTGCAATAAAAACTATTGGTAATGATTTAGTTCCTTCCAAATGATAATAGATGGCGATACGTGTTCTAAGTGAAATGTTTTTTCAAAGCTTGTCAATATCGGATCACGTATACTCGCAATTATTAAATCTGACTTACTCTGATACATCGCGTGCTTTTTATTATTTATAGTATAAAAATTAAGTACAAAATCCTTTTAAATATTGTCCTTAACCTATATTAGGTCGTCATATTATTAAAGCACTTTATGTCTCATGGGATTACACTTGTGTTATGTATTTCCATTTATGTTCATTTCATCCAATGAAGTTTGATGAGTTTTCTTTTAATATTCTATTATATTTCATTCAATCAGAATAATAATAATAATAATAATAATAATAATTTATTTCAGATCTTAATCCATATTGTGTTAGTAAAAATTAAACTTAATAAGCTAGTTGGTTAGTAAAGTTACAAACATATATTTTATTTGACTACATGGAGCCATATCCAATGTGGATAATGCAGTTAGAGTGTTCATTCAGTTTTATATTCAAGAGTTAGTAAGTTTGTCTATTATAATAGCCTTGGAAGCTTATGAGCTGGTCATAATGAAGATGAGTATAACAATGGGGATTGAGGGTTTTAGATTATTCTTCATCTTCCGATAGTTTCTTCGAAGTGTACTTAAAGACTCACTGAATGTAAAATGCTTTGAAAATAATAAGTTCAATTACGTTTGTTATAACCCTTTTAAAGATATATGTATTCAGCCCTGATTTGACAAAATTTTTTTAGCATAGGTTTGTGCCACTTCGAATTTTCATCTCCATACATTTTTTTATTTTATTTATTTAAAAAACTTTATTGTCAAACTACACACGTAGATACAATAGGTGGACTTAATGCCTGAAGGCATTCTCTGCCAGTCAAACCTTAGGAAAAGCAGAAAAACATGAAGACGGTTGCAGTATGTAAAAGAAAAATATACATATAAATTTCTATTGTTATATAAATAATATTTACACATATATATAGATACATATACATACACATACAAATACATATACATACACATACATATACATACACATACATACACACACATACCAATAGATATATACTATATACCAAAACAATAATAAAAACAGAGACTTAATACAGATTCTGAGCAAAATGTTCCTGTACACGACGCCTGAAAATTGCCCTTGTAGGTGCCTTTCTTAGTTCTAATGGAAGTTTATTCCACAGTCTGATAGATTTTACATAGAAGGAGTTAGAGAGGAAACTAGAGTGGTGGCTGGGAAAAGAGAGGAGGAGAGAGTCATTAGAGCGTAGCTGTCGAACATGATTGTCACAGAGAAATTTAAAATTATCTTTTAAGTAAGGAGGAGATTGGGGATCAAAAAGAATGGAGAAAAGGAGACACAATATACGTAATTCTCTGCGTTGGCGGATGGGAAGCCATTTGAGCTCTGCTCGACAGTGAGAGATGTGGTCAAATTTACGAAGACAAAAGATAAAACGTAAGGAGTTATTTAGGAGACGATCAAGTTTGTTCAAAAGGGTTTCATTGAGATCAGGATAACACACATCAGCGTAATCTATAATGGGAAATATAAGGGCTTGTACAAGTAAGATTTTAGTTTTAATAGGTAAAAAATTTCTTAAACGATTAAGGCATCTTAACGTGGCAGTGACAGAACGACTAACTTCAGAAATATGCACATTCCAACTTAATGTAGAATCAATATGAAGTCCAAGATCTTTAACGTGGTGGAAGTATGGAATAGTCGTATTGTTAAAAACGATAGGTGACAAAGAGGAAATATTTAACTTAGACATGAGACATGAGCTACCAACAATGATCGCCTGACACTTAGCAGGGTTAACTACAATGCCAAATTTATTAGACCAGTTGCAAACGTAAGAAAGATTTTGATTTATTTTGATTATAGCTGTTTCGATATTGTCTATCTCGGAATTAGAGTATAATTGCAAATCGTCGGCGTAAAAATGATAAGAACAGTCGAGATGTAATGAAAGGAAATTTATAAAAAGAGAAAAAATAATAGGAGATAAAGTGCCACCTTGCGGAACGCCAGCAGAAAGATCAAGCCACTCGGAGAGGGACTGATTCAGCCTAACCGCTTGCCGGCGGCCGCGAAGATAAGAGGAGAACCATTCCAGAGCTGATGAAGAAAATTTCAAATGCTTGAATATGGCCAGGACGATATCATGATCAACCATGTTAAAAGCATTGGAAAAATCAATTAAGACCAAAATGGTGATCATTCTATTCTCCATGCCAACCCGAATATCCTCAGATACTTTGAGAAGAGCGGTAGCTGTGCTATGGCCTGGTCGGAAGCCAGACTGATATGAGGTGAGAATATTATTATTGTAAACAAAGGAAGAGACTTGCTTGTAAACACACAGCTCCACAATTTTCGATAGAAAAGGAAGAATAGAAATAGGTCTGAAATTATTTAGTTGGGAAGGATTGGGAACTTTAGGAAGTGGAATGATATAAGCTTTACGCCACAAGGAAGGGAATTCTCCAGATGAAATGGAAAAGTTTACAATATGAGTAATAGCCGACAGTACATAGTCCAGAATAGGTAAAATCATAGGTCGATTGATACTATCGACACCAGTAGCATTAGATGTTATTGAGATGATTATTTTACGAATTTCTTCATCAGACACTGGAGAAAGGACTAAGTCGTTAAAAGGAAGAGAGGCCATGGATTCAATCTCAGAAATAGTTGATAATTTAGTATTGGGAGATAACGGAGAACTGGAAGAAAAATATCTGTTTAATGTATCAGGAGAAAACGAAGAGACAGCAATGTCTTCATTCCGTTTATTTATACCTAGTGTTTGAAGAAATTTCCATACTGAGGCCGAAGATGCATTGCTAACATTAACGTGACAATAGTGGCGTTTGGCTGTTCTTACCATTAGATTACACCTGTTGCGAGCTACCTTATACAAATCCCAGTTTTCTTTGCTCCTATCACGCTTAAACTTGCGGAAAGCGCGATCGCGTCGTGACATGGCCATTCGGACTTCTTTGGTAATCCAAGGAGCAGGTGGACGTCTGATCTTAACAGGTCTCAAAGGTGCGTGTATATCGAACAGTGATAAAATAGACAAGTTAAAGTGAGAGACTTTGTCATCTACTGTCGATGAACGGTACATCAGAGACATGTCCAGCGATCTTGCATCTTCTTTCAAAGCCTCAAGATCAATTTTAGCTAGGTTTCGCATCAACACTATTGGAGCTTTAGCTTTAGGTGACTTAAGCTTGTATGATAAATATATAAGGTCGTGACGAGAAAACCCGGGAGCTGCAAGTTGACCATATTTAATCACAGAATTTTTAGAAGAAACTATGATAACGTCCAACCAAGTGTCAGGCGAGTCAGAGTTATGATGTGTAGGTTCAGAGGGAAGAATGTTGAAATTCACCGAATCTATGAGTTGGGAAAATTTAAGAGAACGTGGAGTGGTTTTCAACAGATCCGTGTTTAAATCGCCCATTATAATGTGATGTGAGTAATCCGAAGAAAGGGATTCCAGGATAGGTTCAAGTGAGGAGAAATAGTCAACAGTAGGAGGACAATAGACAACTCCAAGAACAGCTTTTACACCCCTGAGACGGATTTCAAGGAATATAAATTCAGCAGAAAACGAGAAAGAAGAAGGAGAAGTAAAAAGAACAGTATAAGCAATATCCGAACGAAGGTAGATAGCAACACCTCCTCCCCCTTTGACTACCCGATCGTTCCGAATCAGCACAAAACCGGGAAGACTATATAAGGTGGAATTAAGTGAGGGTTTCAACCAACTTTCGGAGATCAATACTGCGTCTACAGGGGCGTATGAAAAGGCTTCAAGAAAATCAGAGAAATGAGAAGGTAAACTTTGAGTGTTAAGATGACAGACATTAAAAGAGCTAGGAGAGTTAAGAAAAGAACTACATAGCAAAGTCCCAAGCGTCTCAGGAACATGGAAAGAATCACCATCTGTGTACGAGGAACAACTACTACTGCATGCTGATAAAAATACATCATCATCTGTATCAGACATAATACTACAATTATATTATAAATAAGATAAAAATACGTATACGATAAATTAATTATTAAATAAATGGATTTAAATATATAAGTATAAAAAAAAAAGAAAAAATAGGTATATATAAAAAAACAAAAAAAAAAAGAAGAATAATAACAATTATTCCTGCTTGTCCCGCCAGCTGACGGTTACATTAAAACTGTACTAATAATTAAATACTAATGATAACAAAAAAAAATATATATATAAATATAAAAAAAAGTTAAAGAAATAAAAAAAAATTACACACTAAACTTTAAATGACCAGAGCAGTAGACCTTAAATGACCTTAAATTACTTAAATTACATTTAGAGTCAATTGAATTTAGATTATTATACCAAAAGAATAACGCATCCAGTGCAATTGAAATAATTATTTATTTTACTTAGACTTGGTTCAGATAAAATCAATACATCGAAAACTAGACTCTATAACTCTTATGTAAGATCCATTTTATAATAATGCGAAATAACTATTACTTAAAAACTCAGGTGGGCCATGAGACCATAGAATCAGCTGATGACAACTTGCTCCGGGCCGATATGCCGGGGGCTTTACACAGGGTTGAGGGCGCCGCGACGTTACTACAGCAAGCATCAGACATGCTAAGAGGAGACCCTTACTCAGGACCAGCCAGGTGAGAATAAATGGACGAAAAAGACGAACACGTGGATATTGTACCTGTTATTTTTGTTTAATTATACCTTCACATATGAGTTATAATTAAACAAACGTCAGTTACTCAAAATCTTATGTAGTTTATAGTGTTATAGGTAGTATATTTATGTACTAAAAGTTCTGAGTGTACTCAATGAATGCCGGTGTACGGATAAACCCGACAGGGATTTTGTAACACCGTAAAAGAAATTTGAAATGTATTATACAAATGAATAATAAATAAATAAATAATTTAAAAATTGTTATTTATTTATTTATTGGAATGGCGTCGAATTGTCAAGCGAGCCACCACTACTCAAACTGATGACCACAACCACTCTGTAAAGAGTGATACCGACTGAGAATATATATTTAGAAATAATCTTTACATAATATAATAGTTAGATATTTCTTGCAGTATATATGATAGTAAGATTTGTCGTAATAAACTCTAGCCAAACTAATAAACTAGCCAAGCTAAACTAATGTTCCTCTATGATCCTGCATCTTTATGGATTTATGATAATGAATCCTAGGAATTAGAATAAAATATGTTTGATAATAATGTCTCGTCTTTAGGAAAAAGCTGATCGAAGGTTCCCGAGGCATCCTCCAAGGCACGTCAGCTTTGCTGCTTTGTTTCGACGAGTCCGAAGTTAGGAAAATTGTCAAGGAGTGTAAAAAGGTAGGCAACAAATGGACTTGAAAATTAGATTTACATTTGTAGTCCTTATTTATTTTGGGTCTGTATATGCCAGCTGATTGTATAATGATGAATTTACTTTTCAGGTGTTAGACTATCTTGGTGTTGCAGAAGTAATCGATACTATGGAGGACCTCGCTCAGTTCTTACGAGATATCTCACCAGCTCTCTCCAAAGCAGCGAGGGAGGTATGTTTTTTTTTATTGGCTTTATGATGAAGTATATTGTAATGTATTGACCTTGTTTTAATTACCTGTTTCGATGGAATTATTAAATGCATTGTTTAATTAAAGTGTATGCAAAAACAACTATATAATATGTTTTAATATCATCAATTATGAAAAAAGTTTGAAGACATAACTATATTATAAATAATCTTACGTTATTTTGGTATGTTTATATAGAGGTTTTCTTACAAAACTGACAAAATATATAATACAAACACTAAATATGCCTAGTCTACGAGTACTAAAACTGTTAAAAACTTTTTTATGAATTAAAATTCATATACTTTTAATCATTTATTGTCTAATGGGTTAATCTTGCTGAAAGTGATACAAGTACCAAATAGTATCAAATAGACGAGTATATAAATTGTTGCATCACCCACCACCCCAGGTGGCGGCGCGTGCTGCTGAGCTGACCCACCCTCCTCACGCGGACACACTCGCCCGCTGTCTTGAGAGTGTCAAGCGACTGGCTCCGGTACTGATTTGTGCCATGAAGACATACATACATATACTCTCAGAAGGTGAGAACGAATGTGATCAATGTAGGGTCTTAATAAGATTGTTGGGTTGCATAATTATATGAAAAGAAAATATCTGTTCTCCACAAATCACAATCAGGGTTTGAAAAGCATCCACAACATTCCTTATTCCTCCTACTATATTCCATATTCCTCCTTATTAGTTAAAATAACCTTTGTTAAATATTCTGTGCAATAAAGAGTATATATATGTTGCAGATGACTAAGGGCAACTACCTTCAATCTAGTAGGCCGTCTGCCCGTTTGCCTCTTTAGGTCATGTAAAAAGAAAATGTTTATTTTAATGGCATCAAATCTCATTAACTATTCCTCAAGAAGCGATGTTCGTATAGTATTGATGAATCAATTTAATCCCACCTACCTGAATAAATGAGTCAGGCTTAAAACACATCGGGTCGGCGGGACAAGTCCTAAAAAAGTTGTAAAGCAAACCCATATAACACAATAGTGTCTTCTGTCCACAAATATAATACACAAGTTAGTGGATTTACAAACAGCAGCAGCAGATAAATTACGCGGGAAAATTCACATTAGAATTTTATGTAATATAATATAAATTAAAAAAGCATTCACGTTGACGTTTACTAATTAAAAACAGCATTTAAACAATAGCAATTTGAAAATAGAAGATTGTATATCATATATATGTATTTCAACAATACATATGGTGTTATATAATACCATGTATATAAAGCACAAGGGACACTATTGTTTCTCTATGACCTTGAAGTGTCAGTGAGTCAGTTTAATCAGTGTTTGAGCATCGACTAATTAAACATGTATTGTTTACTTACAATTCTCAGGAGGCAAAGGTATTGAAGATGCGGCCGAGAACAGGAACTATCTGGCTCAAAGAATGGCTGATGAGATACATGAGATCATTAGGTATGAAATTTACTTTTAATATAGGATTCAGAGACATTCATATTGCATGGAAATTTTTATTTATTTTATTTTATTTAATAGGAAGCCAACGTGATACACAAAAACTTATCACTTACAGGCTAACTCAACATGGATTACATAATGTTTAGATCTTACTCCTAAATTTACTAGATACAATAAAAAATATGGTGAAAAAAAAAGTATATAACAACAAAAAGGAATAAAAAATAAAAATAATAATTGAAAAACAGCTATATAAAACAAAACTTAATTACCAAAAAAAGTTGTGACATGACATATTTACTAAATTGGTCCTAGAAAATCTACTTTTAAAATTGTAGTATGTTGTATGTCTGGCATTTTGTCTAGGAACTACAACATTAATTCTAATAGATCAGGACAGTCGATAACATTGGATATAATTCTATGAAAGAAACACAGGTCCAGCATATCTCCGCGATCTACCAAAGAAATAATATGTATGGTAAAAACTGACAGCTCCATCTATCATCAGTAGCACGGAGTTTCATACTACGCACAATTTTTACGTGTAGTTCTCTCGGAAATTACTTGTAGTTCAGTAACAGTAAAATCTCGTGGGATTTCTTTATGTATTATACTCTATATGTTATTCTAATGATCAATATTGTTGTAGAGTTTCATTAAAATCAACTCCGTATTTTTTGCATGATATAGTAATAAACATATCTCCATATGAACGTGCATACAAATTTTAGTCTTTATTATATACATAATATTTTCATGGTTTTGACTTCTAAAGTTAATTTAGATAATTTAAGCCAGTATTATGAAAATATATAATATAAATGTACTTCATGTTCTGTATACAGGGTGTTACAATTGACGTCGTACGTGGAGGACGGCGGTGAGAAAGACAACATAGCCGTGTTGAAGGCTCTACAGAGTCTGGTGCATAGTAAAGTGCTCGCCGCTAATGAATTCCTTGATGTCAGTTTATTTCTATTCATATATGATTTATATCGAAACCTTATACAGCCTTTTTAGGTTTGGATTACTGTAAAACTCAGAATAAAATATACTATCTCGCTTTCTTGGAAGATAATAAAATAATTAAGACCGAAATATTATAAAATGGTTTATCATAATAACTTTTTTATTCTTCGTCATCTTAAATCTATTTGGAACTCAGAATAATGTTCTATTTTCATATCAAACATCTAGACAAAAACTGTGTCTATATCTCTCTCTCTCACAATAATAATAATCTTAATCTTTGTTTATATTAAATTTTGTTACATCTTTCATACAGGACCCGGAAACCCAGCGGACCAGCGCGGGCGAGCGAGCTCTACGAGCAGCACTCACGGCCGCCTCACGAGCAGCCGATCACACAGACACACACCTCGCGGATAGACTACGACGAGCTGCCCGGTACACACACACACACACACACACACACACACATACACATGCACACGCGCGCTTCTGCACACGAACATACATACATAGATACATCGTAACCCGTAATTTTATGTTAAAAACACACACACACACACACACTTTTGTATTTAACACCATTTGCTTTGCTTTTTTTTTCCTTTTCTTTTTGTTCTTAATTGTATGCTCGAGTGTAACGGTAAAACAGTAAATTTGTGTAATCCTTAATTGGCCTTGTTTATAGCTATATTGTTACTATTCTAAAATTACAGTAACGCTGTTGGATTACCAATAGACGAAAATAAAACTAGAAATACTAGTAACGTACATTTACACACGCACATAATGTAGTAGAACCCATTCATTGACACTCGCTGTAGGAGCACACACATACACATACACATAATGGCCTCGACATACGAGCATACACGCACACACTGTACATTAACAGCTAAAGACAAAATATTAGGGTGTCCCATAAGTTTCTTCCGCGCTACGCTATGAATGACTCTGACTGGCTATGCTTATATAAACATGCAGGCATATCTCTTAGCCGTTTATGGCATCGGTTTCAGTCGTCCCAGAGCTCTTTCAAAGTACGTTTCGTTGGTGACAAAGCCTCTTTCAAAAAAAAAAAATCTGCCCCGTTCAATATGGAGAACCAAAAGAAGCATTTATGGCATGTTATGTAAAATTGCTAAAAAAAAAGGCAATAGTGCAAAGAACACTGCAGTCGAGATTTGCACCGTTTACGGGAGTGGTACTCGTACTACGACCATTAGGATCGTCCGCAATTGTTTTAAGAAATTTAGAGCCGGCAAATTTGATTTACAAGATGAAGACCGCAGCGGCCGCCCAGTAACGACGGATGCGGACCTTATCAAAACTGTGCTCTCTGAAAATCCGCGAGATAGCGGATGACACTAACATTCCCAAGACAACGGTACATAAGTATTTGATCAAGATGGGATATGCAAATCGGTATGAAGTTTGGGTTCCACACCTATTGACGGAGACCGGCCTTATAAACCGCGTCTCTACGTGCGATTTGCTTCTTCGTCGTGTCGTCGTGATGTTCGTGAGACAAAAATTATTACAGTTCGATTGGAACGTTCTACCTCATCCTCCGTACTCCTCAGACCTTGCTCCTTCCGATTATTACTTGTTCCTCTTCTTAAAAAAATATCTCCGTGGTAAATCTTTCAAATCCATAAGCGAAATAAAAACGCACACAGACGAATATTTTGCAAGTAAGCCTCAACAATTTTGGAAAGAGGGCATAATGAGGCTTCCTGAGAGATGAAAGAAGGTTATAGAACAGAACGGTTCATATACATATAACACAATAAATCAACCTCAAACAATAAATATCGTGTATTCGTTTCGCATCAAAAAAAGGGAAGAAACTTATGGGACAACCTATATAATTATGCTTTCACTACCATTAATTATAATTTTGTAACATAAATTTCTAGGAGCGGCGGCATCAACGCAGACGTGCTGTGTGATGAGCGGCAGTATGGACGAGGGAGGGAACAGAAGGTATGAACTAGAACAGTGTAGTGAAATAATACAAGAGATACATATGTAAACTTATTAAAACTACGAATGACATTTTAATCTTTATTTTTGCATCCTTTTCTTAGCTAACCTATTCTATTTTCGATCCCTTTCACACAATGATTAATCTTGCATCTCTCTCTTTCACACACAAACGGTTACACTTCATCGTATATTAACTGCATAACAATTGACAGATAATATAAAAAATGTTCAGACAGATAATAATTATTCTCCTTACACATATACTATATACTGAATACATAATATACTGTAATACTATATACTGAACACGAATAACACACAGGCGCTGAGTTTAGCCGCGGAGTTGAAGACTCAGCTCAGAGACATACAGGGGGCTGTAAACGAGGGAGTACGGGCGGCTGAGAAGATACAGGGAGGGAAGACTATAGCTGCCAGGTATATATATCTTTATATATATAATTCTTCTGTGAGTGTGTATGTCACTGAACTTCTCTCAAACAACTTGACCGTCTGTGATGAAATTTTTTGTGTATTCAAGGGGATCTGGGAATGGTTTAGATTCACAACTTTGTCCGCTGGCAAAGTTTTTTTAATTAATTTTTAATTTTTTAGTAGTTGTTGATACTAACGTTTTTTTGACATTAGATTTGACAACTAACTAATATGTCAATCATTCTGTCGCACTTCAAAACATGGAGATTTATGGCTTTAATAGGTAAACACCAAAAATATAAATTAAAAAACGTAGCAGATATTTCTTGATTATAGGGCGATACGAAGTTCGCCGGGTCTTCTAGTATACAGGGTGACTGGTGAGTTACTATCAATATTTAAGGACGTGGTAGTTGACGATCATATATGACAAAATAAAAATTAATATAACATAAATATTAATAAACTTGTAAGTAAAGTTAACCAAAAGTTATGTAATTAATTACGGATCGCGTGGATACCCTAGCTGCGTTATCGACACAAAACAGTTATGTACGTAGGTATATGTAGTTATCGCGCGGTAGTTTACCTACATCCAAACGCCGCGCGCCGCCGCGTGTTAGACCTTAGATAAACAAAAATGATCCATTTCCCTTCATACTTTAATCCTGGCTTAGGACAGGCAAAAATACCAAGATATTTCTTTCGTTTAAGCAACCAATTTATTGACTAGGTAAATGGTGTGACCTTGACACAAAAAAAAATATGAACTGTTTACCTATCTTGGTATTTCCGGCGTATTTAAAAATGGAATCATACTTATTTACAACAATTGTCAATCATTAAACTACCTATTTACCTACATAACTACACTAACCTTAACAAATGTTCAAAGTGAGCTCCTTCTCTTGTGATACACAGTTCGGCACGTTTACACATATTGTCTTTCACACGATTTAATACGAATGGGTCACTTTTAATAGTTTTGAAATCACTATTGATTTTTAATTTCAACTGCTCTCTGTTTACATACTCTGTAGCATACACAAGACGTTTCCTTGGAACGTCGTTCCTTGTGTTGGAACACGGAACTGTCCGAAGTCTCGTAATCTTTGATTAGCGTTTAAGATGACGCTGGCCGTAGGTACTCGACGATTGGGGAACATCTCCCGGTACAAATTGATTGCGCCCCGCAAGCTTTCATTTGCACGCGCATACGCATGAACCATGTCCAAGTATTCTGCATTTGTGTATTGAAAAGCCATATTTAATTACTAATAAGTAATAACGGGTCACACGCACACACGACAGATTATTATTAGGTATACGCGTAAGATCGATCGCTAGGCGCGCGCGCGGGAAGACGAACGTACGGACCTTACGGCGGCGCTAGCGCGACTAATAGCCGACTAATGGCCCGCTAGCCACGGGGCGGGGGTTGGGGAGTAGCGACACACTGGCGCCGGCAAGGCACGTGTCCAAACTTTATTTATTTATACGGAAATTTGGTCAAAAATTAAGTACCTATTTTTTTTACATAATTCGAATGAGAATCATGTACCGAGTATGCTCCTTAAATATTGATAGTAACTCACCAGTCACCCTGTATATGTATATATAATTCTCGTGTCGCGGTGTTAAACAGAGAAATTTTGTGAGGATATTAAGTAGTCAGTAGTAGTAGTATATTAAGTCTGAGAATCGACCAACATCTATAGGTCATAAGGGTTCTTCACCCTTACTTTTTTAATTTTTTTTTCGAACGACTATTTAGACACCACTGATAGATAAAGAAAAACATTTTGAGGAAGCCTTGACTTATATTCAAATTATAAGTTTGAAATCACCAACCCGTCTTGGGCAAGCGTATTAATTATAAATCTTCTCCATGTGAGAAGAGGCAGCTCAGCAGTGGGCTCTATTAGGATGATGATAATGTTCCCAAAGGAGATAGTTATCAATGTATTCCTCAGTGTCATTATTGGCTATATAATGTTATGTTATATTCAGGTTAGAGACCGCCCACAAGTGGCTGGTACACCCCGCGTGTGACCCTACCACCAGGGTCGAGGGTCAGAAGGCTATCAACAGTATCGTGTCGCAGGGACAAAGGGTGAGCTCATATATATATATGATAAACAATAACATAAGTATTGATTGAGATAAACTCAGGAACTGAGTCTTTGTTCGGAGTGGGGGGACGGGGTTACGCTGAGCTTTCGGTTTCTTTACCTATATAAGTTGGCTTAAACCTAGCAATTTATAACAGTCACACTTTAACAGTTCCTTCTTATTTGGGATCTTCATACACGAGGTTAAAGTCACAAGGTAATTAGAAATATCTTCGCACATAAACTTAACTATCAACAAGTATCGAATTGCAAATTTAAAAAGAAAATTAAGAAAAAAAGAAAATTTATCTTTAATGAATCACGTAAACAATTATAATTATATTAGTATATACTAGCTTTCCGCCCGCAGCTTCGACCGCGTGGAGTTCGGTTATATCGCGTTTCCAAAAGAACCTTTCAAAAGTCTAAGATAAAAACTATCCTATGTTCTTTCTCAAGGTCAACTCTATCTCTGTACCAAATTTCATTAAAATCAGTTCAGTGGTTTAGGCCTGAAAGCGTAACAGACGGACAGACAGAGTTACTTTCGCATTTATAATATTAGTAGGGATAGTTATAATGATGATTATCACCATATCATGTATATTCACAGATAGCTGACAACCTCCACGGTCGTGAGAAAGCGGAAGTGATGCAGCTGTGCTCTGAGGTACAGAGGCTGGCCGACCAGCTGGCTGACCTGTGTATGAGTGGGGAAGGACACCACGAGGAGGCCGGGACACTCACACGGTGGGTTATAGACACCGGTGACAGATTGAGATGATGATGATGACGTCACGATGACTGTTGATGATGATCATGGTGTTTGTAGTGTATGTATCTATACAATAGATATAATACACTGTCTCACGTACCCCATAGAGGGGGTGGCATGCACTCGGCAGTCTAATGACTAGCGTGGAGCAGAACGGGGACGTGTTTCGCTCTAGGCGGGGTAGTAGTGAGACTGTCTCGTACGGGGTAGTAGTGGTCATACGAGGGGAGGTCAATAAGTTCGCGGAATGAGCGGGAAGGGGGTTGAAATTTAACACGAAACTATTTTTCCTTTTCAATATAGTCTCCCTTAACCTTAATACATTTTTCGGATCTCACAAATAATTTATTAATACATTCGAAAAAAATTATTTATCTTGGCTATCAAAATAGGCCGAAATTGCGGACTTGACTTCTCAAATATTTTTCACCGCAGCTTTTTTTTCATTTTTGAAAACAAATAATAGTCGCTGGGGACTAAGTCTAGACTGTAAGGTGGGTGGTGTAGTTTTTCGAGTCCGCATCGGTGAATGGCAGCCGTCGCAACATGGCACGTGTGGACTGTCGCGTTGTCGTGCAAAAGGAGCACACCTTTTGACAGCTTTCCTCTTCTTTTTTCCTTGATAGCTTCTTTCAATCTATCTAATAAAGAAGCGTAGTACTGTCCCGTTATAGTCACACCACGATCTTTATAATTGATCAGCAAAATACCTTCTGTATTCCAAAAGACAGTCGCCATGATCTTTCCGGCCGATTGTGACACTTTAAACTTCTTTGGAGGAGCTATGCCTTTTTTATGCCACTGTATCGATTCTTGCTTCGATTCAGGTTCATAGTGGTGAACCTAGGTTTCGTCACCAGTAAAAATCCGGTCCATAACTTCGTCCTTATTCTCTCCACAGAGCTTCAAAAACTGGCGAGAACACTCGACACGCTCGCTCTTTTGAAGTGGCGTGAGCATTCTTGGAACCCATCTTGCACTGACCTTAGTCATCCCAAGATGATGATGTAGGATATTTAAAATGCTTTTTTCAGATACTCTAACCATTGTTCCAAGCCGTTTCTTCTTCAACCGGGCATCTTCCAATATAAGTTTTTCTACTTTTGCGACGATTTTCGGTGTGGTGGCCTCAATCGGTCGTCCGGAGCGGGGGTCATCTTCAATGGACTCTCTCCCTTGTTTAAAAAGTCCATGCCACTTGTAAACCATGGTTTTACCAGGGGCAGAGTCCGCGTAAACTGATAACAGCTCTTCAAAAATTATCTGAGCGAATTTTCCTTGCTTGGTGAGGAACTTAATAACGGCGCGGTGTTCAATTTTCTCCATACTCACTGACTTCTTCCCGATTCACTTGTTTGCAGGTCAACAACTCAAAAGTTAATGACCCGATTTGGTTCAAACTTGGTGCATATACTATTAATGAGGTGTTGAACAAGTTACTATCTGGACGAGTAAATCAACCCCCTCCAACCCCTCCATTCCGCGAACTTTTTGACCTCCCCTCGTAGTTATACTTACATGTAGGACCACGGATGTTACAGTGTTGATGATTACGATGACTATTGATGATAATTATGAGATTGATGATATTAAAGATGTTGATGATGATGATGATGTTCTAGGTAGTCTGGAAGAAATGGCTAATAAGCCATAAGGCCGTTTTTTGTTTCACCATTAGTTTTTAGTTTGTATTTTTTGTAATTGTGGTGTACAAAAATGTGTTAAATAATGATGATGATGAATGTCCCACAGCCAGCTGACCGGCAAGCTGCACGAACTGAAGCGCGCCATGGAGCGAGCAGTCGTCAACAGAGTGGTTGAGGACTTCATAGACGTGGCCGCTCCTCTCAGACACTTCACTGATGCGGTGAACGCGCCTGAAGGTTATCTATCATACGATTATATTAATATAATGTTAAATCTAGGTATAGAAGTTTAAGGAAATCTAGATTATAACGGAAGGCCTAGCTGTGCTTACGACTACAACTCGAACATAATGTCTCGAAAGTGGAAGTACCACCTTCTCGCAGGAAATCGGCGTGAAGTAAAAATATATACCACTGATGTATAGGACCCTAGATCACTATAATCAATATATTATAACTTTTAATTATTATTAGACGTCACTAAACTAAAAAAGACGCTTCCTTACATGAGTATTTGGATTTATCACGTTTTATTTACATTATTGAATCACTGACTATAATTGTACTTTAGGTAAACTAACTTAGGATATTTGATAAATATAGCATTAGCTAATACAATGAAATTAGTAGCCTTTAATGGCTGAATTACGTTCGATGAGTTAGAAACACGGTTATTCTTTTCCTCTTCCCACCCTTCCCTCTCCTGGGAATCATATAGTTTACTAGCTGCGCTCCGCGATTTCCGGGATGTAAAGTAGCCTATGTGTTATTCCTAGACATCAGCTTCCTGTGTACAAAATTATATCAAAATCGGTTCAGCTGTTTGAGCGTGAAGAAGTAACAAACATACATTCACAAACTTTCGCAATTATAATATTAGTAGGATTTAGATGTGTACACACGAAAATCATGATTCATGAACTTTATTTAAAGATTTTATTAAGTGTATTAAAATGTTTTTTTATGATAATTATCCTATATGTCTAGGTACTCCTAATCGCGAGGGTAATTTCCACGACAAAGCATCGTCCCTAGCTAGCTTCAGTTCCCGGGCAGCGGCCGCCGCGGGCATGGTCGCCGCTGACATCACACACGACAAGAGACTCGCGGACCAGCTGAGGCAACACGCGCAGGAGGTACATGACAGAATTACCCAGCTTTAGCCAGGGTCTGCCTTGCATGTTGAATAGTTTTGGCTAATTGTTTTTACGACCGGCCGCCTAGAGACATCAATCAATTTGGTAATAATTATTTAGATGAAACTGCAGATTAATTATTTGTAAATAGAGAAAAGCAGCAATACCTATTCTATTTGATAGTTTTTTGATATCATTTTTCATATTAAACAATATGACGTGCTATATAGGTGAATGTTGTACTGAGATTAGTTATATGACGTTGTAATGACATTCTCAGGTGGAGAAATTATCGCCTCAACTGATCTGCGCTGGCAAGATACGACTGCACTATCCTGAAAGCAAGGTAAATGAATACACGACTTGGAAATTTAATTTTTCAGAACAAAAACTGTTTGTATGTGATAAACGGTCGTTTATTTAACCGCTCGTGTTAACCGCCCGTGTGTACTATGTGTCCAGGTGGCCGAAGAACATTTCAACAACCTGAAATCTCAGTATTCCGACGCTGTTCTTCGTTGTCGTGATCTATGCGACCAGGCCGTTGACCCCTTGGAGTTTGTGAGAACCGCTGGTAATATATTATAATACGTACATACTTATTGTTGCATGCGACTTTTCACGCGTTAACTTTAGTGGGAAATGAATAATGTGTGTATAATAATGTATGAGTACAACTAACGGAGACATCTATTTGTTGTATGATGAACGATTACAATAAGTCTCCTTAGGGCTTTAATTAATTGGCTAATAATTCATAGTCCATATATTTTTCCGATCTATAAACTGTATAACGTTGGAAAGTTTCATCAGAATCAATTGTAATCCGTATTTTACATCTTTAATGAAATTTTTTCACAAGGTAGAAGAAACCTTATGCACATAAGTCAGTTTTCGATGTGAATAAAGCTTCTCTATATGAATATAAATAACGTTCCAGGTGAACTGATTCAGAAGCACACGTACTTGTGTGAGGACGCGATACGAAACAACGATTCGCAGAAGATGGTCGACAATACATCCGCTATCGCCAGGTGAAATATTGATATACACTTAATATGATTATGAGAAACATAATGACTACATACAATACGGAGACTTGGAGGGGGGATTGATCTCAAGAAGATAACATTACTTTATTCAAACAATTGTTGGTTTTCTTGAATTATATACCAACTGTTCTCATGAATAGTTGTCACGTATTATAATGGAGATAAACGTGTTTAAAAAAGAGTGATGTAGTGTCTGGAATGTTCTGACAAAAAAAGGGATGGCGCTCTTAGCAGGGATATCTATAAACGGCAGTATACAGCGACAGTGATTGGATTGAAATTATAATAACGACTGTTATGTTTTTAAATCGTTTTACAATCAATTCAATTACACTTATACCACACAAATGATAGGAGTATATATATATGTTATAACCATACAATCTCTCAACCCAGGTTAGCAAACCGCGTCCTACTAGTAGCTGGTCGTGAGCGAGACAACACTGAGGACGGAGACTTCAGCTCCGCCCTTGGAACTGCGCAGAGTAGACTGCAGGCGGCGTTGGCGCCCGCTGTACGAGCAGCAAAGAGTGTGGCGCTGGGGCAGCATGGAGCAGCGCCACACTGGAGGACCGCTAACGGAGAGGTATGAACACTTGTAGGGTAGGACTTTTAAATTACGTCGTATGATACGAGGGGAGGTCAATAAGTTCGCGGAATGAGCGGGAAGGGGTTTGAAATTTAACACGAAATCATTTTTCCTTTTCAATATACAGTAGGACCTCGATTATCCGGACTAATTGTTGTCGTTAGGCATCCGGATAATTGAAAGTCCGGATAATCCAATATATGAAGAAAACCGGGCTTTTTGCATATGTACATATGTAGTCTGTACCATACATATGTAATGTTAGGTGTTTATTTAAAACAACAAATACATATGAGCGAGAATCAACGAAAATCACGGACGGCACGAGTGGCGTGGCGTTATGCAAGTTCTGAAATGTTAATCTATACTAATATTATAAAGCTGAAGAGTTTGTTTGTTTGTTTGAAAGCGCTAATCTCCGAAACTACTGGTTCGAATTGAATAATTCTTTTTGTGTTGGATAGTACAGTTATCGAGGAAGGCTGTGGGCTATATAACATCACGCTACGACCAATAGGAGCAAAGATATAGTGGTAAATGTGTAAAGAGTACTTCATTGTGAATAAAAAAAAACATAGGTTTTATCCTGAAAATTCTATGGGAACTCGACCATTCCGAAAACCCCGCAAGAACGGGAACTATGTGGGAAGAATTAAAAATCTGAGGGAAGTCACTATTCCACTCGGACGAAGTCGCGGCAAAAGCTAGTGTTAGAATAAACTCGTCGCGATTGGCAGTCCGGATAATCGCGAATTCGGATAACCGAGGTCCGGATAATCGGGGTCCTACTGTAGTCTCCCTTAACCTGAATACATTTTTCGGATGTCACAAATAATTTATTAATACATTCGAAAAAATTATTTATCTTGGCTATCAAAATAGGCCGAAATTGCGGACTTGACTTCTCATATATTTTTCACCGCAGCTTTTTTTTCATTTTTGAAAACAAATAATAGTCGCTGGGGACTAAGGCTAGACTGTAAGGTGGGTGGTGTAGTTTTTCGAATCCGCATCGGTGAATGGCAGCCGTCGCAACATGGCACGTGTGGACTGGTGCGTTGTCGTGCAAAAGGAGCACACCTTTTGACAGCTTTCCTCTTCTTTTTTCCTTGATAGCTTCTTTCAATCTATCTAATAAAGAAGCGTAGTACTGTCCCGTTATAGTCACACCACGATCTTTATAATTGATCAGCAAAATACCTTCTGTATCCCAAAGGACAGTCGCCATGATCTTTCCGGCCGATTGTGACACTTTAAACTTCTTTGGAGGAGCTGTGCCTTTTTTATGCCACTGTATCGATTCTTGCTTCGATTCAGGTTCATAGTGGTGAACCTAGGTGTCGTCACCAGTAAAAATCCGGTCCATAACTTCGTCCTTATTCTCTCCACAGAGCTTCAAAAACTGGCGAGAACACTCGACCCGCTCGCTCTTTTGAAGTGGCGTGAGCATTCTTGGAACCCATCTTGCACTGACCTTAGTCATCCCAAGATGATGATGTAGGATATTTAAAATGCTTTTTTCGGATACTCTAACCATTGCTCCAAGCCGTTGCTTCTTCAACCGGGCATCTTCCAATAGAAGTTTTTCTACTTTTGCGACGATTTTCGGTGTGGTGGCCTCAGTCGGTCGTCCGGAGCGGGGGTCATCTTCAATGGACTCTCTTCCTTGTTTAAAAAGTCCATGCCACTTGTAAACCATGGTTTTACCAGGGGCAGAGTCCGCGTAAACTGATATCAGCTCTTCAAAAATCGTCTGAGCGGATTTTCCTTGCTTGGTGAGGAACTTAGTAACGGCGCGGTGTTCAATTTTCTCCATACTCACTGACTTCTTCCCGATTCACTTGATTGCAGGTCAACAACTCAAAAGTTAATGACCCGATTTGGTTCAAACTTGGTATATATACTATTAATGAGGTGTTGAACAAGTTACTACCTGGACGAGTAAATCAACCCCCTCCATCCCTTCCATTCCGCGAACTTATTGACCTCCCCTCGTATAGTTTTGGGAAACTCAAACTCAAATATCTTTATTCAATATAGAAGCATTACACTTTCTTATTGTTGGTCACTTGAGACACTACCACCGGTTCGGAAAAGAAAATACCCTGATCTGAGAAGAACCGGCGAAAGAAAATCAGCGGGTTTTTTTTAATATATATATTTGTGTCATATATTATATACACAATATAAAATGAAGGAGCCAGGAGACGATCGTTTCATTCCCAAGGTGTGCTATCGATTATAAACTCATTAATTGTATAGTAACTTTTTGCACACAAGCGTTCCTTAATATTTTTTTAAATTTAGAAACAGAGACATAGGACTAAAAAAGGTTGTAATAAAACATGTTGCTGAATAAACTTCACCTATTGTGTATTTCAATCTAGTATAGAGTAGAAATATCATTCAAAAATCCTGTTCTATGCGTTTATAGTAAAAAGTATTGCAGCAGTTTCACAACAGTCTACTGTAACTCTACAATATAAACACATCTTTATCACCCACAGATCATCCAGGCCGTCAGCGGTGTGGAGGAGGCGCTCTCCCGTCACTACGCCCCACCCCCTCCGTCGCCCCCGCCCCCTCCGTCGCTCCCCTCCCTCTCCTCCCTGCACGTGTCGTCGCCGGCCCCGCCCCGCCCGCCTCCCCCCTCCATGTCAGCTCCTCCCCGCCCGCCCCCGCCGGACACAGACGACGAGGGTGAGGACATCTTCAGGAGACAGCCACACCCGAGTCAGCCTATCCTGGTGAGTTTCTTTATTATATGTATATCGTAGTACGTTCTATGAATAATACGTGATGATTATTCATAAAGGTATGTTAATAGTTTTTGCCCGTGAGTTTGTTCTCGGGTTTTGTAATTGAACTCAGAGCTAAAGTATATAATAGCGACATCTATATGATCTACATGACTTTCTAAAACATATTCCTTATTTAAATTATAGTTTATATATTATTCCGTTAGTTTCATTCTAGCTATCAATCTTCTCGCCATATTTGAGTATAAGAGCTTCAAATTTCCTCACATCGTCGTATATACAGGGTGACTGGTGAATTACTATCAATATTTAAGGAGAATACTCGGTACATGATTCTCATTCGAATTATGTAAAAAAAATAGGTACTTAATTTTTGACAAAATTTCCGTATAAATAAATATAGTGTTGACACGTTCCAAGTGTTCCAAGTGTTGATGCGTGCGGCGGCGTGCTGATACAACACCACGCCGCCACACGCTTATGTGTGAGTGTGTGTGTATACCTAATCTGTAGGGTGTTCACACGATGCGTAATTAATTACATAACTTTTGGTTAACTTTACTTAGAAGTTTATTAATATTTATGTTATATTAATTTTTATTTTGTCATATATGATCGTCAACTATCACGTCCTCAAGTATTGATAGTAATTCACCAGTCACCCTGTATATATAATACTAGCTTTCCGCCCGCAGCTTTACCCGCGTGGAGTTCGCTTGTATCGCGTTTCCAAGAGAACCTTTCAAAAGTCTGTGATAAAAACTATCCCATGTTCTTTCTCAAGGTCAACTCTGTCTGTACCAAATTTTATTAAAATCAGTTCAGTGGTTTAGGCGTGAAAGCGGAACAGACAGACAGACAGAGTTAGTTTCGCCTTTATAATATTAGTAGTTATTAATAGTGTATCGTGTGTATTACAGGTGGCTGCTCACAACCTACACAAGGCGGTCCGCGAGTGGTCGTCCAAGGACAACGAGATCATCGCCGCCGCTAAACGGATGGCCATACTCATGGCGCGACTGTCCGACCTCGTGCGATCCGACTCTAAGGGTGCGTACACACACACACAATTACATACACATGTATATTAAGTCTAAGGGTATGTACACACTGTCATAGAATGATAACCACACAAATACATACATACTGCATACACATGTATATTAAGTCTAAAACAATAAGTCTAAATCCATATACATATACACATATATAAGTCGCTTTATATTTAATCATCGTCATCGAAAGCTTCTATAGGAATTCATTCTGATCATATACACATTAAAAGCAAAGAAGTGGGGTGTATATAAGGCTGCTATATTTGACTTCCGAGATCAATTTACTATTCAAAGCACTAGACTCCAAATCTATATTATAATGTGACATACAAATAGTTCTCACTACTTACTCATAATTTCATTGAGATCGTCTTAATTTGTCTTGTTCTCAAGTATAATAGATTTTTTATTTTTTCTAAGACCAAATATAACGCTATACACATCCTTGTTCATACTACCCTAGTGGTAGCTTTATATCACGGTCACATACATTAATATTTTAATATATCGTACTTTTACTTAAATAAGTAATTTATTTTATCGCACCATCAAATGTTACTATTATAAAAAATATATACGAATGTTAGCAACACTACATTTATATATATCATTAATTAAATAATGTTTTAATATTGTTTAATAATAAAATAATTTATGTAACAATAATTGATATTTTGCTACTAATTTAATTATATATTCTTAGCAAGAACATGGACTTATTTACTATATTTTATGCTAGAACTATATCAAATTATTTCCTATAACATCAGCTATCTTCCAGTAAATGTTTCATCAATTTTGGTCCACTTATTTCAGAGAAATTTCTGACTGACAGACATACAGAAAATACTAATACAAAAATGTATCTTGTATATACTTGTACATAGACATAAATTAAAAGCTTTTATTTGTACATATATTTAATGCGAAAACATAATATGCTTTATATATAACATAAGATGCTTATTTGTTGTTGCTTCACGGATAGAGGTCGCTTTGAATCTGAACGGTAAGTCGCTGTATATAATTATTTTCATTTAATACATCGCGAACTCCTCTTTATTTCCGACGTTGTTGGTTAAATTATATTTTTCGGTTAATACTTTTTATAATATAATTGATTTAATTAAACCTTATGAAAATGCTTATATTTTTGTTTATAGAATTTTAAATTAAACTTATGATCAACTTAATATTTTTCTTTCATTCTTAATGACGTTCACAGTTATGACAGAAAAACCACTATTTTGGTCTATGACAATACCTACATATTAAAATAGTTGATTTCCAAATAAGGCGAAGTAAATAAAGCAACAAAATATCTGTATATAGACGATAATACTGCACCTTAATATTATTGTTAATTTCAAAATTCTTGCACCTAATGTTATCATCATGCATTAATATAAAAAACTAATTAATAAATTAAATAAAAATAATACAAAAATACATGTTCTTATATACCATTATTAATGTACAGGTAGCAAGCGTGAGTTGATAGCTACAGCGAAGGCCATAGCTGAGGCTTCAGAGGAAGTGACTCGCCTCGCCAAGAAACTGGCTCTGGAGTGTACTGACAAGAGAATTAGAACGGTGAGTAAAAAATAATAGAATAGATTTAATTTTGTTATTTAATGAGCTTCTTTTAAAAAACTATAGCAATGTTTGTTATTTTTATACAATTTTGCTCAGTCAACTAGAAATATTTGTTTGATTACTTTCAATACAATTATTAAACATGGAAAGTTGAATTAGCAGCTAATAAAGTTATAAGTTATAGATTAAGTTTTCTGTTCCATGCAAAAAAAAATCATAACTCAATATAAGAGTTCTTGATAGAATACATAAAAGACAAACTTAATACCTCATATTACTTTCAAACCAAAAGTTATCATATAATTAATTATTTCCCTTAAATATCTATTATATTTATTAATCTATAATACATCTCTCTCCACAGAACCTTCTCCAAGTCTGTGAACGTATCCCCACCATCGGAACTCAATTGAAAATTCTATCAACTGTCAAGGCTACTATGCTTGGAGCACAAGGTAAGAAAATACTATTTACTTAGAACATAAAATAAAATACATTGTTATATTCATATATATTTATTACATAATTTTATTTAACATTAAATATTTTCTTAATTGCTTATATAGTTTACACTGTGCTTAATATTTAAAAGATAAGTTATTAGTGTCGTTTTGAATTAGCTAACAGTTTTATATTAAAATTTGAAAATAATTTACAATGAAATATTCATTTACACGGCCAAGATTTGAGCCTGATAGATACAAATCTCCGGAAAGCTTATACATGGCACCTTTGCCGCAATATTACATTTAAATATATATGTATATAAAATGATATTTACAAAAGTCAGTCCCGACACATCAACTTAGTTGGTAAAGCAAGTCAGTGTCAATGTTCTGAAGGTTACAGGTTCAAATCTAGCTTGTGTCAATGAACTTTTCATTCTATAATATGTTCTATTTAAATGCTAATTTATATATAAAAATGAATTTGCTAAATGCTTAAGATAATTACATGATTGGTTTTTTAATAACAAAATATGTACCGATAGCTTAAAATAACAAAAGTAATATAATTATGTAACATATTTCAATATATTTGTAACATATGAGCTATATATATTTATATGTTTGTGCTTGTTCTACGCTAACGCCAACTATCATAATATAACGCAGTGGGGATGCCAGATTATAGAGGTATTGCTTTAGCTAACTTATTATTTTATTAATTAAAATAAATTAAAAAAGTTTTACAATTTAATTACCATATTATTTTATAATTATAACTTCCTTCTATGAAATAACAATTGACCATAGATTAAAAATAATATAAAGATTATAAATTCTATTTATAAACATATAATTTGTTTAATATGTCTCTTTAGACACTGAAACTGTATCATACTATTTTATCTATATTAATTCAGATTTTAATTGTTTTATATATTTATCAGGTAGCGAAGAAGATCAAGAGGCGACTGAAATGTTGGTTGGAAACGCTCAAAACTTGATGCAGAGTGTAAGTATAGTGATATACTAGCAGTGGCTGTGAGATTTACTGTAAGGAATAGTTTTCAATATAACAAAAAAATAACATTCAATAATAAAAGTAGCCCAATCAGCTATCGAAATTTGTACAGACGTTTCTGAGGTTTTACGTAAAACAAACAGACAGGCAAAAATAATAAAAATAAACATAAATATTTGTTTATGAACTGTGTGAATAAAAATGTATATGAATACTTATATACTAAGTCTTATGTATATTTATATATGTATAAATAGTATAAGTGTTCAGGTATAATGTGTTATTTATTTTAATATTACAAACAGACACAAATTTATATATGTAACAAATAATATTATTCTACGGTTTTATAATAAACAATCTTTTAAACTCAGGTTAAGGAAACCGTCAAAGCAGCAGAGGGTGCTTCAATCAAGATACGTACTGAGCAAGGAGCTTACAGACTACGCTGGGTGAGACGCTCACCCTGGTACCAGATATAAATGAACAAACAAACACACAACTAGACAACCAGATGATAGAACGACCTTATATAGAGATTATATATCTTACTACATATAGTGGTACCTAGAAAACCTTCAAACTATTGAAAATAAATCAATTAGGGAAACCCCTTTATATATCTAATTTATTTAACATATATAAAATTGTACCACAGTGCCTAATATTGATATAGCTTATGCACTAATATACATTTGAAACTAATATTCGGTAGACACTAAAAACTAAATCACAATTTGGCTAACACATAATAATATATATTGTATTGTTTGTAAATTTTGTGAATTAATATTATTTTGCAACGAAATTTTTATAATTTTAACTGTTATGTGCCATTTGGGAATTATTTATGACACTGAAACTTCTTAGCATACAATAGATTCACTATGCGGTTGCTACTCGGGATATTTATGTATTCTTGTAACTTTGTTGTATGTTTATATGTGAACCCCAATAAAAATGGTAGCTATTAAAATATATTTAACATAAGAATGTAATGAAATCAATAATTTAAAAGCAATATATATCATGTAGTTAAGTGTGAAGATAGGAAGAATTAGAAATGTTTGAGAAATAAGAAAAATCAATAGAAATTGTATTAGAATAATATTAAATATTATTAAATAACTACATATGATTTATATGTTAGATTAACAGAAAGAAAATGTATTTTTCAATATACATATATATATATTTTTATATAAATAACTAGTTAATAATTGTCATGCTATCAGTAACTTGCCTTTTCGTTTATTTTATTTTGCATATATTTTATATTTTAAGTTCTTTAATTATATTAATAAAGCTTTTATTTAAACTTTTGTTTTTTCTTTTTCTTTGTGATTCTTTTCGATATTGATTTTTGCATTCATTTGTTGTCGAAATGTTTTAATTTATAAAAGTTCTTGTATCCATAATACCATCCTATATTAAATAAAACCGTCGAATGTAGCTTTACAATTAGTATAAATAGTAATATACGGTGACTATACACGAATATTGAAATTTCAACTTTCTAACCTGGTATGAGCTTGTAGCAACAGGTGTCGCCTAAAACTATTAAAAATAAATATATATTTTACAAAACTACTTTCATTTCCCTCGCTTCTTATTTAAGTTGTTTCAACAAAACTATTATACTATATTCTATACAAAACATAAAATAATAAAAAAGCATTTATCGTGAAACATTTAAAAAATCAACGTACGTCATATACACAAACGTCAGAACGTAAACGTCAGGTGTCATGTATATTTTGATGACGGCAACACTAAGTCGTGAGTCGTGACACGGATCGATCGGCGACGATCGTTGGACGACTCGTCCGACGCGCCATGTTGTTCCACGAGAAGCTCGACATCAAACTGATCAGGCTTGTGAGAGAGAACCCGGTGCTCTACGACCATAATAATGTTAAATACATGGACTTCAACGCCAGGGAGGTCGCCTGGCAGAAGATAGGCGACGAGCTCAAGAGATCCGGTCAGTTATATGCCTGCTTTTAGAAATTACGACGTTCGGTCGCACTTACCATCGTAACTCACTTGTTTGTCACTTGTGGTTATTTCCGTTCGAGAATTATTTTATATTTTATATATAAATATAAATGTTTATGTTATTGTAATACATTGTTTCAGCCGCCGACTGTAAGGTGAGATGGATTAATATAAGAGATGTGTATAGGAGAATTTTGAGGAAAAATCTGGAACCAACCGGATTGAAGCCGAAAATGTATAAATATGAAAACGAAGTATCGTTTTTAAGACCGTTCTTTAAAGACGTGTCGATACAGAACGAAGAGTACGATACTGATGAGAGGAGCAATGACCAAGGAAACGATGAGTGTGGCGACGAACAGCCCATGGACAGCGACAACTCCGAGGGGCCCATACATAAAGCGAAGATAAAGAGATCCTGTAAATCAAGTTCCAAAAAGAAGAAGAAGAAGAAAATATTCGAGGAAGTTGATCCCATGTCCGCTGCGAGCTTCGCTGACGGAGCTCCTCCATCAGAATTCGATGCCTCCGATCCCGTCGATGCATTCTTGTTGAGCATCGGCGCCACTTTGAGGACGTTCTCGCCATATCATTTAAATCTCGCTAAAAGCAAGATCTTCTCAGTGGTCCAGGAACACGATCTTCAACAAATAGTGCAAAAACAACAGCACAATGACGTATCACCGCACGATATTAAGATTTCCGCCTCGGAGGCGATTTACATGCAGTAATATTCAATTAATTTATTTAAACCTGTACTATTAACTTGTAACGTTATTGTTTTTTAGTTTTATCATTAGGTTATTATCCTTAAGTACTGTTATTTATCTATTAGTGAAAAATAAATGATAAACAATAAATTATATTATTGTATTATTTCATCATCACTTCTTGGAATTGAATCGAGAAAAATTCGAGAGACACATGGTAGGGGCCATACGTCATATACGTTGGGTGGCGATACGACCGCGTCGATCGATATCGCTAGACTTAAGACTCTCAATAAAATATTCAGTGTTTTCTTTAAATAAATTAAAAGAAAAACTTCTAATATTATTATTATCTTTTTTAATTACTAATAATATTAACTGTGTAATAATATACTATTTTTTGGTCATAAAAAGTGTTAATAATTTATAATATAATGCGTTTCTTTATTTTTAAATAGGTGGCGTTGATTTAAATAAAAAAATATATAATTTCTAAAAATGCGATGTCCATAATCGTTTAATGAAGAGTGTACTGTTTATCTTTAAATATGAGGGTTTTAAAAAAAGTTAATATGAGAGTTATAAAATAAGTTATAAAAAAGTTAAAACTTATTTTCATTCATAAAAAAAAATAATCAAGTTTAAAATATTGTACAAAAATAATAGTGATTTAATGGTGATTATATTAAATTGAATTTTGTTATCAAATTTATGAATAAGAATTAGTTCTTAGAATCTTGAATCTTTAGCAAATTTGCAATGGAATGTTGACATTGATACGATTACAATACGTGAGCGTCACGGAACCGATTTCACATTTTATTTACATTATACATACATTTCTATTTATTGTAATATCAAAACAAGTACTTATACATTAATTATGATAAGGATATTAGTTGCGTTACACCGATACTGTTATCAACGAGATGCATAATATTGGAGTTTAGATAAATACTATTTATTACATATACGTGCCGCTGTCGGAGAGTCGCTTAGACGCGACGTTGCCGTCTCGTGCACTTCTCGTATCGGAACGGTGTTGCCCACTTCCGATGAGAATGTTACAAATGGGGGTAATATGTAATATATATTGATATGTGAATATGTTGTGACGTCACATTTAGGTAACAGAATTAAATTATTGGTCTTTTTATAATAAATTAAAAAAAATTCTACCTTACCTTATGATTTTTTGTTCTATGGTCTTGTTTTATTTAACTTTCGTTATATTTTGTTCATACAATTGATATACTTTGAAGTGCTTGTCGCTTTATATTTAATCGTTGCTTTCTTTATATCATAAGAATAACCTTATTACCTTGGTAAAGCAAATACATTTATAAGATAAAATATATTTGGAGTTTTTGAAATATAATATAATAAAAAATTATGTGGGTAATTTGTGCAGTTGAGTGTAGTAACACATCAAATCGCAGTCGTTCCAGTATCATACGCGTTCCGGAGCCGGCACGATGCCGTTGCCCTTCAACAAGACTCTGGATTTGAAGTTATTGAAACTGGTCAAAGAAAATCCCATCATTTATAACAAGAAGCACTCAAAATATTTAGATTTCGACTCTAGAGAGGTTGTGTGGCAAAAAATCGGTGATATTTTAAACAGGCCAGGTGAGTCCACGTTAAAATAACGCGCCATATTTGTAAATATATTTTGAGATGTTCTACTTACATAGATATTAAAGTGTATTTAATTTGAACGTAAATTTAAACTTGTTTTAATAAAAGCATATATATAAGTAAATATTTAAGTATATATAATGTTTTTTATACATGTGGACACATCGACAAATATACTGATTTACAAATAATAAAATAATTGTAGTTATTAGAGATTAGAAAATACCTACCTATTTGTAAAGACCTGTGATCTCGTATGTCAGTTAATTAATGTGAATTAGTACCGATTCAATAAATGTTAATTGAATATAAATAATTAATTGTGAAGTTAAATTTCTTTTTAAATTTTTATAAGCTCTTTAAAAATACACATTGTAATATTTGTTTTTAATTAGCAATGTATAAGTATTTTTTTAAGTCAATCTAAGATCATTATTAAGTAATTTCTAAAATTATCGCAACGGATATTTATGAATGGAAAACTCTTTACTTTCTGTATGTCGTTTCCAACTTGGATTAAGCATACTGAAGGAATTCATTTAATATAAGTAAACGAGTGATTCTCATTAAAATTTAAAATTACACTAACTATTACTTATATTGAAATTCAATAGTAACTGTGACTTACATATAATATACTGTACTGTACAGACGTACGACATTGAAAGACGACAATCCAAATCTATATAAAATCCCTAATATTATAAATGTGAAGTAACTCTGTCTGTCTGTTACGCTTTCACGCCTAAACCACTGAACTGATTTTAATGAAATTTGGTACAGAGATGGAGTTGACCTTGAGAAAGAACAAAGGATAGTTTTTATCCCAGACTTTTGAAAGATTCTCTTGGAAACGCGATATAACCAAACTCCGCGCGGGCGAAGCTGAGGGTGGAAATCTAGTATCTAAATAATGAGTTGTGATGTCGCTCGCCTGTTGTGAGCCTAATATTTGTTTTGTCACTACCCACAAATGAAGTGTATTAACAATTGCATTATTTTCATTAACTTTATATGAAAAATTAATTAATTTTAGTTAGAAAAAATTTAAATGGTGTTTTTTGATACTATATGTATTTCGTTCATATAAATTTATTTTACTTAAAGTATAATGAAGTATATTTATTAAATGAAGTGTCTTATTCAATTGTATTGTATTTATGTATTTATTTTATTTTAGTTCCCCCCCCCCTCCCCCGTCGCCGCGGCACTAAGTTCAAATGCAAATGTATGTCAAAGATCAAGTGTTCTAATATCGTATAATTATTTTAAAGACAGACAAAACAAAATGTTCCTATAGAAAAATTATACCAATAACATTAGGTAATTTAAATGAAACCAATATTTTTAAATGTACACGACTTTATTTTTGATAAAAACTATAAACTCCCGACGTTTCGGCTATTTTACATCAACCGTGATTACGGACAGACGAGTAGGCGTAGTGCATCCGAAAAATATTGGTTTCATTTAAATGAATAAGACTCGCGGAATTTTATTAAATGGACATCAAAAAAATACTTTTCATTTACTCGACTCACTGTGATCGAAAGAAAGTGTATCGTTGAATCTTTTCGTATTTACTTAAAATTATTTATATTTTTTGTTTGGTTTTATACATTATAAAGAGTTTAAAATTATTTAATATTACCCTTTAATTTGTCATTTTACTATGAATATCTTTCAATATTGTATAATCTTCATTTGCAGCACAGATTTGTAAATCCAGATGGATTAATATACGAGATATGATGAGGAGGAAGATCAGGGATCGACTCAGGAACCCGAGTCATAGAAGTTACAACTACAAATACGAAGACCAGCTGTCTTTTATGATGCCTTACTTCACTGAGGGCGCCAGTAATGACGATTTCAATGACTTCCTGCAGGAAACTAACTGCGAAGTCATACCAGATTATAGTCAGGATTTTGGTCATGATAGAGAGGTCAAACCTAATTTGGGTTTTAGGAAGCGTCAGGAAGACTATATACAAAATGACTTCCAGGAACTAAATCCTTCTGACCCATTAGACGTCTTCCTAATAACGGTTGGCTCGACTTTAAGGAAATTCAGTCCGTACTACTTGAATCAAGCTAAAAGCAAAATCTTCCAAGTAGTTCAGGATTATGAGTTACAGCAAATCGTTAATAAAGATGAGCAACCAGAAAATAATGACGCCAACAGATAGGACAAGTTATTATTGAGTCTAGTATTGGCCCTTGACCTTATATAGATCATTTTTTTTGGTCGTAAAATCAAAGGTCATGTTTCATACACGGTGCTATGAATATCGTTAGATATAGTTAAGTCTTGCTCAAAGTTGTCTTATAATTGTATTAAGACTTTAGTTTTAAGTTTTTGTAAATAAACATTTTATACATGGTTGATGGTTTTGTTTTATTTGGAACTCATATAATATAGGGATTGAAAAATGAAGATTTTTTCTTAACAGAATTATTTATTTATTTTGTAAAAACACTTTACAATGCAATTTACAGTAAACTTTGACGTCCACGCTAGGCTAGGCCTGTATCGTGGACATCGATTCATTTCTAGCAAACACGATTCAGTAAATTTTTACTACTCTTATAATAATAGTAAATGACAATCACAGTAAGTGAATATCTAGAAAATGAGTGATTTGGTACTGTACTTAAAGTCGTTAATAAATTTAAATTCCAAAATAAGTTTAACCTACGAGTAATAATCCCTACTAATATTATAAAGGCGAAAGTAACTCTGTCTGTCTGTCTGTTACGCTTTCACCCCTAAACCACTGAACTGATTTTAATGAAATTTGGTACAGAGATGGAGTTGATCTTGAGAAAGAACAAAGAATAGTTTTTATCACAGACTTTTGAAAGGTTCTCTTGGAAACGCGATATAACCGAACTCCACGCGGGCGAAGCTGCGGGAGGAAACCTAGTTTAAAATATTTTTTAGATACCTCAGTGGATATGGAATACAGAACAAATATTTATATATATACAAAACTACGTGTAAATGATATTATGTCAAGATTTATAACAGAAATACTCTAAACTATCTGTATCTAGGTTCAACAAGGAAAGTCTCGTTAAGGTAGGTGGGACTTACAGTCTGCCGTATACTTCGATTTGTTTTTACCTATTGGTACTATACAAAACATTTACGAGATTTGGCAAAAAAATATTTAATGAGTAAAAAAATTACTGAAACGAGAAATATTAACGAACATAGCCAATTAAATAATATAGTTTATAAAATATCATATAACGAGTGACGCCGCTGACTCCGCGGAACGAACACCAAGCCGTGTGAACCAGAAGATTCCTGATACCACACAAGCTATGGAATGGTATTGCTATCCTAACATCGGGGCGATCATGTAGTCTTAGGTGTAGGTTATAAGTTTTAATATGTAATTCTCATTATAATATACTTATAAGTAAGTTTCCTAGTTTTCTTTGAACCTCTGGCTGATTGTGAACCGAGGTCTATAATTTTCGTGTATAGATTTTGTTTAATAAATCCACGTCTTTAAATAAACTTGTTTAATCCTTTCTGCTCTCCTGATACTAAAACATATGTTTTTATTAACTTGAGGACGACAAAACTACTGTCCATAATTACGAAGTTTCTTAATAATAATCCCTGTTGAAGCTCCTCTCCCTACAACGATGGACCCGACACACGCACGGGAAACACATGGAATGATGAGAGGTTTCGTATCATTTAAATAGTGTCTTATTTTCTTGCATAATTATGCTCTTTCTTCATTCTCTATTACATGAAACCAGAAATGCCACTTTTAACATATTTAAAATATCGTAAGCCAATGTTATTTATAAGTTGCGGGGGCGTGACACAAGACAGACTTTTGTATTTTCACTAATATATTTAAATTTATTATAACATGAGGAAAAGCGAAGTAATCCCAAAACATTAGTTTCATTTAAAATAATAAAATTCTCTAAAATCTTAGAACACATTAAAAGAAAAACAGTTTATTTGATGAACTTATAACAACAGTACGTTTGACCTTTCGACTTACGAAAATCTTTTTTTGCTATTATGTTTTGGGCAGGAGGAAGTAATAAAAGATTTCTATATAAATTCGATTTTTAAAAAATTTTTTTGTTAATTTTCAGTGTTGCATATTGTTCTTATAAACTTTAAACGATTATGTTTAAAAATATCATAATACGTATATTCCTACTTTTTTTAGCTTTTGGTACTTATTTTTATGTAAATAAGAATTTTAAACAGATAGTCAATGAAAGGAAAAAATCTTCAAAAAGTTTTATCTAAAAAAATCTTTTTTTTTAAATATTAATGATGTAACATTACTAAAAGGTGCAGGTAACAACAAAAACACAAAGGTAAAAAGGTAACATAACACTATTTATCTTCTCACCCAATCTCTCCAGCGACAGTCAAAACAATATAATATAATTTATATTGATATTACTTAGATAAAATTTATGGGACAAGGTTTCATTTATACAGCCAATATTAAAAGAAATAAAAATATGATTTTATTTTCTTACTTACATTTAACAAATTAATGTACTTACATAAAAAATTGTAGTAGAAACACCTTTTTGAATATTAAATTTACTTTAAAATAAAACAAAAGAGATAAATAATAATATAGATATCAAAAGTATTTTAGTGACGTTTCAAATGTCATTGTAAGTGTCAAAAACATGACATAAATTAATTAAAAAAAACATGTTTCTTAAGAACATGATATAATATTATTGTATCATTATAATTGTACTATGATAGTATAAAAAAAAATGTTTTAATTCAATAATAATTCCTCTGGACCCACTTCATTCGGAAGCCTCTCTGAGACGACATTATCTTGACTGAAGCGCTCTCCGCCGCGCTAACCACCTCTTGGATCTAAAGAATATAAATTAAAATCTTCTTTAATAATGACTTTATTATTTTAATGTCGTTATGCAAAATATTTTTTTTTATTCGTCCGTTAGCTTTTTGTTTCATTAAATTTCTTAATTTGATTTGTACATTTATGACAGATTTTAAACGTTAAGATGTAAGGTTTAAATAATCATAAGAAAATTTTAGATGTACCTATTTAAACAAAACCATCCTAATATATGAATAAGACTTTGAAAATGACTTGAGTGTTATATTTTACTTTAAACTGAAAATAAAAAAGACAAAAAATACATAATTCATTAAATACTGAAATTGTAAACAACGCCATCTGTTAGTAAACAGATGTATTACGTAGTCGTGTAGCGAGTTACACAATGTTCGTATAAGGTAGGTATGTTACTCACACTTATCATGAGGTTCTGCGCGTTGCCCACCAGCATATTCATGGCTTCTTTGTCTTCAGCTGTTCCTGTAACATCATTATAAATGTATTAAATATATATAAATTATAATATTATCATCTTTTTGGTCTCTAAGATGTGATGAAACTTGATAATAAATGCCACTGGCAGCTCTTAATTGTGATTAAAGTACCGATTTACGGTTTGGTTACTTACTTTGAGACTGCTATAAATATTTGTATGTATTTTAATTTTAATTTATTAAATAAAAGTACCTATACCTTAAATCGAAACTATTGAGCTTTCAATCGACTATTAAGTTTTGATCAAATTATATAAAAATGTGAGCATTAAAATAATAATTGACATAACGAAAACGTTTGAACGCCATTTCTTTATATTTATTTATCAATTCTTATAAACCACATCAATGAACCGATTATTCAATTCGTTTTTAATTATTATTATACAAAATTTAAATCACGATCGTTTCTTTTTCTTACTTTTATATTGTGTTGAATTTTTAACAACACAACTGTTTGTTACAGTTAAATTTAACTCGTAAGGGGCTGTCCATTAATCACGTGAGGCTTGAAAGGGGGGGGTGGGGTTTGATAAAAATCACGAAAATATCACAAGGGCGAGGGGGGGTGTAGTAAGATATCACGTGTATTTATTTTTTCGTCTAACGCGCGATTTTTAAACAAATATTTTAAAAAAACTTGCAACCTCGTGTAGACATATTTATTATGGTCATTAATTTCAGAATAATATAAGATTATAGTTTATACCTGTATTTAAATTAAGATAATATTCAGAAAATTTTAAGATTCGTTGTAGCTACTAAAAATACACGTGATGTTGAGAAGGGGGAGGGAAGGGTGGTCTTAAACCTCACGACGTATCACCAATGGGGGCGGGGGGGTTAAAAAATGCTAAAAAAAGATCACGTGATTAATGGACAACCCCTAAGTAGTATTATGCATAATTGTTTCTTTTCTGTTAATAAGCCTATTGCTTTATAGATATCCTTCATTTAATATATTCGATTATTACCTTGGAATAATCTAATAAATACTATAGAATTGAGATCTAACATTTCCACGACTTTTATTCATTAAAATGAAACTAATACTTTTCGGACTAAGCCTATTTTAGAGGCATTCACATTTCGTCTTTATGATCACGATTGCTGAAAAGAAACCCAGTATGTAGTATGTAGGATTTTACAAAAATAAAGTCGCGTAGAATAATCGAAAAATATTAGTTTCATTTAAATATTATAGAACGGTCTGTTTTAATAATAATTTTCATCAGTGACTAACCCTGTTGTCCCAAGGAGGCGCCTTTCACTGTAGTCAACATCTTCAACTGTCCGCTGATAGTAGGTATTCTTTCACAAACTTGTAACAGATTCTATAACAAAAATAGTAAACATTGGATAAATAAATATAACAATCATAAAATATAGTTATTTAATTCTGTATATATAGAGGGTAATATTTTTTCAGTTAACGCCTGAAAACTTAATCTACTTACTTATTTTAGACGTTAAAAGATCAGTTAAAGTAATAGTTAGGCTATACTTATATCTGTTATCCCGGTCTGCAACGGACCCAAGCCTGTTAAAGGATCTAAGAGTTTGTGTGCCTCAGCTGCCTGAATCACAGCCATCCAGCTGCAATATCAGGGCTGGCGAGACATATATGTCTGTAGACAAAGCTACAGAGTATGGGCGTCTATGGCGTAAACGGCCGCTGGTCCAGTGTTCAGCAGAGATGAACTCTAACTCTGACTCTGATACACAACCCACAGGTGAAACCCTAGCTGGGCCCGCGAAAGGGGCGGGTCACAAGAGCAAAAGGGGTAAAGGTCGTTCAAGAACCTCTAGCCTGACTCAAGTCAGAAGAAAGTATGTGGCGGCTAAAGAAAAGAATCTACACCTCACCTCAGAAGAGGAAGTGCTAGAAACTAGCAGAACAGTAGCTCAGATGTGGGAAGCACATCGCTCTTTGGCGAAACCGCAATCTGGAGTGGATGTTTCTAAGGAGACTATGGAGTCCCTGAAGGGTATTGTAGATGGCTATCTCGACGTTATCACTAGTGCTGCCCGAAAGTCGAAGAACCTTAAAGGGACAATGATTAAGTCTCTAAAGGTGGCAACCGAACGAATTAAAGAGGCGGTAGGCGAGCTTATGGTCCGTTCTATCCCGGAAGAGGTAACGCTTTTGAAAGCAGCTAATGCGACATTAGAGAAGCAGATTGGAGACCTCCGAAAGGAAATAGATGATTTGAGAAGGCAGCCTGTTGCAAAGGCTCAAAACACCGACGAAATTGTGCAGAAGGCGTTGGTAGCAGTGGGCAACATGATAAATGCCCGCTTTGCGGGAATCGAAGATCGGCTTCTACCTCAGCCCAGACTAAGACCCGCGATAGCTGCCGACAGGCGACAGACCGCTAAAACACCAACGGCATCAGGTGCTTCGCTACAGAGTGAGGACTTGGAGGTCTTTCCTGCCCTCCCTCCTTCTTCCTTCCCTAACACAACGGAGAGTGGGAATCTGAATGCAAAAAACGGAAAGAAGAACAAAACAAAGAAGATGACGATGGCCGCAAAAGAAGCAATGGCGACTGCAGCAGCACGGACAATGATTTCAACACAACCGATTTCCTCCAACGGCAAGTCTGATGTAGCGAAACCGACTGAATGGAGCAGGGTAGTGGCAGGCGGAAAAACAAATACGATAGTTGAGGCTAACAAGAAAAAGAAGGAACCAAAGCCAAGGCTACGACCGCCAAAAACTGCGGCTATCACGTTGACGTTGAAACCGGATGCAATCACTGCTGGAATGACCTATGAGTCGGTACTTTGCGAAGCGAAGGGAAAGATTGATCTTCCGTCCCTGGGCATCGAATCGGTGCGCTTCCGAAAGGCTGCAACTGGAGCTCGTCTACTTGAAGTATCGGGAGAGGGCATTCATTCAAAAGCGGATACGCTGGCCGAGAAATTAAAAGCGGTCCTGAGCCCGGATATGGTAAAGGTGCAACGTCCCATGATGCGCACTGACTTTCGGGTCTCTGGACTTGACGATTCAGTGAAACCCGAAGAGGTTGCCGAAGCTATAGCCAAGCTGGCCGCCTGCGAGGTTGGTTATGTCAGGGCAGGTCGAATAGGGCCCGCTGGGGCAACAATCGTCAGTTGCCCAACTACCTCGGCGAAAAAAGTTGTAGACGCTGGGCGAGTTGTTATCGGGTGGACTTCTGCCAGGGTTGTACCGATTATGCGAAAACAACAGCGTTGTTATCGTTGCTTAGGAGTGGGCCATGTGGGGGCTATATGCATAAGCGAAACCGATCGGTCCCGCCAATGCTTGAGGTGCGGTCAGGAGGGTCACGCTGTTCGTGACTGTAAACAAGACCCTCATTGCGTCCTTTGTGCCGAGGCCAAAAAACCAGCTGCACATCAGACTGGGGAGCAGGGATGCACCAGTTGTAAGTCCAAAGGTGGACGCAATAACAAGACTGCATCTGGTCAGCTCAAGGAAAGGCAGGGACAGAGTATGTTAACGTCCTTTGCAGTCCCCCTGGACGTAGCGGAACCCATGGATGCTACCCAATAAATGGACCTACAAGTGTTGCAAGCGAATATAAACCACTCCGCGAGGGCTCAAGACCTATTGTTTCAGACATTGGCGGAGTGGCAGATACAGGTTGCGGTGGTCGCTGAACCCTACGTTGTACCTCCCCGGGATAACTGGCTGGGAGACAGTGAGGGTCTGGTGGCTATTGCTGCCCTTACGGCCAATGGCTCCCCAACTATTAGCTCTAGGGCCAGAGGTAGGGGATATGTCATGGCCGATGTGGGTGGTACAACCATCATTGGGGTGTATTGCTCGCCAAATTCGGGTCTTGCTGCCTTCGAGCAGCTGCTCGTTGAAATCGGAGCCCTCGTTGGGAGTCTACATTCCTGTCCATTGCTAGTCGCCGGTGACTTCAACGCTAAGTCCACTACGTGGGGTTCTCCAGTAACGGACGTGCGGGGAGAGTTGTTGGAGGAGTGGTCGGCGAGTTTGGGTTTGACTGTTCTTAATAATGGGTTGGAACACACGTGTGTGCGACACAACGGGGGTTCAATAGTTGATCTTACATTGGCATCTGACTCCCTTGCTCGCCGTGTGTTAGGATGGAGAGTGGAAACGGATGCGGTCACTCTGTCGGATCACAGATACATCCGATTCCAAATTAAATGCGCTACCTCGATTTCTCGGCGGATTGATTCTCCTGTCGTAGGTGCTCGCAAATGGGTTGTCTCGCGATTCGATAGATCGTTGGCTATAGAGGCCGCAATAGTACAATCTTGGGCCAGAGGCGACCATATCTCTGGGGATGTAGACGAGGAGGCAGACAGGTTTATGGAGGCTCTAACCAAAGTCTGCGATGCAGCAATGCCGAGAGCCAGACCAGCGACTCCCAGGCGCCGTGTATACTGGTGGAGGGAGGAGTTGTACGAATGGCGCCGAGCCGTTTCTTCTGCTCGTCGACGATACACCCGTGCGAGAAGAAGAAGGATAAGGGACCCCGAGGAAGAGACATCGCTTTACGAGTCATACCGGCAAACGTGCCGGGACCTGCAAGTGGCCATATGCGACGCCAAAAACCACTTGCTGGAGAGAGTGGCTAGACTCTATTAACAGGGATCCATGGGGTAGACCGTACAGAGTCGTCAGAGCCAAACTTCGACCCTGGGCGCCGCCCATCACCACGAGTCTAGAACCACAGTTCGTGGATCGTGTGGTGCAGACCCTCTTTCCACAAAGAAGGGAATGGACACCGCCAACTATGGTGTCTGCCCATTCCGATATATTCGAACTGGAAACAGTGCTGCCGGTGACAACCGCTGAGCTTGTGGTGGCTCTTAGAAAACTGAAGTCGAAGAACACTGCTCCGGGTTTGGACGGTATCCCTAGCCGAACTGTTGTGGCTGCTCTTGGACCCATGACAGATTGGGCGAAAGACCTGTTCTCCCTGTGCCTGTCACAAGGCCGCTTTCCTCGTCAGTGGAAAATGGGGAAGTTGGTGTTGTTGAGGAAAGACGGACGTCCGCCAGAGGAGCCGTCGGCATACCGTCCGATTGTGTTGCTGAGCGAGATTGGCAAGCTCTTCGAACGAGTGGTCGCCGACCGGCTGTCAGAGTGTCTGCAACCGGGACTGCATGAAACCCAATATGGGTTTCGGAGAGGAAAATCCACAATCGGTGCAATAGGGCGCGTAAAAGAGTTGGCGGACCGCGAAGTCTCTCGAGGCGGGGGGTTATGGGCGGTTTCGCTGGATATTTCCAATGCCTTCAACACCCTGCCGTGGGAAACTGTCAGGGAGGCTCTGCGATACCATGCAGTGCCCCTCTATCTGCAGAAGTTAGTGACGGACTATTTCGCTGGTCGCCGGATCGCATTCCCAGTGCGTGACGGGTCTTGGAGAGAGCAAGTGATGTCTTGCGGTGTTCCACAGGGGTCTGTCCTTGGTCCCCTTTTATGGAATATCGGGTATGATTGGGTGCTGCGCGGTGCCTACCTCCAAGGTGTCAGCGTGACTTGTTACGCAGATGACACTTTGGTGACAGCCCGTGGCCCCAATCACCGAGAGGCGGCCATTCTTACCAAGGCAGGCGTAGACCAGGTAGTTGCAAGGATTAGGGCGATAGGTCTCGAAGTGGCTCTGCATAAATCTGAGGCTATGGCTTTCCACGGGCCCCGTAATAAGCCTCCTGCGGGAAGTCACATTGTGGTTGGTGGAACCTCCATTACTGTCGGTTCCGAGATAAAATATCTTGGACTTGTCCTCGACAGCAGGTGGAAGTTCGAGGAGCACTTCCGGCGCTTGGCAACAAGATTAGTGGCTGCAGCCGGAGCTCTAGGGCAGATCCTCCCAAACATCCGGGGCCCAAATGACGCTTGTCGACGGCTCTACACTGGTGTCATTAAATCCATGGCGTTGTACGGTGCGCCCATATGGGCAGGCACTCTAAGCCGTCGCGTTGTGGCTTTGCTGCGCCGACCACAGCGAACCATGGCGCTTAGGGTGGCCCGGGCATACCGTACTGTTTCATATGACGGTGCATGCATTCTCGCAGGGACTCTCCGCCGTGGGATCTCGAAGCTGAAGCCCTCGCAGCGATATGGAAGCGACGCACTCTCGCTTGGCAGGAGGACGACGGTTATCCCCATCAAGATGAAATAAAGAAATGGAGAGCGGAGGCGCACGCTGAAGTGTTGGAGGAGTGGGCAATGCGCCTACGTGACCCGGGATATGGGCGGGATTTGGTGTGGGCCGTCCTTCCCCACCTTAAGCAGTGGGTGGATAGGAAGTTCGGTTCCATGACATTCCACTTGGCGCAACTGCTGACCGGACATGGATGTTTTGGTCGGTATTTGTGTCGAGTGGTGCGCAAGGAACCCTTTCCAACGTGCCATCATTGTGGAGAAGAGGAGGATACGGCACAGCACACCCGTGCCGTATGTCCCGCCTGGAACAATTTTCGAGGCGCTCTGGTGGCTATCATAGGGCCGGACCTCTCGTTACCGGTCCTGGTTAGCGCCATGATAACGAGGGAAGAGGCCTGGCAGGCCGTTGAACTCTTTGCCAAGACAGTGATGTCGGCTAAAGAAGAGGCAGAGAGGGAGAGGGAGCGAAGCATCGCATCCCTCCCCATGCGTCGTGGGAGAGGTGGTCGACGGCGTCGAGCCTACGTGGCGGCTCTGGTCCTCACGTAGCAACATCGTCGCGCGCTGGAAGGAGACTATGGGTGGCGGACGGGGATTTCCGTCGCCCATATTAGAGGGTTAAGGTGATGCGCGCCTCTCATATTTTGAAGTGAGTCAGGACATCTGACAGCCATTGCGTTGCGGTGCGCTATAGCGAACCCGTGACGCCTCAGTGGAAAGGAGTGGAACACCCCGGTTTAGGTTTAGTGGGTCGGGGCGTCCCCTTCAGGGGCGTCTGTCCTCCCCCTTCAGGGTTGGACTACCATCCCCACATAACCCGACCCAGTCCCCGCTAGGTCGGGTATGTGTAGAGCACATTCCCCCGGGTAAAAAAAAAAAAAAAAAAAAAAAAAAAAAAAAAAAAAAAAAAAAAAAATACTTATATCTGTTCTTAAGTGGAGTGAGTAGGTATTGTTTATGAATATTGTAAGTGTAAATAAGTGAAATATAATTAAAATATTGTGATTATAAACGAATTTAAATGATTAATAAGGAGAAAAATTCTGAATCTAATAATATAAATGATTTTGCCTAATATACTATACTATTTGATTTTATTATTCAGTACTGTTATAATATATACTCGATGAAACGGACTCTTGCTATTATAGTCTTGTTATTTCACGCTTACTAAATAAGGTTTGAAACAGTAAGCACATGATTAAAATAATTAAAATATTATATAATTACCGTTCGTATTCTCATATCTGTACACTCCAACGCTAACTTTCTGGCTATAGTGACGATCTCACGAGACTTCTCAACGATCGACTTTGATGTTATGATGAGCTCTTTCGTGTTATCTGAAGGTTTAACAAATATTTATATGATAATGAAATAATATACAAAAAAAACACGCTAGCTGTCAGTACCTACTTTTCTTGTGAGAACAAAATTTATCATAAATTAATTTGCAATTATTTAAGTTGTATTACATTGTGTTGCGTTCGTGAAACATATTAAAAAAATGAATATCGCAGGGGCAACATCGTTGTATATACAAAATATCATATAACGAGTGACGCTGCTGACTCAGTGAAACGAACACCAAGCCGTGTGAACCAGAAGATTCCTGATACACACAAGCTATGGAATGGTATTGCTATCATAACATCGGGACAATATTGTAGTCTTAGGTATGGGTTAAAAGTTTTAATATGTAATTCTTATTATATTATACATAAGTAAGTTTCGAAGTTTTCCTGGAACCTTTGATTGCCACCCTACATACCTAATTAATGTACTGTTTGGATGCCAAATAATATTTAACAAAATATTTCTTATGAATTCGAACAACAATAATGGTTTGGAAGTGGTTTTTTAAGTATATATGTATATGTCACCGGTGTCCATGTAGTGTGAGAGTCTCGCCATAAGCACCGCTAGTAATTTGGCGCCATCTACGACGTCGTTTTGTCGCGCGCTCCAACCACGGACAGCCGCGTGGAGCTGAAGGGCTGCAGTCTGAAGACGAGAATATATATGAATGAAAAGATATGCTGTTGCCTGTTATATATAGGAATACTTAAACTATAATGATTTAGGAATAGAAGATGTTCTTACAAGATTTTTCGTAGATATATCACGATTTTGTCTTGAAATTCTTACAGTTCTTACTATACTAAAGTTAAGGTTTCTTATTACTTTTTAAATCATTTTAGATTTGAACTAATATGTATAAGTAAGTTTCTTACACAAAATCGAATATAGGAGTCTTAATTATTTAGTTAATTGAATCTAGTTACAATCTCGTAATTAATTTCCAGAGCAATATGCAGTTAAAAGTATTAAATTCAGTTTTCAAGTGATATTTTTTGAACGTCGTTTATTTAACAAAATCGTACTAATACTGTAGAATTATCGTTGAAGATTATACTATGTATTTACAGTTATTACATCAAAACTGTTCCTCATATTAGTTGTTTAATAAGTAATTTTCTCACATAAATCGGTTGAGCTGTTTCTGGTTCCTTCTGGAATATGTTTTCTCCACCCAGTACTGACTCCACCTCACCAGTTTTTTTCAGAACCTGAAATAAATATTAATAAAAACTTTATAATCAATATAACATAAAGGGTAAGGGGGTCAAAAAATTACAAATCAAGACAGTATTAACATCATCATTATCATCATATCAGAGCCCACTGCTGAGCTACCTCTTCTCACGTGGAGAAGGTTAGAGCATTAATCCACGCTTGCTCGCGGGGATTGGCGATTTCAGACTTATAAATTGAAATTTTAAATCCAGGTTTCCTGACGATGTTCTCTTTTTTCCTCACTTTTGTCATTCATACAATTAAAGATATATTTATTGCGCAATAAAATTAATGATAATATAATTTTTCTTAAGAGATTATATTTAGTACTCTTAAGCCATCATAATGTCTAGGTAAAAATGTAGAAATAATAAGGAGCAAGTCCCTGAATATTACAAAGACACTAACTTCAGTGGCCACTTGTTTCCAATTGGTCTGTTGTTCCAAAGCAGTTCGGTCCAGAGACTCTTTGATACTAGCGAGTGTACGTTGAAGTTCCACGTCTTTCTTCACAAGAGACGCCTGCATGCCAGCTTCAACGACACGCTCACCTAACCTGTAATAAAGATAACATAAATATCAATGCATGCTTAAAAAAAAGCGAAATACATGCGAATTATATGCAGAATGGAAGTTTGGTACTTCTACGACAATTTAATATTAGATAGCGGTAGATTATTTTATGGAAATTATATTTTTTTGCATAAAATATCTTCCAACTTACTTCCTTATAACAGTGGAAGTGTAAACACTTCTCTGAGGATCCTTGATGTTCTCCTCTGTAATGCGGTGCATTGTTTCTCCTGAAAAAACAATCAGTCATGTATAGAACCCTAGAACATTATAATCATTGTACCCAGTGGCGGCTGTACCTTAAGTGCACTCGTGCGCTGAACCACCAAATCAAAAGAATTAAAAGTTACAAAATATTACTTCATCTTTATTTTTAAATTACCATTTTAATATTTATTTTCTAAACACAAAAACGTATAAACATAAAAAATTAAATTTCTAATTATAGTCCAAAAGTTTGAGCGCTTTACTAAACTAATATCTCGTGCGCTTCGGCGAGTGCACGAGGACGGCTAATACATCTTGTATGAGATACGAATTAATACGCCTGACGCGTGAAACAAAAGATAGTTCATAGAAATGTACCGAGTAATGAGTCGGTTCTCGAGCTCCGTACGAGCGGCCGAAGATTACCGAGAGCACCCGATGTATGACGAATTGGAATTGAAAAGAATCAAAACTTTTCTCCGAAATACCATGCACTTGCTAAATGCACTTTCTATGCTTAGTATTGAAAATAATAATTATATAAACAATAACCGATTTTAATAAAAAGGTGATTGAATATTTCGCTTCAGAAAAATGTCGTCGCATTGATTTAATGTTTAAAAAATAATCAAATTTTATGTCAATTGGTTTTTTGTTGCATTTTTTAATTTTAAAATTTTAGTAAAGTGCACCACCAGTTTGATAACCCACCAGCCGCCACTGATTGTACCTATTTTAGTCTATAATTATTTTTAGACATAACTAAACTAAAAAAAGACGCTTACATGAGTATTAAGACTTATCACGTTTTATTTACATTTTTGAATCACTGGCTAAATTTATACTTTAGTTAAACTAACTTAGGATATCTGATAAAATAGCACTAGTTAATACCCTGAACTTAGGCCAGTTTCATATCTCCTACATACATACATTTTTTGATATGTATTTTTTATATAAATGTATGCTTCTTTTTCCAATTTATTTATTTAATATATGTCATGTAACGTTCAAGCTATATTACATTACAGCAAAGTTTCACCAAAAAGTGATAAGTTTTAGAGTAAAAGAGTAGCAAACATCTATAAGTCCTAATAATGTTTCACATGTAATAGGGTAAGGTATTTTTACCAGCTGCGCGCGAGAAGTCTATAGGGTCTACGGAGCGGTCGCAGAGTTCGCGAATCTTTGTCAAAGATTCCGCGTAATTTGCCAGCAGTTCCTGATAGTGTGCTATGGCAGCCTGTAAGAGACAAATAATGCGAATGAAGATTGTTTAAACATATTACAAGTTTATATACATTCGTGGGCATGTTAAAAAATATATAAGGTACTTTTTCTATTAATATATTACTCTACACGACGTTATGTACAATGTTATTATCGCTCATTCATTCACATCTATGACAGGGTAGAAAGTGTAAGGTAAGGTAATGTTTTTTATTTACCTGATCATCTGGATGCTGGATTCTCTTTTCTGCAGCTTTTACTAGCGCAGGTGCCAAGAGTTCAGCCTGTAGACAAAAAAATTTCAAATTTTCATTTGCTTGTATTTAAAGAAAAATTAATAACGAATCATAATATTAGGGTGGTTGAGGCTAGCTGTAGTTGCTACAGCTCGTACGTGGGACCACATCGCTATCTCAAAAAGATGCGCGTGAAGTAGTCTTTAATGCCTGCATTTCGTCCGATGAGTGAAAGAGACAGTTGCCCTTCCCCTATTTTCACCATTTGCTGCCATCTCCTTATTCCCACTCCTTCTTCTTCCTCAATGACCAAGATTGGCAATGCATCTGCAATATATCTTATGTTGCGGATGTCCAATGGCGATGGTGACTACTGCCCATCACGTAGGCCGTCTGCTCGTTTGCCACCTCTCTCATAATGAAAAGAATATACATTTTTCGTAGAAGGCAGGATATAAACCAACAAGATATCTATACCTGGTCAGTTTTGTTGATAAGTATTTGTCGTGGGGCCAATCCAGTGTCAGCTACAAAACGCGCTGTCTTGGAGACACTAGCTAAATGTGTCAGCAGCTCCGCTATTTTTCTCTCAAGAAGGAACTTCCTCTTGTTTTCATCTGAAAGTAAAAATTAAAAACATCGATATTTATAATAACTTACTGGCTTACTGCATACAAAATATTTGTAACAAAATCTAACAGCTTAATTCTGTTCAGTACTGGTTCACATAATAAGATCTCAGGCTTTCGCGAGTATTGAGAATAAAACTAACACTTTCGGACCTATTACGCGATTTTCATTATTTTAATTACATACTCCCGACGTTTCGATTACTATGCAGCAACCGTGATCACGGGCAAATGAATCTTTTATCGTTATTTTACTATGAAAGATAATAATAACTTGTTACAGTTCAATTTATAACCTTCAATCAATATGTTGTACAAACAACAAACAACTTATTAAAACAATAATTTTGGTATTTAATAAAAAAAAATCTCATTATTTCATATATAAAATAGTAGTATTATTGATTAAATATTATTTTAGAATAACCAAAAGGATTGATCTCATACCCCTGGTGGGACTCGAACCCACAATCCCCGGCTTAGGAGGCCGATGCCTTATCCATTAGGCCACAGGGGCTGTTGCTAAATAATCATATTATTGTATAAGCTAGATTTTTTTGCACAAGTGTGATTGCATCTGTTCTAAAACAAAACTAAACCGAAATAAGGTTTCATGTATGTTAGTAACTTTTACTATAAATATGTCTTACTTGTACTATGTATTAGGTAACAAATAACATTTTTGCCGGCATCGTAAATTCTAAACTTTCTTACAAGGAAATTCTGTGTTAATATTTCATTCACCTACACATTATAATACAATTCTTTGTGTTTTCTTACCTGGTTCCTGTGTAACTTGATCCAGGTCATTCTGTGGCTCCACGAGGAAGGTTTCCACCACTCGTGTGACGGCCCCACGCTCACACAACTTACGAATATCTTGGAGACGCTCGCGGAGCTGGCTGTAATGTTTAATTCAGTACAGTGGTTACAATGATAGTCTATTATGAACTTTGGGTTCGATTCCAGACCTTATTTGGGAATATTTTTTAGTTAACTTAATAGTACTCCACTAATTCTCGTAAGAATTAATGGCGAGGTTTGATTTAGGACGTAAACTGTGATTTAATTTTTATTTGTTAGTTGAAAAAAAAAATAACGGTTGGTTAATATTCAAACTTTTTGATTTTTTTTATAAATTTAAACTTTAATTAAGATACTCTAAGTTCTTAGTCTACTGTCAGAAATTTCAGAAAGTTTTCATTTCGTCCTTTACTCAAAATAATGATGCTACTGTTGTAAACACTATGTATCCTACATATATTTATACATATTTATTAATATAAGTGCTACAATTAAAGACGACAGTGGCAGTATATTTTTACCTTGCTTTATCGCTATTGTAGTTGTTAGAGCATTCTTTAAGAAGCTGTTTGGTGTCAGTAATCAAATGTTTCAGTTCCTCTTTCTCACCGCCGCTAAGATCTTCGCACATCTAAAGAGTGATGGAAGAATTAATTAAAGAACTTATTCAATTCAGTAACTAGAAACTGTTTAAATTTTACCTTATCAGCTAATTCCAATAAAGATTCTGCAGCTTCTACGCCAGCAACTTTGTCGTCTTTGGACGCTGGTTTTCTTAGCCACGTATTAGCTAAATCAACTCTGCAAATTAATTAATCCATATGCATGTTTGTTTTGCTCGAGTAATATATATTTATTCATCTAATTACTTACTGTGTTTGAACATAACTCTTTGAGGGTATCTCTTGTTCCTGGAAAAAAAATGGTTTTAAGAAAATTATGGTATTTATCTATGTTTTTTAAATTAATACGTTACCTCTGATTCAATTAGACCAGCTTCAACTCCTCTTTTTCTGAAAAATACATAGAAAAGATTTACTATCTCTTTGGAACGACACGCTAAATCGTATGGGATGGGTTGCCACAAAAGCATCTTATTTGTGTTATAAATAAATTTATATTCTTACTTAATACACGATATTAATGCTTCGAGAGCGTGAATGACTTCATTGCCACCGATATTTGCCCAAGTAATGTTATCTTCAGCACTGCAACTTGCCTTTTTGACCATCGTCGATGCATTGTTTATCAATTTCCTGGAGAACAGTATATATTTTAGCTATTTTTAAATGATGTCCAATGTTTAACGGATTTCCATTTATTACCTGACATTTTCTTTGACTTCTCTTGTTATCTCTTTCTTCTTGAAGCTTTCATCAACTTTGGGTCGGGGAATTCTTTCAATCTGACTGTTTAGTTTTCTAATGGCATCCATTAATTTAAAAGAATGTGCCGTTATTTCTTTCTCCTAAAACACAATCAATTAATTTATATGGGTTTGTTAAGTATTTTTTCAATATGATTATTTTTATATCACCTTAAAATTGGTGGAATTTAATGTATCTTGAAGTTTCTTTAAAGTTTCATGGACTTCTTCATTGTTTGTTACTATTTCTTTTCTATATTCGTCATTCACCTTGGCAGTTGTATCATCTACCAATTCTTGTAATTGATTAATTTGTTTATTAAGACCATTTCCTAACTCCTTCGCCTGTAGTTTGTTTAGTAAAGCGTCAGTTAAAATCACGTTTTATGATTCATTATAAAGAGTCAATAAGACCTATCTGTTACCTGTTCTGAGTTTCTTGAACAAATTATTTGAAGACATGTTTCTTGAATAGCTTCCGAAGATTTACTTATTTTATAATCATCAACAACACCAAGCCGCGCCACGGTTTTGTCTTCGTCAGACAAGGACAGCTTTGAAAAATTAATATTAGTATGGAGTTTTGAAATTTTAGGTTTGTAATAGTGAAATATTTACCAAGAAAGCAGATTGCGTTCCGAATTCAGCACTGTTACAGACTGCGGAGGTTACGTGACGTAGTTGATTACGATAGTTTTTAGCCATGTCATCGGAAGAACGTAGTATGTCTGAAAATTTGGATAAAATAACAATATCGTTTCTTATACAATATTTTTGATTTTACTTATTTTACTCGTATAATATTAATTTTACTCGTAGTTTTATTATACTACAATAAATAAATGTCCTTACTCATAACTTCTAACTGACTCTGTAGTTGCTCCGCGCAATCAGTGAGTGATGCTGATATTGGAGGAGCCTCGTGTTCTACAAGTTGTGTTACTAGCTTCAGGTCACGCTGTAGTTCTGTACAGACGTCTAAGTCGGCACATGAGATTCGAGCCTAAATTAACAACGTTTGTTAGTTGTTTTTTGTTATAGGCACGGAACTAAGTTGATTAAGTTGACATTTTAAATTCTTGGGTACATACCAATTTGTTCAACGCGTCATTTAAATTTTTACATGCCTCTAGCAGCTTTCGTTTTGAACCAGGAACTTGGGACTGAAAATATCAAGAGCCATAATATCGAATTGTATTGATTATTCGTTCGAGTAAAAACATGAGTAAGATTTTATGTTACCTGACATAATGATTTTGAAGTCTTTATAAGATCGTATGTAGCCATATTGACTTCTTGACAAGCTTCATCAATTTTTTTACTTTGCAGTAAGTCCTGAAAGAAGTCAAGAAAGTTGCTAGCTAAGCCGTTTTTAAAATGTATTAAATTGATTACATATTTCATATTTACCTTTCCTTTTAGTCCTTTTGACAGAGAAGTTATATTTTCCGTAGCTTCCAAAGCCATATGAAGACTTTTAGAGAGCATGTCAGGTTTTTGGAAACATTTCATAATTGTTTCTGTTATTGAGCCCATTTTGTCTACTTGTTTGTTTAACTTATGCTTTAGGCCTCTGCAAACACAACGATACTTATGAGGTTGTTCCTACTTATCTGTTTAAGTGTAGCCGTTAAATTATTATAATTAACTTACTCTTTATCTCCTACCGCTGGTGGTGTATTCGATATTAATAGTCTTCTAAGATCATTGTTGGACATTAAACTAGATTTCAAAATATTTCCTTGTTTATGTGGGCTTTCAACATCACGTAAATAGGATTCAAGTTCCTTGAAATTACAAATGATAAAAATGAAATTAATGTAGCGAAAAAAAGAAGTTGATAAGAGTTAAATTTACTAGGCATACTCGTATAATTTAAAGTTCATGTACATATGATTTCTCATACGGTACCTCTAAAATTTTCTCGTTTATGGTATTATTATCGTCCTCATCTTGCCACGTTGCTATATGATGACTTCTTGAGATAGTTTGTAATTTAAGGAGATCCAATAATTTTTGCAGGTGTTCTTTTAGTCTAAAAGGAGATAATAGTTATAAAATATTATATTAATTTGAATTAAAAAGTGTTTTAAAATACGTACCTTCTGTTTTTCCCATCATTGCTTTGGATGGCAACTGCATATCGGGTCAGCTCCTTTGGCAGATGATTCTCATTTCCTGACAGGATCGCCGCAGTCAGCTTCATTTGGGCGACTTGCACATCTTGTTTTGAGGGATTCTGTGGGATATTACAGTCGAAATATTAAATATACAGAATACACTCACACTAAATGAAACCAAATTTTTCGAATACACCGTGTTTGTAATGATTCTTTTATAACAACATAATCCCGACGTTATGGTTTTTTAAAGCAACCTTGATCACGGGCATGAAATTAAATTGTCTATTAGTTACTTCGTTAGAAATCATCTTAGAACAATAACAAGTATCCGACTTTTTTTAATGAATTCACTCGAAAATCTTGGATATCATTAAACAGTTATACTATTAATTGTTAATTTATTTGAACTCGATTTTTGTACAAATTTTAAGAAACATATTTCATAATAAATATTATTACATCTGATTTTTGCAATCCTTCGTTCATCTCCAATATGTTTTCAATGTTACTTCCAACGTTTTCAAGGTTTTGAATATTGTCCTCAAATTCCACACTTGCGGCACTGGATATACTGCTTTTGGCTGCAAACCTAATAATATACGACGAAATAAAAATGTTGAACTTTGATAATGAATACTTCATTTTCATACATACTTTAATAGGTCACAGCTTTCTGTTAAATTATCAATTTTTTCCTTTAGAATATTTCTTGCAGATTCTGAGTCTATGTTAGGAATAATTTTTGCCATTTTTTGTATTTGTTCATCGCAGTTCTAAAAATATGTATATTATGGTATAACAGGTTTCAATTTTGATTTTATCTGAATTGAATTTTTATGATTGTTTGTTTACCTTTGCGAATTGATCAACCAGAATCATATTGTCAATAATACCGCCTTGAGCTTCAATCGATTCAGAGTTCTGTAGCTCTCGTTCATTTTCTTGTATTTTATTACAATGTCCTTTCAATGTCTGTAATTTTAAACAACATTTATTTCTGTTGGTCCAAACCGTACAAAAAATTTTGATCAGCTTTCAATTTACCTTCAAAGATTCGTTTCCTTTATCAGATGTGAGGTGAAGATTGTCAGCAACTTCCAAAACAGCGTTTGCTGCTGACATAACATCGTTAACGTAATCCTGAAAGTGTATTTTAACTCATTTGAATTAAAGTTCATAAGGTCAAACACAATCAGCAGTTCCAAAAAGGGACAAACTAATTTTACCGTCAAATCAACAATTTTGTTTGATGAATTCCCCCTTCTTGAGAGTAAGCATATTTGTTGTAGGTCCATAATAGCAAGTTCTAAATCTTGATGCTTTTTGGAATCCTTGAAAATAAATTAGTGTTAGTCATAGTTACTATTCTGATTAAAATTCAGTTTATATATAATCTAAATACTGTATTATTATTATTATTATTTCATAGTTTTTTTCTGATATACTCACAAGAGGTTCGTTAACACATTTAGCATAGCATAAATCCAAGGTATTCAAAGCAGCTGATAAATTCTCGGAAAAACATTCCAATTCCTTGTGCTCTGACTGTTTCAATTTGTCTGACTTAAGTTTCATCTGTAACAAGAGTGAAATTTCAAGTTTTATGCCATGAAGAAATGTATGTTTAAATGACTTGATTTACCTTAGTTGATTCAAGTATCTTCAGGGCCAACTGTCTTAAAGGCGTATCAACTACAACAAGTGGTTCGTTCGTGTCTTTTTCACTGCTGACTGTTTTACTAACATTTGGTACAAAGCCTTGGAAATTCTCGACATTTGATTGCTGTAAATGTTGAACAGGTAGGTACAAAATATTTTATCAGTAAAGATTTTAGTTGGTTGTTATTAAAAAAAATATATTATTATACTCACCGATTCCAGTTGTAATTCCTTTGTTAAGGGAACATTATTTTGGTAATGCAAATTAATATCATCATGATCTGAAAAAATGAAGCAACGAATTATTTATGCTCAATAAATGATCACGAGATTTGAAATCGTTATTTCACTTGAAATTTAAATTATTTTTAATAGGTATCTCAAAGTAAACTTGATGAATTTTGATATTTATATAGTGAGCATATTATTAATCACATGTCAGTACCTGAATTATCTTGACAGATATCTTTTAACTCCAGTAAGTCTTTGTCTAGCAAATTAAGATCTCTTTGAAGCTGAGCAACAATTTCTTTTGATTCGGTATTGTGACTCAAAGGCTGCCAAAGTTCCTTCATATCTTGAGCCAAGCTTGATAGTTTCTCCGTAGACGATAATAAAACGGACTTACAATTTTTCTCATTGATTGATGGAGCTGTTATCTAAAGGCAAAAAAGATTTTAAATATTTACACGGAACCAAACATAAAAATCACTTAGATGTTCGTACTAAAGTAATAGTATTTATTGAATTATTACCTATGGTCCATATAAATCGACCTCAGACCGTTATTCACATACCTGAGCATTAGTAAGCAGAGCATGGGCACCGTTAGCGACTGTAATGCCAGCGGCTTCTAGTATTTGTCCCTTGTCCTCTAGACTCTCTGTACCCTGAGATACACCAGCTAGCCGTGACAGACGAGAGAGCATGAGGGACGTCCTCTCACACGCGTTGCGACTCAAATCCATTATCTGTGTATATTATGTTTGGTGAATTATAAGCTTAATTTATTAAATATATTACGTATCTAAAGTTCAGTTTTTTTATGAATGTGAAATAACCATTTGGAATATTTAATCTTATATCATATTTTTCATCTCGAAGCAATTACTTAGTGTAAGTGGGAGTTATCCTAAATTAGCATTGTCACATGTTATAAAGTAAAAGGCACAAAAAATTATTGCAAAAAATATTTTCATTTTAACTGCGTTCTACGCGAGTTTTGCGGAATATAATCTAAATATTTACTTAGATCAAAGCTATAAATTGAAGAATTGCTTTGAAGAAATAATTTATTTACTTATCTAATGTTTAATAATAAAATGTAAAGAAATTTCATTTACCTTTCTCTCTTTATTGGGGTGGCTGTGTGGATTAGTTATGTGGATTAACTTCCCTGAAGATTGTGCGTACTTTGAAGCTTCTTGTAGGAGTTCCTAAAGTATGTGAAAAGTTTTTAATAGGAAACTATATGAAGAGATAAATAGACGTTCTCTATATGGATAAATTAAACATTATTAAAATAAAGATATCAATGATTTGTGATATTTTGTATGAATTATTTGAAAGATTTAAATAAATAACTTTCTCTTACCTCCAAATTATTATTTTCTATACTGTTACAAAGCGACTGGTTAGTTTTACACAATGATTTTGCCTCCTCGAACATGGTTTGTCGAGAATCATCGTCTAATTTGTTTTGAAGGCACATTATATCTATGAAAAGATACAAGAATATTAGTTTTAGTGTAGGTAAGTTTTGTCCTCAGAAAACAACTGCTAAACAAAAATAACTATTTATTCCGTCTAGACGTCAGCAGACATTTTGTCATTTTTGTTTTTAAAAAGAAGCTTTTTAAAATAAACTAATAATTACCTTTAATTATAGCCGGCGATAAATTGGAAATATTTGTCAGAGATTCTTCGATTGTTTTAAATGCTGGGTTTTTACGATCTGTAATTATTATATTAGTGAATATTAAATAATTATATAGTGAAAAAGGAACCTCGTTAAGGTTTTACATCAATTCATTATTTACCTAACATAGCTAGTATCAAACGGGCCACGGCTTCATTGAGTAACGTAATTTTTTCAGACAGCATCTTTCTTTGGTCCAAAAGCGGTTTTTCATTTCTATCAACTTCCAGTGCAATCTTTTCCTCAGACAGAAGTTTTTCTGCATCTTTTAATATTTCTTTCACTTCACATATTTTTATTTTTTCTAGTTTCTCTTGGATATCCAAGTTTTCTGTATCATCTGTAGACAAAGATTGATTGATGTAGGAATTGTAATAATTATTAAATGTAAAAGTGAATATATCTGTTTGCTGCTTGATTAAGCATAAAATATAACCATAAATATCTATACTCGAAAAGTTTGAAACCAGGTAGTAGCAAGCTTAATTCTTTGCTATATCAAATAGGCTTAGTTATATATAAATTAATTACTTAATAAATGAAAAATATACAACGTGTTACCAAAACAAGTAGCCTTTATCTTGTTAAGAGTACCGTTAACCACATTATAATTTTGGTTTAGTTGGTGTTGGATATCATTATTATTCTGATTATGAACTAATGGTTCCCAAGTCTCCTTTAAATTTTTAAGAAGTTGTTTCAGATGATCAACCGATGACATGAGGACTTCTTTACAATCAGGGTTATCTATGGTAGATACTGTTATCTGAAAGCATGACCAATTAATTAAATGTCTACAACATATTAAATTAGAGGTTAAAGGTTAAAACCCTTATATAACTGAACTGCAGTATCGCGTTTTTTATTATTCAAAACTACATACTCCCGACGTTTCGGTTTCTTTGCAGCAACCGTGATCGCGGACAGACGAGATGTTAATGTCTATCAGTTGGTCTGTCGCATAAAGTTAAGATATTGTTGACGGTAGATGACAAATTACAAGTGGAACGTCGGGAGTATGTAGTACAAAATAATAAAAAATAGTGCATGCGATAATATTAGTTTTATATAATGAATACTAGCGAAAGTCGATATAATTGTACCTGAGCTGTTTTTAGGAATTGTTTCGCTCCATCCACAACCACAACACCTTTTTGATCTAAATTCGAGCCCTCAGTCCCACCCACACTTTTTACTAAATTATACACATGGGGTAGCAACAAAGATATCTGCTCAACTGCTGTTCTTGATAGATGTTGTATCTGAAAATTTTTGAGTATTTTGAATTACGTCATAAATCTAATTGTAATAATGGATGAAGAAACTAATTCTGAAAGAAGTGTTGTGCAATAAAAACATTGTCAAATATTTTTTAGTTAAAGACTTAATGTTATTTTATGTCTATTTTGTATCGTCAATATCACTCATTAGTCATTACGAACTAGTAGCGCCATCTAGCGTAAGGTATGTAAGTCTGTGGGTATGTTCGTTTTTTCAAATGTTCAAATAAAGATCAGTTCTTGATAAAATTTTGATCAAGATCAAAATGATGTAAGCATAGTTTAGTGTAAGTATTCAGTCACCTGGCCTTCCTTTCTTGTATTAGCTCGTTGGTTGCAAACAGAATTCAGTGTGGCTAAAGAATTCATGACTGCAGCAGAAGCAGAATCGACTTTCTGAAAATTTTGTAACACGTTACTTTAACTTAAGTATCGAACTACATTGCAAGTTAATATAGCTATTTGATTTCCTACCTCCGGATCTTCTAAGCAATTGTAAATGACGTCTGAGCCATCAATAATTTGTTTGAGATTGTCCAATATAACCGACCGTGTGTGAGGGTCAACAGTGCCGTCGATGAGTTTTGTATCTAGTTTATTGACCGAAAATTTTAAAACAATATCACATAGCAAAAAAACAAAAATTTAAATGATATCCATAGCGAAAATCAACAATTACTATCCTATTTATTTACAAACCTTTAATTACATCTGATAACCGGTCGGAGAAATTCTTTACTGCTTGTATTTTTCGTTTTGAGTCTGAATCTGTAAACAAATACATACGAAATATTTTATTAAATAAAATCATTATATCAGTCTATTTCTTCCATAAGACTCTACCTTTACAGTCATTTAACAGCGACGCAAGAGCGGCATTTAGTTGAGCTAGTTTTTGTGCCAAACTCTCCTTGGATGAGATATGAGTTATTTTTGATTTTGAGGGCTGAAACAGAAAGTTAAAAAAATTTAAATAAACTGTATATCTCTTTAAAGTTTGTAACTTATGTGTTAAAGAAATGAAATAAATAATGTATAATAAATGATAAACCATAAGTTGTACATATACTTACAGTTACTGACATAATATTTTGTAATTCCTTCTCTGATTTTGCTAAATTCTTTTTCGCTTCTTCTAAACTTTCTTTAAGTTCACACGACTCTTTATTTTGCGGATGATCATGAACTATTAAATAATGAAGAACAAGAAGGAATATTAAGAGTATACCATATATATTAATTAATATATGTACGACTTAAATAGAATTTCTCTAATAACTTACGGAACTCGTTGATATATTTCGCTAATTTAAGTTTATTTGTATCAATAATCTTCATACTGTCTTCTAGTTCTTTTTTATTTTGCATACAATTGGGTTCTTGTAAGGAAGGTTCCCAGGAGTCCAGAAATTGTTTCTTTCTATGAGACATCTCGTTCATTGAAGATACTAGTAGGTCTTGACTTTGGGAGTTGCTAAGACTTGGTACGGTTAGCTGATGGGGAATATAAAATTTATTGGCAACTAAGTTATGGTAATGATTTTATGATTCGACATAAATTAAAGGTAAATTTGTGTTCATACAACCTCCACCATTTTGTGTAATCGTTGCACAGAATCTTCCAGTTCATTTCCTAATTTATAAAGTTTATTACGATGTTCGCCTCCAACGTCATCTGCTAATTTTGACATTTTTGGTAAAATTCTTGAACTTTCATCTAAGATTGATTTTGCTAAATCTTTCACCTGAAACAAATTTCAGCCCAACGAATTATCAAATGTTAAGATTGGCTAAAAGATAAAGAAATATCATAGACAAGTCTACTTATGTCATTCAGATCCATACACATAGGAAGAATTACCTGTTCTTCTTGAGAATTCTTGCGAGGATTAAAAATAAATCGTAATTTATTAGACGAATTTGCTAGTTTGGAAGCGGCGCGATATAAATCCTAAGAAGGAAAAAATAAGTTAGAGTTTGTTGTTAAATTGTAATTTATAATGAAAGAAAAGGAAAATACTTTATCATTTGATTCCTTTGTGTTGGTACAGATATCTTTGATAGCTTCAAGCATATCTACGAGGTTATCAGTTATGTTTTTCCATGTTTGTTCATCCATTCGTCCTTGTAAATGTTTGGAATCTAAAAATAAACAGACAAAACATATCACTTGCTCTCTATAATAACTATATTTATAATTCTATCAACTGCTACCTTTTACAATAGCCGGAGCAAGTTCTTTAATAACGTCCATCGCTGCTTCCACCTTTTCATATTCAGGATTATTTGAACCTATAACAAAGACACATAATTTATTATTATTATCAATGGCTATTTGTATTTCAGATTTACTATTTAAAACATACCTGCTGTAGCTTGCAATAGAGATGCGATTGCTGCGTTGAGATTAGCCAGTTTCTTAGATAAATCATTTTGCAATTTTGGAACTTCATATCTGATCTCTCCTTTTGGTACCTATGAATTATAAAAAATATATTAAAATGATTTACAATGCTTTATCGCAGTTTGGCGTGGCACTTATTCACAATAACTTTTTGTTTTAATTACTTCCGTTTCCTGAAGAGCAGTTATTTGGTGAAGCTCTTCATGAGCTTCTTTTAAAGCATTTTCAGCAGCTGATATTGAAGCGATGCATTTGCCTTCGGCCATGTCTTCAAAATCTGCAAGAGAATTTGTATTGTATTCGTACATTTTTTTGGAAGAACAAGAAATAAAGGAATTTTTGAGAAAATACTTACCATCGGATACTGTGCATGCATTTCTCAATAAATTTAAACTATTTTCGATAGTCTTTAAGCTATTATCAAGTTGGTTTCTTGATAGTTTATATGAAGGTGATTGTAGTATCGGTGTCCACGTATTCTTTAAATTTTTGATTTCACCAGAAACCTGATCAATTGCACATAGTAGTGACGTCTGGCATTTTGGTTCATTTATGTTTGGTGCAGTTATCTATTGACCCATGCAAAGATAGAAGAATTAATTTAAAATAAAGGCACATAAAAAAGAAGTTTAAAGAACGTATTTTTCATTTTCAAAATCTTCCATATGAAATTTCATTACCTCGGCCACTTTAAGCATTCTTTGCGCAGGTCCAACAACTTTAACACCAGCGTTGTCAAGCAAGTCTCCGTCCCTTCTATCAACCTTTTCAACTAGATCATAGACTTGAGTCAGCATCTGACTTATCTGATCAACCGCTGACTTAGCCAAATCCAAGACCTAGAAAAAGTATGAATATATTTAGTTGGGAAAAATTTTAAAATTTCCATGCCTTATAATAATTAATTTTATAATTATTGGTATTTTCTTCTTTTTTATTCCAAGAAATAAACGGGATATGATCTGAAGTTAAGTGAATACAGTAGCGTCGCTTGGATCTAACTTGTGTAGAACATGTTCTTTATTTGATATTAAAAAAATATGTAAAAACTATTTTTACCTGGTCTTCCTTCGTAAATCTTTTTCTTGGGTTATAAATATAAGTCAACTGGCCAGATGCTTTAGCAAATCTTGTTGCAGCATCATTTAACTTCTAAAAAAATATAATAGTTAATATACAATACTTTGCACAATTATGAATGATGTTACATACTTGCAAATATTAGTTTTCTTGTAAGTATGTAAAATAAGGAACAATATACATAAATACTGATTCCGATAGTATTGTAATACTTTTTTTTGTTGAAATCGTTAATATATTATTAGCTAAACCTTACATCGTTATTAATTTCTTCGGCATTAGCACATATGTCTTGAGTAGCTTCGAGGAGTTCCTTAAGATTTTCTTTAATATTATTCCATGAATCATCATCAACTTGTCCATTCAATTCTTTGGAATCTGTTAACATAGAAATTTTTAAACAAAACTTCTACAAAAATAGGTTATTAGTACAATATAGTTTTGTTATATATACCTTTTATAATATTTGGCACTGACTTCTTGATCAACTCCATGGCACTTTCTGCTTTATCATAATCAAAATGATTGGGCGCTTAAAGGAAAGAAATAATTGATTGTGCGTTATTTAGAAATGAATAACTTTGGAGCCATTAAAAGATATTTCTTACCACTGGTCAACTGCAAAAGATCTGCGATAGCGGCATTAAGTTGTGCAAGACTTTCTGATAATTTAGGTCGTAATTCCTGAGCAATGTTTCTGGTTGGCCTTTTAGATTCCTGGAGAAATTAATGAAATACACTTATTACGCATATTATTGTATTAAATATAAAGCTTACATTTTGAGCATAAGTAATGTGTCTTATTGAAATCCAAAAAAAATTCATTTTATGTAATAAGTTCGCAAACATTGTTGAAATATTGAGATAAATGGTAGGTGAATCAACAAGACGGGAATAGAATTTATGTAATGCTTTAGATTAGTATCGTAAACTTACTTTAGAGTCATTTATATCAAGAAGTTCCTTGCTTGCTTCTGTTAAAGCTTTATCAACAGCAGCCATTGAAGACACGTAGTTTTGTTTGTTTAGATTTTCGTCACCTATGACATGGTCATCAAATTAATTATAATGAGAACAAAAGTCCTATATAATACTGTGTAAAGAATTGTTTTACCATTGCTGCTAGTGCAGGCTTCTCGTAACTTATTAAGTTTTTCTTCTACAAGTTGCATGCTATTGTTGAGTTGATTATGGGCATCTTTATATATTTCAGATTTGATAATGGGTGTACAAGTATCTTTCAGATTCTGAATTTCGTTAGATACAAGATCTATTGCTGAGAGAAGTGTCTCTTGGCATCTAGCTTCATTTATATTCGGCGCTGTTAACTAAAATTTTACGAAAATGCAAATAATTACCACAAAGAAAAAAATATATTTCAGAAAAAAATAGTAAATGTAGAAGAATATATCTTTATATATCTTTTATTATGTAATAAACAGATTGAACTTAATTAAAAATGTCAAATATTTAATTTCACAGTGTAATTGCTGTTGAAATGTTAAGCACAATGCAAATATTAAAATGATTAAATTAATTTTCATTACCTCGGCCACTTTAAGCATTCTTTGCGCAGGTCCAACAACTTTAACACCAGCGTTGTCAAGCAAGTCTCCGTCCCTTCTATCAACCTTTTCAACTAGATCATAGACTTGAGTCAGCATCTGACTTATCTGATCAACCGCTGACTTAGCCAAATCAAGAATCTTAAATGAAATATAATTTGTTTTCAATTCTATTGATTCTAAATATTTAAATTGAAAAACCATTTGCTTTTAGAATTATATATTTGTTTAAACTTTAAAGTAATTAATGAAGTATTTATTTATGTATAACAAATATATTCAAAATATTTATTAGACAGATATGTTTTTCTGATATATAAAGTGCACAAAGTTTACTTTGTTTTAATAATTTGTATGAAAACTTACAGAAAAACAAACCAGACACAACTTACCTGGTCTTCTTGTTCATATTTCTTCCGCGGGTTATAAATGTAAGTCAGTTGGCCAGAAGCCTTGGCGAATTTAGACGCAGCATTGTTTCGAGCCTAAAATTTAATAAATTGTGACTCATGTACTCCAAATATCACTTTTCAAAAAACTTTACTCTCGTTACACAGATTATTGTCAGTAAATAAAGTTAATTTTCGTAAAGATAAAAAAGAATTTATTTCAAAAATATTTTGGATATTAATGTGAAAAAAATAATAAAGTTACATCTTCGTTCATTTCTTCGGCATTTGAACACATATCCCTTGTAGCTTCAAGCATTTCTTTGAGATATTCTGTTATTTTCTTCCAGGTAGCCTCATCTACTTTTCCATTCAAAGATCTGGAATCTAATCATTAATTTATTACAGAATAAATAAATTAATACAAATATTGGAATAAATATATTTTAATATTAAAATTGTAACCTTGGATAATATCGGGAGTCAATTTGCTGATGATATCTATAGCAGCTTCTGCATTATCGTAATCAGCGTTGTCAGGATCTATAAACAAGATACATTATACGACTTTTACCATATTAATGAGGTATTAATAAAAAAATAACATGAGTTACTGCCTGTGGCCTGCAGTAGTGCTGCAACAGCTGCATTGAGGTGTGCCAGTTTTTGCGATAAATTATTTTGTAATCCTGGATGGTCATTCTTATCACTTTTGGGCACCTGTTAACGAAGACATGTCGAAATATAAAGTCTTATCTTAAGAAATACTTTTAACAATGGCGCTTTACATTTTTTGCAATAAAATTGTGCTTAAAATATAAGTGATTTCGTGTGGTGCTTACCATTATAACTGGCAAGTCACTTAATTTTTGCAGCTCTATATTAGAATTTCTCATAACTTTATCGGCTGATCTCGCCGTGGCAATGAATTTCAACCGTTTCATTTCTGGTTCTTCATCTGGAACTAAAAATGTCCAATCATAAGTTAACACTGAGTAACACGAAGGAACTGGCATTCAGTAACGTCGAACATTCAACAAACAAATTAAAATTTACATTGTATATTTACATTTACATTGTATTTTTACATGCAATATTATTGAATCGTCAGTGCAATATCGTAGTATATGTATATGAAATATTAAATAACAAGGGACGTTGGTGACTTTTTGAAACGGACACCTGGCTTCGTTAAGCAGAATTTTGAAGATAAAGTACAAGCTATGAAATGGTATTGCTATCCTAACATCGAGGCAATCATGTAGTCCTATTATTATTATAATATACATCTAAGTAAGTTTATTAGTTTTCCTGGAATCTCTGGCGGCTGTGAAACATACCTTACATAATTAGATACAAAAAAGATTTACCTGTAATGTTTGAATATGCATTTTTCAGTTTATCCAATGCTTTAGCCAATTCAAAGGTACCGTTTGCTAATTGTTTAGCAAAGGATTTGCGGTCAGGCTTTTCAGACAAAGGTTTCCATAATAATGCCATTCTTTGGGCTGATGAAGCAAGGTTTTCAGTCGCAGCTGTTAATGCACTCTGACTGTGAGGTTCACGGATGGACGACGATGTCAACTGGAGAGAGACAACGTCAATTTTAAATAGATATATAGATTAGAAAATGTCCAAAAAATTTATGACTAGATTAAGTAGTAGTTGATGGTTAATTATTCTCTAGGAACAATTATTTACATAGAAGAGTGATAAATAAAAACCAGTACTAGTTTTGCGACTGTGGAAAGTTCTTATAGAAATGTAATGTTACTTACTCTAGCACAAGCTAATAGGCCCTCGGTAGCATCAGTGCATTTGATGGCTGCGGCGTCTAATTCAGCAGCTCGAGGATCAGAGGCTTCCAATTTCGTCAGTTCACTGGTACCCATTAGTAATAATTGTACCTTGTTGCCCACATTTTGGGCCAATTTAATGAACTTTTACATGAAAATAAGTAATATATTCATTAAAATATTAATTAATAATAAAATGAACAAATACTACATATTTTTGGAAATGCTTTTTGGATTTAAAGGAGTTATAATTATATAATAGAAATTTTATAAAACCACTTACTTCTTCATTTTTATCGAATGCGTCAGGTGATTTAAGTATTTCAGTGATTTTTGCGCTTACGTCAGCATAATCGTTGCCCACATCGTACATTTTCTATCAAAGATCATTTAAGAAAAATATTCTATTAATTATTACAATTTATATATGTTCAACTGATTTTAGTGTTTGTTTGTGTTAAAACAACTTACGTTAACATTATCTGAGCCAGTCAACATACACATAGCTCGAGTGCAATCAAGCAGTTGTTTCACATATTCCTTCAGATCTTTTCCGTTTTCTCTATTTTCTTCATTTGTTAGAGCTTTTACATCTAAGCAGAGAAATGAGACCCATATTAAATGAATAATAAAATCTGTTTTAAAGAATCCTAGCTTTGGTTATTATTGTTCTTTTTGCACATTAAATAATTTGACTAGAAAATCAATGCAAATAATATATTAATAGTTTTTCACCTTTGACAAAACCGGGTATCAGTTCAGACAGTGTATTCATAGATATAACAGCGCTTTCGTAATCTGTATTAGCTGGATCTGTAAAATACAATAAGTAATACATAGGGAATAAAATAGTTATTATAATTAAATTTTCATAATGATCTAAATTAGTAAGCATTCTCTAAATTTAAGTTGTCATTTTTTCACTATAGTGTTACGAATTAAAAACAATATAATCCTTTATTTAACAAAAACTTAGTAATCATTCATATAACTTATAACTAATGAATAACGTATTGAAACATCAGCATGAAGAATAAATCTCTTGGTTATGCTTACAAATAGAAAACGAAAAAATGAGATGGTACATACTGAAAAGTATAATAAATTCATTTTTTTTATAATAGAAGTCTTTTATGTTCTTCTTACCTGCGTGAGAATTCAGTATCATTGCAATCGTGGCTTGCAGGTGGCCCAAATCTTTTTCAGACTTTAACGCCAAATATTGGCTTTCCTCACTACTGACAGGACTTTCATTCGGCTGGAAATGTTTGGTAATATGTAGAAATGTTATTATACTTAAATAGATTTATGCAATTAAATCATGTTTCATTTAAGAAGATACGCTATTTCTTTGTTGTAACTTATGTGTTCTCGTAATTTACGCACCTCATCTAAATAGTGAGCTGCATTTTCAACAGTAGTCCAAGCATTGTCTGTTGCTGTCAGGAAAGAAGCGCGTCGCAAAGATGCTTCTGTCTTTTCATCCTGTATGAAACTATGGCGAGAACGCTGGAATACAGAAGATGTTAAAGATAATTTTCAAAAACTCGTTGTCTGTAGTTCTTTGGAAAATATTTTGTTCAGTTTGGATTATCTTTTAGGTAAATATGATTAAGATACTTTAATTTGTGACTGTGAATATGAGCGAAGATAAAAAGCACTATGATAGGATATATGCATATCACATTGTTTCAACGTAAAATGGGGGATAGCTTTAAAGACTACAGGTATTGTAATAGTAATCACTATGCAAAATAGGCGTTATACAACCTTATTTTTTGGCTTATGAGATAAATTACTTATTGAAATTTATTGTGTTAAATAATGTAACGTTCTACCATAAGAATTTTGCTCCGTCTTTTGGTATTTGGATCCAAAGATAGGTGCATCTGCGTAGATAAATCTGCTAACTTTTTCGCTGCATCCAGAGCCTTTGTTAGGTTTTCTTCATTTGTCTAGAAGCACGAATGTTTATTAAGTTTCTATAACAGTAATTGTACAAGTGTTTTTTTGTGCTTGAAGAACTTACCAGATCATTATTTTTTGTTTCCGACGATAAACTATCCAAATAGGAGCAAAGGTCGTTAAGATTATTTAGAAGCATCTTAGATTTTAATGGACTTGAGTTCGCAGCAGTTTCGTTAACACCTGGAAGAATTCAATTAATGTCATTATAAACATATCTCAATGAAACAAAAACAATTTCTAGTGGAGAAACAATGAATTTATGAAGCTTATTATATTCTGTTGGAATGTTATTCGCAAATTGATAGAGTGATAAAATTGGTATTGCATGTTTTATATTATAGAAGTTTCATAAATAAATAAGAAAACGATTGAAGTGTTCAGTTAAAGAAATACCTGAAATAAATTAATTAAGGCATCTTAAGTTTACGAATCGATTCTCGGTACACACATACCTTCTTTTAACTCAGGCAATGCAGCTTCCATAAAAGCGACAACTTTTCGTGCTTCTTTTATATTGTGTTCTGTTGGATCTAAAAAAAATTAATATTTGCTGAGTTATTCATGTATTTTATAATTTATATTATGCTAGCGTGGTATAAGATAAGTCTTGATCAAGTTGTGAATTGATTTCGGCCTATGATGAAACAGTATTTGTTCTATACAAATAAGTATTACAAATAATGATCAACTTTTTTACCTGATAGATACACAACACTTGTCACACATTTGGAGTTAAAAGTCTTCATTTTATTTTCAATGCCATTCGAAATGTGGTGCTTAGAAGGTTCCACCTAAATATAAATAAATATACATTAGATAAGCAGATCAAAAGAGAAGAAAAATTAAAAGATTAATAAATAATGTACATAACTAATAATACATATTTTATACTATCATAATTTATTCTCATCTATAATTTTTACTGCAATTTATAAGAATATCAAACATCATATCGACTGAAATATTACTCTTATTTATAATAAGATATATAATGTGATTTCAAAACGTGACATTATGAATTAAAGTATATTATAGAATGAAATATTTATTTCTTACTTTTGAGCTATGGGTTGTGATTGGTTGCTGGCTTTTGTTGCTTATGTTTGTCTTCATCAATTCGTTCACCGTAACAATTTGAGTTCCCTCTTTGAATTGTTGTCCTAATAATGAATAATCGAGTTAGTTCATGTACTAAATATATTGAATAGAATTTTTACTTCAATTGTGGACAAAATCTTACCTTGTTCCACCGATATTATCTGGCTTGGGCCAACTAGGGAATGTTGAACTGCTTTCTTTGCTGCATAATTCACAAATGTTGTGCCTCTGCAATTGAGAATTGAATAATTTTTATTAAAAAGAACATTTAAATAATTTTTAAATATCAAATATGCTTTTACCTTGACATTTCAACATTATCCTCGAATATGGCTTCCCCTTCAATAAAGTTAACTTTTCTAGGACCAGCAAGACTTCGCTTTATAATGTCGATATAGCCTTCCAGAATGTCTTTGATACGATAGCCTTCATTGGTCTTGACCACATATTCTTTTTCACTACATTGTTTGGACAGTAAGTATATTATAAATATGCCAAAAAAAATTATTTAAACTAATATTTGAAAATAGAAAACCAACACTATGAAGAATTAAAACAAACATTTTCATAATATTACTTTTGGAATATTTTTAAGTTGTATAATAAATCATCTTATATATACAAGTTACCTGTAATCTCCGAAATTCAGAGCGAAAGACTCGTAATCAGCTCTATAACTTTTTACTTGAGTCAGAAGCCAAACTTGGATGATTTCTTTCGTCTCTTCGTCGAGACGTAGAATAGAATTTGCATTTATTCCTAAAAGACGGGGTACTAGCTTCTTCTTTTTTAGTTGCTTTTCCTAAACAGATTCAGAGAATTTTGTTACTGTTATCGTTTACTAAAAAGGTCACACTTCGTGTCTATGTACAGATGTGCTTGTAATTACATATTTATTTTACCTTTACTAGGAAGAAGGTGACTCCGTAAGTAGGCAACCCACGCGCCATTCTTGTGTACATTTGTTTCGCTTCTATCTCAGGAAGTCCGATATGCATTTTGTGTTCTTTGATAACCTTTTTCTCGGCGCCCCAAGTCACGTACTGTTCTGGTAGAAATTCCTTTAAACTGAAGAAAATATTTATTGTTATTTAAAGTTAATATAATCTCCTAACGTAATTCATTTCGAGCTATATAAAATGTGGTTTAAGTAACATACTTTTGAATAAAACCTGGTTTGTGTTTGTCCTCGTCGTAATCACCATACTGTATATGACATTGTAAACCGGCAAATTCAAGCGCTGAAAGAATCAATAAAATAATCACTCACTATATACGATTAATAAATTTAAATGTGATTTTCCTTATGATTCACAAATATGTTTACCCTTAGATTCAGTGACGACCTGTTTTCCTTCTAAAATTCCGTCTCTCGTTTGAACATAAAGTAGATTCAGCTGTACCGGGTCTCGAGAGTCAACGTTACGGTCAGAGTAAAAAAGTTTGCGTTTAAACAACAATGTTTCGTGAGGGTCTACTTGTAACTCCCTTAATGTTTTATGCTGGTCCAACCACTCCACTGAAATTAAGGAAATGGTTTGTGTAATTACCTCCATTTGATATCTTATTCGCTTTCTTGAAGAGTTAATATGTATCATGAAATTATAATACTACCGAGGTCATCGGTTTTTAATTTCTTGCTCAATTGCTCGAGCTTAGCGTCCTTTTCTCTCTGCACGGTTTTTTTTCTTAGAGTCAAGGTCCCCATTGTATTGGCTCCCTTTGGATCCTCAAGAGACTCTTTGTCTTCTCGACACTGATGGAGATGGAAAACATATTTAGTACAACTGACATATTGTGATATATTAAAATATTACAATAATGAAAATTGTAGTTTCAACAAATATATCAATTAGCTTTCATTGATAAACTTGATGAGCATATTTATTATACATTAAATAAAAAAAGATAAATAGTCTAATCCATTTATAAATAGATTTTTACTTTTAAAAGTAACTTACCAGTCCATATTCTTCTGAGTTACTAATCCGCAGTTTTTCACAGATGTAGACCATCAAATCTCCGACCTTCTTGGATTCATCGAGTTGAAGAGTTTTCACAGCACCTTATAAAATATTTTCATTATAATTCTAATTACATTGATTGATTGGAAGAAAAATTGTTTGACATAAATTATATGTAATTATTATACAATATAAATTTTAACTGGTGGAGAAACTGATAAATGATTGCAAGGCTAATGGAGATTGTCCAAATTTTGTTCAAAATTAGGTCCTAGGTGAGGATTGTTTTTATATACGTTAATATAAGTACCATCCAACATTCGAAGTCTCATATTTCTTATCTTGGGGAGGTAATGTAGGCAGTCACCCTCTCGTAGCATGTAGTACTCCAGAGTTTTACCACCGTCATCCAACCACACTCCCGAATACTCATTGTCAGCTGACGGAAGGAAGAAACCGTATTCTGTAAAATTTTGAGGAATTATGAAGACATTATCGTATTATTTTTAAGGAACCAAATATATTTTATTTGGGAAATTTTAAGGAATACTTTATTAACATTTCATGTTAGTTTATTATAAAAATTAAAATTCTCAATCATCTTCAAATATATTAATCCTTATATAAATGAAGTTAATATTAAGATTGTCGACACACTTATATCTCAGGAACTAGCAATTGTATTTAAAGTCTTTATTTTTTGTACAAAAACACGAATCAGTAAACATAAAAATATATTCGTACAAGAAAAGGAGCTATAGTGTAGCTTGCGGTAGAGAGAGGAGTTTGAAAGATGGATGTAAGGGTTTAACGCGCGTTAGATAGGGGCCCCTTAAACCTACATCTGGGTCTCAAGTCCCAGTCACTGTTGAAGCTCCTTTCCTTGTAACGATGGGTCTGGCACCTGCACGGTGCATCCATAAAATGCTAAGAAGTTAAAACCAGTACAAAAATATTAGGCCATTGCTAAAAATTACCTCTGTTAGGTTCTAAAGCCAGGATCTTGTCTTTCACTATCACATGAGCTTCTTTAATTGTAGTTTTCGTATCAAACTTGAGAGTTCGAGTAACTGCGCCTTCCCCCAAAATTATCTTCAACGAAAGTGGTGCCATTGTCTGTAATTGATTTACATAAATTTTAGTTAACAGTTGTAAATGTAACGTCCCATATTGCAGAGCTGTCTAATAAAAAACTGTGATAATCTATATATCTGTAATAATTTTTAATTTAATAATTATAAAGTATTTATATTTAAAACTAGCTTTCCGCCCGCAGCTTCGCCCGCGTGAAGTTCGGTTATATCGCGTTTCCAAGAGAACCTTTCGAAAATCTGGGATAAAAAACTATCCTATGTTCTTTCTCAAGGTCAACTCTATATCTGTACTAAATTTCATTAAAATCAGTTCAGTGGTTTAGGCGTGAAAGCGTGAAAGCGTAACAGACAGACAGAGTTACTTTCGCATTTATAATATTAGTAGGAATAAGCTGGTAACTATTAGTTGGTTGTTTAAAGTATGGCCTTCATCCGTGCAAAGACGTGCATAGTATATTCTGACAGTCTCGTGTTGAATGGAGGAGACACGATCCGGGATAAACTTTTAAATTAAATAAAATTTAACCGCCACTACTGAATCCACAATTAGGAACATTGTTAGTTGATCTAAAATAACACACAGGAAACTATAAGTATCACTTTATGTCATGTACTCAATATTATTTTGATGGATTTTCCTTTTATTTTAACGTCACTAGTTATATTTATAAGCACATCATAAATAATGTTCCCGATACGTCTCTATGAACACAGTTCAATGCATTGTCTTCTTTATTTGTATGATAAAGATTATAAGGTAGTGTGCAATAATTTAAATACGTGAGTATAAGAAATAAACATAATAGATATAAACAAAATACATTCACATAAACCTTATTAGTCCAAACGGTTTTGATTACTTACATACAAATAATTAATGATTTATTTATAACATAAAAAATACATTATTACAATAATTTTAACTTAAATTTAAATGCATTAAAATCAAACTTACGTAAAGCTAATAAATATTATGTTAAAAGTAAGAGTTACTTTACTTATTATGATATAAATAAGTATACAATATTAATATTTAATATTAATATTTAATATTATACGTACGCGTCAGTATTGTTTGTGTCAGTTATTCAAACTGACAATTATCCTTCTCACTAACGTATGCTGACTCACCGATACGCTCTTATCGAAGTATATATTTAATACTTAATTAATTTATTATTATTTTATATATATTTAGGTAATAAACATGATTGATTTTTTTTTTATTTTTACGAACATATTTGATGTTAAAAGTTTTAGTGGGTTTCATTGAACATTAAATATTTAGTTAATAAAGCTGAATTTTGTTCATGATTAATGACCAAATTTGGCAATTAATTTGGAAGATTATTGAACACAATTAAATAGAAAGTAACGACATATGTGTGCCTAAATCCTAGTTTAAGTTCCTGTTAACAAAGGTGTTCACATCATAAATTTTAAGCTTGGTGTATTTTTATATGTTATTTCCGAATTTTCCATTTACAATAAAGTTAGTGAATCTTTGGAAATGGGCGTCAATCGATTTTTATTTAAGACGAATTGTAAAATTATTACTTTAGATGAATTATAACTCAAGTTTTATACATTTTGTAGGCAGATTCAACATAAAAATAAGATATGCTCACGATTGTCTCAAAAAATTAATAATATATATGTACCTACAATGTACATATATGTCGAGGCACCGTGTCATATTTGATTTTTAAGAAGTTTGACGTCACAATCACTGTTTTCAACAGCCGGCTTATCCATGTTCCATTTTCATCTAACTATTTATACACTCATAATCACTTTCACTACTTCATTTCAGACTTTAAGTTGCACTTGTAATTAGATAATCTTCCTCCTGGAGAGCTCTCACACTGTGTCTCTTTCCTTTTATTTTTACTAAAAGTTACATAATGACTAATCTTCACATATTACAAATCAAGGAACTAATTAACATTTACTGTTATTTAATACAAATCATGAAACGATCTCAAAAACAAATTTTGTTAAAGAAATCACTGACGCAATGACGTTAGTGATTTGTTTATGTCACATCTACCCTCTAAAGTAAAATACTTATGAAACAACTACACCTTACAATGGTTTAAAGGTCATTGCGCTTATATATGTATATATTAATTAAAATAGCTCGTAAATTCTTTAAATAAACATAGTGGTACTTTTCATCCTTATATGTTTTATAAATATTAAGTATAAAATATTAAAAGTAATATCCCCGAGTGGACGAAGTGGAAATCATAGTTAGTTTAAAATGAAGTCATTCACAAATCACAAATAAGAAGACTAATTGACAAAAAAATTCTTCTCCTCTGCCCGTGACCACGATTGATACAACTTATCTGAAATAACGGGAATATGTAGTTTGAAATAATAAAAAAACGTGTAGTACATCCTAATAATATTAGTTTTCTTTTCAAACAATACTCGCAAAAATATTAAATGTATGTGAAATATTAATACTGAACGTTATCGTACTCTGTTACCAGTTTGGTGCTTTCAATATTATCGTTGTTACAAAAACTTAACTTGTTTATTTGTTTCTTATTTTGAGTGTTATTATAATTTTGGTGGTTACAGTTTTACATTTAGTTAATCCATAAAGTTGGTTTATTTTAGTAAAAAGGCAACTAGCTTTACAAAGATAATAATTAAAAACTGAACAAATTCTTCGTTAATTATCCCGATTGTCCAAAGACTAATGAATAATTTTATCTAAAAATTCTCTTTAGATAACCACTTTTTTCTACACTCCTCAGTCCTTTCCCCTCCACGATACATCATACCACTTCAGTATCCTCTCATGTTAATTATATGTATTAGTAAAATTTTATGAACAGTTTTAAGGAAATGTACTTTAAAAAAATATCTACATACATACTTTTTATATGTATGTACATTTTGTTAAGATTTCTATCACATAATTTTTAATAGATGACATCAAAGGTGCAAGGTGGGCAGGATATATAAGGAATAAAAGGAAATCATTTCGGTAGAAATTTGTCTCTACACTATTCCCTAGAGCGATACGTTTTTAGACAAGGTTTCACAGACTTATGCGCATTAAATAACAAATATTAAACATTGTTTATATAGTTTCTAATTAAGTTATAGTTTTATATTGTACAATTTTCTCGTATGTTTATATTTAGATTGTATAGTTTTACTTAATTAAATTTTCCTGGTTATGTTATTTAAGTATTTTAAATTTTTGTATCACCAACAATGTGTTTTTATACGTATCGGGTCAGACATCAGAGGTAAAATGTAGGAATGACTATGATAATAACTTTTTGACAATACATTCCCGTATATAATACAGGAGTGTTTTCTTTTTTGGGATTGAATTCCCAGAAGATGCCCAGATATAAGTAGTAGTGGGTATTAAAGATATTTTTTTTTATAAATAATGAATAACAGAAAGAAAGGTGAATTTTTTAATATTTTCAGTTGTATTTTTATGAAATAAAACTAGTTAATTAAATTACATATCTCTTTATTACACTTCGTTCGGATTGATAAAAACCATTATTGATGGGGTTTTATAAATAGTACTATTTTATTTAACAGAAGTGACTAATATATTAAATGGGCTCTTCATATATGACATTTAAACTTTAAATGAAACAAATAATTCCAAACATACTGTTTACCATATTAAATATACTATTATATTTCATTTAAAATTTAAATACATATATGTTTATCATTGAAAGAGCCCTTACGTAAGACTAACGGTTATTTATGAGTTTCTTCCATATTCTTCTTACTTTCGTCTGCGTGCCTGAAAACAAAATAATATTTCTGATTACGAAATACTTCTGGATTTTGTGTACCTATATTTAAGTCAGTAAAAATATTTTATTCTGTTATAAAATTTAAACATTAAGTATTGAGAGTATAAAGAATCGTGTCTATAATATTTTTGTAATTAGACTTTTTTTGGATGATGTTTCTGTCATTTTATTCTTACCGCTTCTTTCCTGTCTTTAGTGACGCAGACGGAGCGAACCCTGAAGGGGTCGGAGTAAGTGCAGGTGCAGGTTTGGACCAGGTTCTGTTGTGTGAGGCGAGAGATCACTGATGCTGCTGCTGTCTGTAGCCATTGTTTCTGTTGTCCAGGGTTGCAGGCGCGGAAGGTGCTCGCTGAGAAAGTATAGCCGCCAGTCTGGGGAAGATTTTGATTTAGGTTTTAATTTAGTTTGAAGTCTTTAAGCTGTGAGCTGAGTGTGAACTAAAGCGTATGCACCAGTAAGGCATTGCACCAGTAAGCTAAATCAGATGTTCTGTTTATATAGCTGTCTACGTGTGAAAGTTAGAACGGGCAATAAGTTCCGTCACGTACTCCACAGATCATAAGAATGACGTTATCATAAATATAATATTTAAGGTTAGTAAAGAAAATAATATTATAACACTTACTTCTTGTGCGAAATCAACGCAACCGTCTTCATTTTCTAACTCAAGAGTTTCTCTCAATGATTCGGTGTCCTTTTGTTTTTTGTCTCCCAACAACAGAACGGAGTGTTCAGAGAAACCTATACAAAAGAAATATAATATTAAAAATCCTATTTTCTGGAAGCTATAAAGCAGTGGCTTCTTTATATGGTGATTAAAGTACATACCGACAACTTGGTTGACAGATTTACCGCCTCCAATCTTAAGGTCAGGAGTGTTAGCTACGAGCGAGTGCGTCAAACCGATGTTTTCAAACATTTCTTCGTAAATAGCGGAACGAAGGACGGTCAACTGCACAAATGAAATATATTAAGTATATCCTTTGTTTACTATTCTTTTACTTCTTCCAAAGATTTGAAAGTCATATTCTTACCAGGAAGTCCTGAGGAAGGCACTTGTCTCCAACGGAACTGATGTAGTGTTTAACAGCTGTTGGCCTCAAAGGCAGGTCGAAGATGGATTGATATGAAGCCATAACATTGGTGATACCTTTGAAATAAAATATTAAGTAACATATTTAATTAAGGAATTTGGCGAATAGATGACTATATTCTTCAACTAAAAAAATATTTTAATTTAAAACAATTTGTTCCTTTCTTTTTATTATAGAATGCACCATGGGCTTTAATATATTATTCTTTTATTTTAGTTTATATTTTAAATGAATATAAAATGTACTTACCAAGTTTATTCTTGATCATGTTCAAGAGGGATACAAGTTGGTCTACGGCCTTGTCAACCTGGTCATGGTGTACTCGAATCGGTTTGATGTCATTGTAGCGACTTTCGTCATCGAATTCAACCTTCGCGGTCTTCAGTTTCACTAATAAATAAATATAATAAATTTGTTAGAATCATGATATAAGTTGCTTAATAATTATTTGTTCGAGGTATAGTTTCAGACTTTATTTTTAATGTTTAGTTTTACTTCCACTTATCCCTCACAAAATGGCTGCAGCCAGTATTTATCGTTTTCAAATACAAGTTGATACTTAATTGTTGTACACAAAATTACAATGGTTCATTATAATAATTAATTATAATCAGTCATAACTAATGGTAAGGATTATAGTATATTAGAATAAGTACGGCACAGATGGCGCCACTTGTAACATTTTATAAATTATTTTTACTTACTGTCGGTATCATACAAAATTGGGTACGGCATCTTGGAGGTAATTCCGACGAGGTAAACCTTAACGTCGGTAATACGCTTAGCCTTAAGTCCTTCTATGATATGACCGACCAGGGGCACGACGATGTCCTTGTAGTTATTTTCGTTGGACTATAACAAAAATATTAATTAATTTAACAGTTCTTAGAATGTATTTATTACTCCGAGGATATTATTTTGATACTAAAAAAGATGGACACTTTTTGATGGATAGTAACAAATTATATAACTAAATGTAAAACAATACCTTAGTCACTTCTACGGTGACAATAATATCGGCCTGTTTTTCGGGAATCTTGACTTCGTAGATGTCACCGACTTCTTTGCGGACGCCGGAATCCATGCACGAGACACAAGCGGAAGGCAGAACAGCTGGCAATAGACCGGTAAGAGCAAGAGCAGCATAACCACGACCCAGGTCGCATGCTTGGGCCATAGGGTCTGACGCTCCTTGTACCGCGTGGATACAGGCTTGTCTGTTGATAATTAATTTACGTTATCGAATCACATGAAAAATATGTAAATAAACAGGTATAATAATGTTATGTAAATAAAAATTGATGTTCGTGTTTAGAAGTCGATAACTAAAGTATCAGATGACCTCACGTTATTTCTTTCAGAGTTAAAATAAGTCCGTCAATCATGCTTTTATAAATTTTGAACGAAATGCCAGAAAAACGTGTAACGGAAGAGAAATCGCATCAAAAGACAAGAACATTGAGACTATATACATTTTTTTCGACTAAATTAGATAACTTGGAACCAAGCCGTGTAGAAGACTATAATATGAGCTCAACCTCAAGTATACAAAAATTAAACTAAACCTAATTCTATCATAAATATTTATAAATTACTTATTTGGTAGTTGGCGAGTGAAATCCTCTAGTATAACTTACCTGAATGGTGCAATATCGAGCATGAGAGATAGCGGTCTCAAGGGAGATAATCCTCCGAACACCTCTTCACAAGCAGGAGGCAGAGCTTCGTGCATCTGGTGGTGGGAGTGTTCTGGACACTTGGCAGCTGGACAGCTGCTGGCCATCTTGTATGCGTTTCCGAATTCGCTTTCCGAATGAGCAATCTATAATTCAACGAAACCAACATTAATTAAGGACTATTAGCTTATTTCATATCTTTTACAATTAAGAAGATCAATGAACGAACCTTTCCATTTGGTAGCCTGAAGTCATCGTAAGGTTCATTGTTACCATCTCCAAGGAGACCGCGTAGTTTACCGAGATAGAAGCCAGAAACTTCAATGTAGCACACCTGATTGGAAAAAAGTATTAAAATATGTGATTGTGATACGGACATTTTTGAACTGAATCCTGATTTATAATTAACATAGAAACTAACCTCAAGTTTGCTGGTACAGAAAGCCATAAGTCCGTATAATGAGCCCATACCGATACGTCCATTCGCCTGTCTAAACGCAAAAACTTCCTTTTCAATCACAGGGTAGCCATGGGCAGCACCATTCACAGCAACCTTCATGAAAAGTAAAAGTTTAGATTAAAACTTTTCTACATATATATCAATTACTGAAATAGGGGCAAGATTTTAACAAACCTGTCCATTTTCCTTCAGTTCAATAGTCATGCCGTGTTTGTCTTCCAGGATAAGTGCCTTCGGACTACCGTTAGCAAGTTGGATTAACAAAGTGAAGTTTCTGTCAACATGGTCGTGTGCAAGGACATAGCGACAGGAGCCAGGGAACGTAAGGTGACGGCCGTCGAATGTGAAGATGTGTTGGCCATTCACGACCACAGCTCTCACTGTGAAGATAATTTAATTTTAAAAAACAAGTAAGTATAAATTAAAATGAAACTAATATTCTCGGATTTACTTCGCGTATTTATTTTTGATTATAAACCACATGCTCCCGACTTTTCGGCTACTTTTCAGCAACCGTGATCAAGGGCAGACGATATAAATTAAAATGTTTTGTTATGTAAGCCATAGAAGTTTTACTTACTTTTAGATGGTACTTCGTCGAGTGGGTTCAGGCTGCGTGGACGGTATGTCTTGAACAAGGTCCAGGGGTCTGGGATGTCCCCACGTAGTACCTGAGATAGAACACTAAGGGCGGCCGAGCCTCGGAACGATGGAATTGAGACTGGAGATGATCCCCACATACGTGCCTGTAAAATAAGAAATAGAGTTGTATTCATCTGATCTGGTCTCAATATATTATATAGTACTTTTGTATAAAATATACAAATATCTCATATTATATGATTAAATGAATATAAATTTATAAAAATAGTTTGACTACAGTATCATTTAATACATAGTTCGTCAATGTGTTTGTACATATTTTTTCTCTGTAGGTAAAGAGTGTATTTTAGCGTTCTGCTTTAATTTTTTTTTGCAATATAAAATTACTAGGCTATTAATTAGTGGCAAATATTGTCAATTTAATTGTGGTTAAAATTATTTGATTTCAGAAAGTACTCACATCTGTAATGTCAATATATTGCTGAAGACCAACTTGTCCAAGATGACCTCTCACGAAGTTCACTAGTGAAGTCACAGCTGAGACGAATTTGTCGAAAATAGCTCTCAACTCCGCGCTTTCATTGCAAGGCTGGTTGTTGATTTTCTGTAAACATTTTAAAAGATATTTAAAATATCGAATTATGTATAGGACTTAATTTGTTTAATAATTTTATAAAAAACATCATGTTCATTATTGTTCAGTCATTGTTTAAAGTTACTTACATTTCTTTTAATTTTATATTTGTATAATATTTTGTTGATAAAATTATTAATTGTTCAAATTAAGGGAGTTGCCTTGTTATAAGTGTACCAATAGTTATTCTTTTTCTTGTAGAGTTAAGGTATACACAAGAAATCTATAGAAATAATATATTAGTTACCTTTTCAGCATACTTCAGGAGTGCATCTAAGAATTGCCTCATCTCTTCAGTTGGTAGAACAGAGCGTACGGTTCCGTGGACGCCATGAAGTATGTTCACCATTTTCACTGGTACCTCTAACTCCTTCCACTGAATAAAACACATTATTATAACTTTTTAGTACTTCGCAAAATTCTTATTACTGAATATTTAACTGATTTAAAACCGATTTAATGTAAAGTTGTTCTTATGATAACCTACTATTAAGCTCAGATAATTTTCAGCTCCAAAAATTATTAATAATAAACTAAATCTTGGTATCGGTAGTAAATAATAATATACTATTGTTTTTGAATTTTTGTACCTTTTCACTAATAATGTTGAGGATTGGCATTTCCTTCAACTGCTGACTGAGTTCGCTAAAGAACTGAGAGGACTTGGCGCGCCATTCTTTCAGTTGAGCCACGATGATGCGGGTTATGTCTAATAAAATAAAAGGAAAATTATAATCTTTATATATAATGGTACTAAGAGTTAATTAAAAAGGGGAAAGAAAAAAAAAATGTAATAAAGGACACAAAATAATTACAAAGAAATAAGGACACAGCTTATGAATTCTATCACGTTACCTTTGAAGATTTCAGTGAAAATGTTAGCAAGTTCCTGAAGTTCGGGCTTGTGACGTTCAAAGAAATCGATGATGATGGCAGAGAAATGAGCAGCCGCCTCGATTACTCCGCTCACGTACTCCTCGAGTAAATCACCTACAGCCTTGGACAGCTGCTTCAGTTGTGGTTCGATCTAATTAAAAATATTTTTATTTTTATATAAACTTATATATGTATTCTATTATACTAGTTTTTGTATGCGAATTCGGCTGCGTTAGTTTCAGAATAAAAAGTGTGTAGCTGAACGAGCAAACTCTATATCTCCTTAATTTTGGATTTGATCAACTTTCCTTTTCCTTATTCTAAGCTATCTGTCTACCAATTGTCATCCAAAACTGTTCTTGAGTTATAAATAGTGTACGTAACATGACTTCCTTTTACATATAAAGTAATTTATTCCAAGCCTATCTTATTTTAAAGAATCTTACCTGTTTTTCGTAAATGTCAGCAATGTTTTTGGATATACCGGTGATAGTCTCGACCACTTTGTCCACCAAGGGCTTGAAGACGGTGATTGTGTCATCAATCATCTTAGCTACGAGTTTTACAATGACGTGCCTACAAAAAATAACGGCATTTAATAAAGAAAATTAGGAGTTTAAAATGATACTGTTGGTAGCTTATTGATTCTCATGTTAAATTGAATGTGAATCATGAAAATGTCGATTTAATTAAGTACTTGTTGTAGCATAATTTTATAGATTTCAGTTAAAACTACCAAACTATATTTGTATGATAAATAAGAATGCAAATAGAAAATAAATAACAAAGTATTCGTTTTCGTATTCTAAAATAAAACTTTCACCATATCATGTTCCAGTTCTTTCTTTAATATTGTTTTTGAATTTTTATTTCAGTAATATATTAAAATCTTAATTAATGTATTTATACTTTTATTCTAAGAAATAAAGAAAGACTTACAAGCTCTCCATAATTTCCTTTAATGATTTGTCATTTTCAATTTCCTTAATCATCTTTTCGACGTCTTGTTTGTATTGCTGTTCGATTTCCCTGTATGTTGGCTCTACTTTCTTTAAAATCTTTTTGAAATCTTCATTCGCCTTATCTCCGATTCCTTGAATCCTTGATTTCAGGTTCGCCAGATCTTTTTTCAGTGCGTTCTGAAAGTAAATTTAAATGTAATATTACTTTGATATTCTGTTTTACTTATAGATTATAAATGAAATGTCACAATTAATAATATATGTATATTAAATCTCATTTACTCACCACGAAGTAGTTGAAGTTGTCTTGGGATAGGCCATAGTCGCTTTTAACGAGATTATCTTGCAAGTACAAAGCTCCTTTAACAATGTTCTTCTTCTGTCCAGGAACAACAATGTCCACAGAGATGTCGACGCGTTTTTCAGGGTTCAAATGGCTGACGATGGAGAGTTTTCGTTCTGATTCATCTGAAAGACATTTAAAATATCACAATGATTTCTAATAATAAAGAAATTTTACAAAATATTATCTAATTTATTGTGAAAAACCTACCACTGTATCCTGTAGTGAATTCGTAGTACTCGAAATCTTTGACAACAGCGTATACTGTTACTGGTTTTCCTTGAAGCAGACTGAATCTAAGGTCGGCTTGTTGTAAGTTCTCCTTGACTGTGGCTGATCCTTCTAAATCAATTACTTTAACCAACGGAGTGTCGAGCTGAAAGTGTTACATAAAAATAGTAAGCAATTTTTTGCAATAGAAAACAATATTGTTATCGTCGTTATGTCTGTTAATGTTTATGTCATAATTTAAATAATACTCACCATCAACTTGATGTGAACAGGGTTGACTTCCAAATAAAATTTAGCTTCGCGGTCCTAAAACATAAAGTAATAAGATGAGAAAAATTTATTTTGAATAATACATTAATAATTTTATATTTTATGTATAATTCTATATACAATTTCTTTTAAATGAATTTAGTATTTTATTATTTTTTATACTCACGCTTCCTAAGATAGAGCAAGAGACAACGCTTGATGTTTCAATCTTCAAAGAGTTCTCAGCTGGCCTCTTCATTGATCCACGGAATTTGATTAACGCTTCCTAAAATTATGCAGCAATATTTTAGTTATAAAATAGTAATTAATGATAATAAGGATAGTAGTTGAGAAAATAAAGCTACATGCCTTTCCAAGCCTTGGATGGCTGAAACCAATAAGTGAAACAATTTCTCCTTGCTCATTATAGTTTCCTTGGACGTCAAAGCTGAATCTGGCAGCGGTCTTGGTTTGTGGCTTATTTTTGTCTGGGTACAAACATAGCTCTCCGCTAACTGGGAATGGTAGGCTCTTGTCTGAAGGATACCGGATAAGGGATTCTAAGGCGATGACTCTTTGAGGGAAGGTCAGAACAATACCAGCAGGGAACCCTGTAAAAGACATTGTATTAAATAAAAATCTATTACTTGACTTCTATTTTATTGATCATATTTATGTCAAAATACTCACGGCCTGGTTCGGGCTGGCTGTAAACATGGAAATGGTATTTATCGTTTTCTTTGTTCACGTGTAAGTTCAAGTTGTACTGGGGAAGTTTCTTTTCAGAGAACTCGTTGGCAATCTGAAGACCGAATTCAGTAGCGAGACCCAGTTTACGGAGGTCAAGTCCAACGTTGAAGAGATGCTTGAGAGCACCAGGTCCTGAAATTAAAATATACCAAATAGTGCATTCACGCATTCGTAAAAACAACCAAAATGATTCGTTGAAAAATATTTACTTCGTTTTATTTTTATTTATATCGCTCCTTAAATTTTTCTTCTATGTACAGGAAACTAATTCGCATAAAATAGGAATCATAGCTATATTTGGACGTATATCCTATTACCACTTACAAAAGTTTTGTTTACTTGCATAGATCGTTATTTATAATTTAACCAAGCGTTATTTTACTAACCTGCAACAAACTTAGAGTTCAGCTCAGCGTGGGCGCATTGCTTCTTCTCTTCGCAGTATACGTATGAGGTCTTGTATTCGATGTTTGTGATGCGAGTTTCAACAACGTGGTTACGGTCTCCGAAAGCAAGGTTGATAAAGGTCTGTAAAAACGTTTCTAATTAATTACCATCTATTCAATCGTTATATCATGTTTTTGTCAATGATTTTTTAATTTCATATTTATTGTTAAAATATTGAACTTTTTCTTCAATGTTAAATATATGATTGTAAAATTTTTACCTCTATTCCCTGTTCATTGCCTTCAGTAAGGATGGTACGGATGTATTTGAAGTTGGCTGGTTTCTGTTCATCTTTGATCTTAACAGTTCCTGAACCTTCAATAATGGTCTTCTGACCTTCCTGCTTGCTGATGTATGATGTGCTACAAAGAGACAACATATTAATTATTTGTTGCTTAGTTAATAAATTTGGATTAAAGTTCTGTTTCTTTAAATTCTATACTTTAATGAAGTATGTATGTAATTTTATATACTTATATATGATTCTTACCTTCCACTTAGCACATTCTTGTTGTCGTTAATAGCGTGGAATTCAAGACGTTTTCCGCTACCCGAATCCTTGCTTGAGATGTCAATTTTGTAATTCTTAAGGCCTAATTTCTCAGAGTTTCCAATGAACTTGACGTACAGATCCTTCTCTAAGTTAGCTTCTAATGTTGAATCCAAATTGAAGTCCTTGATGTTTTCTATCTTCATTTCAAGGCGACCTTCCTTTGAACGGATCGATATTCCCTTGAAGTAAATTCTGTAAAAGACAATTAGTGCAAGAGTATGTTTTGGTTAAGTTATGTTAACTATACTTTCATATATTAATTATTGATCAATTACCTTGAGGTCTTAGGGTTTGAAGGGCTGGTATATTTGATGTCAACAACAGGTTGTGTGTTGGAGTACACAACGTAGCTCTCACTTCTGTACGAGCGGCCATCAGCATCAACTGAGATTACAGCGCTATATGTGTCGGGGGATGGGCTCTGTAAAACGTAAAATTCTTATAACGGCAAACTTTATTTATTTTACTGGAGATCAAAGTTTGTTATTGGGCTAAATTCTTTTGTTAACATTACCATAAGAATGTAAAGAAAATAAAATTATTAAAACTGTTCCTTTATTTACCTTAGCTTGTAAGAAGAGATCAATTTTTTTGGCCATTTCACTGCTCGGGCAGTTTGATGCGAATTTAAGTTCAACTTCTCTTGGAGAAGATGAGCCGTAAATTTTGTAGTTGGAAACTTTGCCTTTTCCGTATTGAGCTTTCAAATCAATGTCAGCGGTGGATTTTTCTTCTGTAATACGCAAAAAAGTTATAGTTAATTTCTAAACATATTTTGTTGTTTTATTTTATTAATATTATTGTAAGTGAACATACTGGATTCATTAATCTTGTAGTCGCTGTCCAAGATAACGGGATCATAATGGGGCACAATGAACTTGAGTTTGGTGTTGCCGCTCTTGGGGCCGTATTTTCCACTTGATTCTAATTTGTAAACATCAGCGTTGACTTGGAATACCTCAATGAGTGTTACCTGAGAATAATCATTAAAAATAAGTTATAAAAATGCCTCATCACTTTATTTCGACATTTAATTCCAAAGGGGGTTAAAAATTAAAAAAATCAAAATAAGAAGGAAATAGTTTAGGAAAATATTTTCCATAAATATTGAACAAGGAATTAACAAACAAATCTGGCGTGAAATCTTTTGTGATAAGTGTAAATTTAACTTTTAACAAGCAATTATATTACTCTTCGTGATCTTACCTCTACAGCCTTGTTCTCTGATTGCAAATACATAAATGTTGAAACCCACTTCATATCGTGCGCCTTTTCGAATGGAAGACGAATGTTGACCGTGTAGTCGTCGACGTATCTTAAAGTGACGTGTTAATAGTTGTAGGAACATCCAATATAAGATCTCATTAAGAAATGAATTATTTTTTGAATTTATTAATTGCAAGGTGTATAAAATATAATTTAAAGAATCTTCCTATACTCAATATACTTACTTCTTGTCTCCTTTATCAGGAACGATAATTTGATTGACTCCATTTAGCTCAAAACCAATGTCATCACCATAACTAGCCTTCACTCTGTACGTATCATCGGTGTTAAGTAATTCCCAAGTATATACTGAACCGGCGTCAATAAGAAGTTTCTTGGGCATCATGTTTCCTGAGACTTCACTCTGCGAAAGAAGTTAGATTTTTAAGTTAAGCCGATAAAATTCCTCCTTTCTTTAATATTTTTTACGATTTCTCATATCTTAGCATAAAGATAAAAATATATAATAGATTTCTATTAAATATATTAATATTTTTAGCTTACTCTGAATGCGATGTCGTATTTATCTCCCTTAGGAACATTCTTGAATGAGAACGAATTCACGAGATTCTTGCCGTCGTTCAAAACCATTTCAAGCTGACCGTCATAGTCGATGCTGAACTTGTCAAAATCGGTATTAACAAATTTTGCTTGGTATTTTATTGAAGAACCGGGTTGACCATTAGGCGCGTCCGACAAAACTGCTTCAGCGTGTCCATTGTATACCTTGAGTTAAAAAAATATGTTCTATTAATATCCACATAGTAAGAATTGGACTATTTGATACGATGAAATCGAATTTAGGGTGCAGAAACCTAATCTTAATACAATGGTATAAAGGTAATAAAAATGCCATAGGTTTTTAAAAGTTACTTACGTCATTCTTCAATGAGAGTTCTCTGTCGGCTTTCAGGGTAATGCATCTTTTATCAGGCAGCACTAGTTTCAAGTTGAAGTGTCCTTTACCAACACCGTATATAGCACCATCTCTTACAACGTTTACTTCGAAGCCTCTTCCGGAATATTCGAATTTATTGCTACAAAATATTATTATGATTATTATTTTCTTCATTCATCTATTAGATTAAACATATATTGAACTTGATACTAACTTGCTGTTCCATTGTTTTTCCGATATTTTGCTGTTAGTGCTGAAATGTAGTTTGTCATTTTTGTTCTTATCAAAGTCCAGGTAAAGATCTATGTCAGCGTTATAAATGGGCTCCTTGACTTGGAATTTCACGTCTCCTTTGATAATGTTGTCCACCTAAAAACAAATAAAATAAATAATTGTAGTAATATAAACTTTGGATTGTCTAAAAACTACTTTAGTTATTCTTAGAATTTAAAATTAATATTTTTTACTATTACCTTTTTGAAATGCACCATAATATTTCCGTTCCCTTTTCCATCCTTGTCAGTGACTTGGTATTGACCATTTGCAGTTACGGCGTCTTTTAAGTTAAATTTAAGTTGTCCGTTGGCGTTAGCTCCACAGTTTATCTTAAGCAAGAAGTCCAACAACTGGCCCTTGCTGTTAGAAATGGTTGCGTGGCTTGAATACAGATTTGCATTTTCAACAGCACCAACGTCAAACCTGCAAAAAAGTTTATTTTAGCATATTTGTCTTTTTTAGTTTATAAAGTTATTAAAAAATAATCACATACTTAATGTCTTCTTCCTTGCCACCACCTGATACTTTAAGGTGGCCGATAGCACCAACATTGACGTTGTTTGTTTTCATTCTATGTAAAACAACACCTGACAATTCATATTTGAAGAAGTTCTTGAACTCGATATAGTTTTCTAAGTTTGATTTATCAGCAGATACGATATCTCTCTTCATCAAAGCTTCTACAGATTGTTTGTCTAAGTCCAAATTGAATTTAACACTGTAGTCCCCAACTTTCTTAATTTGAGTACGGGCCTCAAGGTCTAAGTTAGCTTTCTTTTCGAAATAAACTCCACCCATTTCTAAGTCGAACTTCTTAGGGTCCATTTCTAGGTCCAGATTTACTTTGATGGGAAGTGCGCAGAGTTCAACTAAAATAAAATTCATAAATCGTTAGTCTCACATAGTAGTGAAATAAACATTAGAAATAATAGAATTTACGTACATTTATTTTTAGTCATTACGTTAAAACCATCAGCGGATTGGTGTCGTTTGTATAGCTGATTGAAAATGACGCGGTTACGTTGATCACGGAGGTCGCCGCCATAGTACAGATCGATGTCATTGTGAATCATCTGAAATAAATTATTATGGTGAATATTTTGTTGAGATGTAATCATTAATGTCAGTAATAGCTGTTTAATTTGAACAACTTACGCTTTCAGTGTTCTCAAAGTGACCATTAAGTTTGAAGTTAACGAATGGATTAAGAGTGTTTTGTAATTCAAGTTTAACGTCATAGCCCTTCAAAGATCCGCTCAATAGTATGTTCTGAGCTCCCAATCTTCCCTTCAAGTCCATCTCAACACCCTTAGGATCTTGATTCAGATGACCTTCAATATTCATCTCGTTTTGCTCAGAAAGGAAAACCTGAAATCAGAATTTATTTCATATATTTATTATAATCCCTATACAATACATTAATTCATTTTATTAAATGATGTATTTATTCAATTAGAAGTTTATATTGTTTTAGTTTAAACTGACCTTAACATTTTCTAGAGTGTATTTAACAGATGGTCCATTGGATTCTTTGACGATTTGTCCATCAACCTTGAGGCTCTTCTTTTCATTTTGACCTGGCATTTCGTATTCTATTACGGGTTTCCATACGGATCTTTGCGCGTTACCTTGAATATCAACTCCAATTCGGCCATAATACTTATTTTGATCCAATTTCATAAGTGCCATAAGAGCATATTCGTTGGATTTGGTGACAAGTGAATATTTGGCTACAATAGTCTTAATAGGTGATTCGAGTTCAATGTTCACAGATTTTTCTTCCGCATTATAAATAGCGTCAGCGTTGATTTGAGTTCTACGGTTTTGAGATCCTATGGAAGCAAATAATTATTAAAAACATTATAACTATTTATCAATAACAATTATTTAATTTCAATAACAAAAAAAATTACCTTCAGCGTCGAATAACAATCCAAGTCCGTATCTGCCCTTAGGGTCTGATCTTACAACACCCTTGATGTGGTAACCTTTGAGGTCGTTCTTCTCCAAAACAAGTTTTACTTTAGACGATCCTAGTAACGGCAATGCTCCTGGGAATGGAGCATAGGAAACTTTTCCGCACAGTGTTAGACCTAGTACTCCAGATAATTGATCGAAACATCCAGAATATTCCTTCTTTTCGCCTTTATTAACGCACGCCTTTTCTTTTTCAAGCTGACCTTTTTCTGCTGTTACAAATACTACATCACTGGAAGCTGTTACGATTTCTTGTTTATCAATTGGCAAGCCCCATTGTAAATCAAATCCTTTGCCATTTTCAATAACTTTTGCGATAACGTGACTTCCAGTAGAAGAGTGCAGATTAGTCATTACTTTAAGACCAGTAGATACTGCATCAGCATCTACTAACATTATGAGGGCTATCTCAACATCAGAACTTGGGACTAACTTGATGTCAACCTTTGCAGATTCGGGGTTGCGTATACATTGGCGGATGTCAACAGCAGAGGAGACATCAAGACGACCAGTAGCGGCACCAACAGCATCTAATTTAAGAGGAAGACCAGTGGATGTTGGGTAGGCAAGTTCGGTGTCCATAAAGAGGAAGTGTCCACGAAGTTCTTGCTATAAAAGAGAAGAAAAATATCCCATAAATCGTAAATATATTTTTATCAGTCTATTTTGCTCCTTGTAAATGTAATCTCTAATTTTATATCATATTTACCTGGAAATGCTTCATTTTGTTAAAACCGCCATTCACCCAAGATAGAGAGGCGTCTAGGAATTTGTTGAAATCGAATCCTTTGTCATCTCCAAGCGATAAAAAGACAGCATCGGTTCCGAAGAGTTTAATGTAAATATCCAGATCTAGTTCATTGTTGTATTGCATTGATTCAGCTTTAACCTAAAATAAATATAAAAATTGGCTTAGTGATAATAAAAATATACAATAAGCATATTTTTCACTATAGAAAATGTATTTATAATTATATGTTGTTGGATCATGTAACAAACTTATTGAAAGTCGTAGAAATATAACTTACGTGTTTATCAAAGTTGTCGACTTCACTCTTGATGGAACGGCGACCACGGACACTGCCTTCAACTTTGTGATAGGACTCTTCAATTTTTTTCTTCAGGTTATCATAAATTTCCTGAGGTTCTTGTGTACGAAGGAAGCTTCTTGGTCCAAGGAAATGTTCAATCACACGGTCCAAATTACCTTGACGACCTCCAACCTGTCGGAATAAATAGTACGTGTTACTTAAAACATATATGTGTACTCGTATCTAAGATGCTTTCTTATAGATGTTATAAACAGTGTATGGTTATTTCATTATGAATATTTTTAAGTAGAGCTTACCTCGAGAATATTAACATTGTGACCGAAAACTTCAGCCGTGAGATTAAGGCTAGCTGACCTTGGCAAGAATGAGTCTTGAGAGTATATAACAGTTTGTTCCATGTTACCACCGACTCCGATAGCATCGACATTGTAGCTCAACTCACGGTAGAATGAGAACTTTCTAAAAGATTTTAAATTAATTTAGAGTTTAATACATACTTAAATTTAAATATTTTTTACATAAGTCTAAATTGTAAGTATGTAGATACAAAATCTGCCATATGATAGTGAGAAATATTACAATCAAAATTTTGTCTAAACTATTGGAAGTAAAATTTTACCTGTCATCAACTTTGAATTTGTTTGGGGTGCTGATAAGTCCGTAGTGTTGACGAGCGAGAAGTTTGTCAGGGTTGGCAGAAGAACGAATGTGGCGGAGTGATGTAGTGATGAATCGTCCGACTATAATAATACATACAAATTAATAATCATTTTAAGGAATAAGGGATACGTTTTTTAATATATCTTTGGAATTAAGTCGCTCACCTTGGTGTACTGGTTCGGTTTCAAGTAAGTGCTTGATTTCGTTAGCGGATTTACCACAAGGACAGTCTATAACAGCCAGATACGCCTTGATACGAATTTCAGAGTCCAGGTTACGGTTTTTCATAATATCCAATGCAGTTTTCTTGAGCTACGTTGGAAATGAAAAGATTTGCATTAAGTATGATACGAATCAGTGAATATTAATATTATTTTATTATTTCTACAAACCTTGGCAGCACAAGGATCAGCGGAGAATGCTTCAAGAGCGCTCACTCGAACTCTTGCTTTAACGTTGTTATCAGAAGCGCAGGCAGCGAGTTTGTCGACTAAGTTATTTTCCAAGTGACGGATATTTCTAATACCTTTCAGAACCGCGACTACCTGTCAAAATTATATCAAAATTTAATGATGACATTTTTACTTAGTTAAACTGTTATTTGTAACAAAATTCAGTAATAACTTACATGATCCTCTTCTTCTTTGGATTTTGGTTTACAGTTTCCTAACTTCGCGGCAAACTTTTTGCTCAATTCAGAAATTCCAGCAGAGGGGTCGCTGTGACAGTTGTGGTCTCGGCAGTAAACACCAGCCAGAGCCCCAACTCCAAGGTATACTCCATTTGGTAGGTGAGCATGATCGAGGAGATCCTGTGAATTACATAAATGTTATTTTTACTAAGGTTAAGTTTATTTGATGAAAAAGTTATAATTTAAAAGTATTTTAATCAAACCAATAAAGAAAAATGACAAACATGAAAATACTTACAGCAGCAGCCTTAATAGCATCGCTGGTGACGTGTCTGGCATTGCCTAACGACAGGAAGATAACTTTTTCTTCTAATGGAGACAGTTCTTTGTTTTTCAGGATATGGATAGAAGCATCAATGCTGTAGCCTGTTCCAGCACGAAGTAAAGCATCCAGGAACACGCGCCTGTTAAAAAACATTAGTGAAGTTACGAAGTCAATTTGTATGATTATCTTCATAAGCATTCATAAGCAATAAAACTGATTGAATAAGCATTGTCGTTAAACAAGAATTTTAAGTATTTATTCAATGTCTTAATGAAATAACAGTTTAATGTGGGATAGATATAAAAAAAGTTTTATTTTAACGTAGAACTACTTACTTTTCTAAGCTATTGCCTTTGACTTGTGCGAAGACTTGGAGTAGATCTTCTTTGTTGGCCGAGCGGAAAATCTAAAAAATTAAAGAAGTTAGAAAATCTGTTTAAAGGAACAATTAGTTTTCTTTAAACTATGGATAAAAGATAGTTACCCTGACAAGTTGAGCGAATGCTCCTGCTGACTTAAAGCCAGCTTCACTTCCGAGGTTTTTGCACGTTTCTTTCACAGCATTCAAAACATTCCTGGCATCACTGTGTTCAGCTTTACCTTGGTGTGGGTTTTCGAATATGATAGAACGACGAGTATTGCATATTCCTGGAAATAATTGAGGTTTTTACTATAAGTTACAGTCTTTGAATAACTGTTCATATTATATTTATTAATATAAGTTACCAGCAATGCCGCCAGCGTAGGTTCCTGATAGTGTCAATTTAGTGTTAACTTCAGCCTTTGCACCATTGTCTCCAACCGAGAATGGTTTGTACAGGTATTGTTCCACGGCAGATATTTTTTCGGGTACACCATTATTGACTTTGGATTCTACATTCAGAGTCGATTGAAGAAGCTGAGTGCTCTTAATTTCCTTTAAATTAAAGATATATTTCCAATTTCATTATCGTCGAGAGGTTAGGAAAAACAAAAATTTAAAAGAGGTAGTTAAAAGTCTGTAACAACTTACAGAACTTGGGTTGTACACAGCAGTAATAAGGTCGTTTTTGCTTTGTTCGCGGTAAGCACATCTGCTTAAGTCACGGGTCCTGTGGAGCAACACTGAAGCACCTTCCTTTGATGATGAAACATCCGTCGGACATGATCCAAAAACATCAACCTGTAAAGATGTTTTTATTAGATTGAAAATGGTTATAAATGGTGATTGTTACAAATTATGTGGAAACGGGAAAGTAAAATACATACCTGGGTAGACGATTTCTGTTCAGTTTGCAATAATGAAATGATAGCCCTCTTGATGTTAAGAGAAGCTCGGCTATCTACTTCTTCTGCGCAGATCTCTGGACCAACTCGTCCATCTTGAAGGCTGAATCGGACAACCTTCTCAATGCCCTTCGGAGCTGGGTATTTCTGCATATAAATAAATACTTTAGGAATAATATCGATTTTGGTCATAAGAGTATTAAAGTTTGGCTGATCCGTCAGCTTTACTCAAGGATTATCTTAACAACTTTCATTTTTTATTGTCTTCAAACATCGATTTTAATGTAACGAAATAGAATGTTATAGGCTAAGATAATAGTTTAAGAAGTGTTTAAGTACCTTGCCATCGGGTCCCGAAATCGTCAAAGATTTCACCATAAGTGATAACTCGCAGTTATCATTTGGTGAAACTGACACCTGTCCTGATATCTTCACGCTGGTCTCCTGCTTGTCGGCGCCGCTCAGGTAAATTGAAACGATTCCATCAACTCCATAGTTGTAAACTTTTCCTTGTAAGAAGCTGGGTCCGTTTGCTGAACAGAAAAAACAATGACGATTACTGACTACTACTACTATAAAGAAAATTAAGTTTCATTCAAAAATCTATATTTTTAATGAAATGTAAATAAATGATTTAAGATACACTTTATTTTAATTGTGATAATACAGATATAGTTATCGACTTACATCCTTTGCAAGACAATTCGCATTTATCTGAAACAAACAATATACCCTCATTAGTAATTTATTGTGTCATAATTAATAAATTAACTACCTGAAAATCTAAAAATATGAAACTTCAGAATTCTATAGAACTGTAAATGCAGACAATATTTTTTATTAAAACCCTCAGTAATAATATTATTTTTATTATATACATTTATAGATATTACTTTAAATAAACTGTTGGCGTATTTTGTTTCCTCATTGTAGGCTTTGAGTTTACGAACCAAAAAGTTATTTAAGTCACATGTCAACCATAATTGGAATCCAGATTCAAAAGTAAACAATTCACTAATGCTTCATAACAATATAATTAGATAATTAAATAAACTTAACGATATATTTATCTATTGTAAACATATAACTGTAAACAAGGTTCAAGGTTCAATACTAAGTAAGAGTTCCGTGAGATATCGGGTCACTCAGCACAAACATGTGATTCATATTTATCTAGGTTTGAATAAAGTTCAAAAGGTCCTGACACTTTTCCTTTGCACCAGGATCTTTGTCATCAAAATGTTTACAATGCGTTTAAAACATTGTTATTAGAAACAATCGTTTGAGGAAATACATGATAATATCATGATCTTGACATAAAATATTCAATCTATAAGCAAGCGTTTTATACTTTTGAATGATTTATCAAAAGTTTGCTTTTGGTATCTTCGTTAAATTAGTACTCAGATTTTCAATTGTTTTTGACTTCCTAACTTGCCAGAAATAACTTTACCTAAATCTGTATTTTAAAGAAAAGACGTTTTGAAAATAATAATTTTATTGTATATTATTAACTATCGAAAGAAAGTATTATGTTCTGTTCCAATAAATATGCGCAATTCCAAGTGGGGCCCAAATAAAGCTATAAAGATAATCGGGTCCCCCAACGGTTTGAGCACATTAAGTAATTGATCTGAAGTACTGGCTGCGTTCAAACGCTACTGAGTTTCTGTGGACTTTCTTTTCATTTTATCGTCTACTTAAAAGAATTTGGAAAAGACTTTGTATTTACAGAAAAAAAACTTGCTTAAGATCCTTTTAAAGTCCTGTGGACTGCACTTAATCCAAATAATCATACAATTCAACTCATTAATGTTCATATTATTGATACAAGAATATAATTAAATGAAATCGATAAACTATCGCCAACTTTACTTGGCTCTTATTATTTTTCAACTAATATTTTAGTATGAAACATTGAAGTAATATAAACGTATTTTCTAGTATGTTCCAATATGTCTTTCAGACCACTTGTGTACGGATGCCATCGTTTAGCAGATGACATCGAATCAACTGGCACGTCATCCTTATTGACATACAACGTGGGAATGTGTTTATTACTACCAATATTAAAAAGTTACTTTGAGCATGACAAACTTTTATCGTGGCTGATTTTGGACCACACAGAATAATATATAAAAAACAAGTATTATCTTAAGCTATAAATATATTATAATAATGATGTTTGTGTTATTTAAAAATTCGTTGTTTAACACAAAGAAACTATAGATAATGTGTTTATCAACAATTCGCAAGAGGTTCTAAGGTTATCAAATGTACGTTCACAGTCAAGGCGTTTTGTGTTCAAAATGAGTTTTTCATTGAACTTGATCCAAGGTTATAATTAAATGAATTAGAGAAATGAGACTACGAGAGATTCGACTTTTAGATGTATTTTTTTTACAGTTTATCTCCTACAGTTTTTCTAATGAGCTCAAGATAGAAGTTAAAGGTAAATATTAAGGTAAAGGCTGAAAAAAGCTTTTATATTTATAAAATCTTGATCGTATTCTTTATAATCTTTAAACATTTTTATTGGTAGCACATCCTGCTTATAAATTTTAACTATAAATTTAGATAGTAAATTGTACGCGCTATATTCTTGTTTGAAATAATATTCGTTTATACCCTTTGTATATAAATTGAAAACTTTTTAATACTTTTAAACAATAAAGATGTTTTTATTGAAACATTACTTATAGATAGTTTATGTCATTGTTGCTACGGATGATAAAACAGAATAATTGGCACTGTTTAGTGATAAGGTCTCCTTTGACCTGTGATATCATTTATCATATCATTGCCAAGTTTGTACCTTGCTAGTAATTAATATAGGCGATAAATAAGTATTCTGACGTAGCAATTATTAACCTACGAACAAAATAGAGGAGAGGAAATTCTATGTGACATTTTAGTGGTTTAAAGTTTAAGTATAATAAGAATTTAAAATATTTAGTCTAAGCTTGATGATTCAACGATTTTTATACTTTATTTTGAAGTTGATTAAACTCTTTAATATAGGTAATTAAAAAAATATATGTGTTTTGACTATAATGGTTTAAATATATAATGACTAGCTTTCCGCCCGCAGCTTCGCCGCGTGGAGTTCGGTTATATCGCGTTTCCAAGAGAACCTTTCAAAAGTCTGGGATAAAAACTATCCTATGTTCTTTCTCAAGGTCAACTCTATCTCTGTACCGAATTTCATTAAAATCAGTTCAGTGGTTTAGGCGTGAAAGCGTAGCAGACAGACAGACAGACAGACAGACAGACAGAGTTACTTTCGCATTTATAATATTAGTAGGGATGTTGCAAAAGTAACTGCTAAATATTCATTTTCTATACTTATTTCCTTGGATTAGTCTAGTGAAAGGAAATAAAAGAGTATATAACATAAAGAGATCTAAGATTTTCTCGAGTATTAATTTAAGTGAAGAACGGTTAATAATTAATAATAATCATGTTGTCTCAGAATTATGTTTTTATATCGTAGACTCTGTTTTAAAAGAATTTTTGACACTTAGAATGAAGTGCAGTAATATTTCTTGGAGAATAATGAAAGATTTTATATAAAATTAAGTACGACAAACATATTTGGGTTTTTACTTGTTTTTGATAAAAATTAAACTTTATCTTTTGGATATTTTACTCATGATAATGTTGAATCTTTCATCTCGTCAGTCCGTGATCACGGTTGCTGTAGTAATCGCAACGTAAGGAATATGTAGCATAAAAGAATTGTCTAGTTTTATCCCAAAAACATAGTTAAGAGTAAATATTTTAAAGTTAAAGTTAAAGAGTAAATATAATTTTCTCGTTAATTGATTTAATATTAAAGCAACATAATTTGAAACAGTTACTATGGTTTTAATTTCAACAAAATTAATAAATCAATATTTATTTTAACTATATAGTCTTCTTTGAAATGTTGTGTTAATTCATTTTTCGATTGACAATGTATATGTATATAAAGATATAGAGCTTACTTCTACAGTCAGTGCAGTTCATGAATATTATACAATTCGTTACTGAATTTAAAATATCAAATTGAATGCCAAGAATTTTTTTACGTTTCAATAAGGACGTCTTTTGTTTGTTACTTATTTATGGCAATTTTTTATATGTACTAGTGTTCGGTTTTTATTGAAGTTTATAATTACGTAGTGTACATCACAGAATAATACATTTATAGTTAAAATCAAAATTTGTCTTGATCCATTTTTTAGTTCGTAAAGAATTTGAAATAAAATTTTAAGGCTGGTATAAAAATATCATCACCTGGAGATACTTTAACATCGAATCATTTTTTTCATTGAATATTTTTTCAAAATATACAAAATATTATTTATCGAAATGCAAAAATTAAAGATAAAAGAAGCAATTAAAAATTACAGAGTTATTAAGTTCAAAGTGTAGACTCAGAATTTACATTTTCTTTTGATAAGCAAGACAGCTTATTCGAAATTATCCGCTTCTTGGAGAAAACCATATAACACCCATAAACAAAGCATATTAATTTACTTTTATATATTTTTTTAACAAATTAATAATCAATCCATTTCAGTATTTTTTATAAAGTATAATCAAACAGTTTAATAATAATTTATGTATCTAAATATTTTTATTGCAAAATGTTTTTGCTATTTAAAATATCAATTTAAGTTCAATGTAACTTTTGCATGACAAAAAATAACTTACCATTCGAGTAAGCTGGTGTCCATAAAACAGAAAGGTATAATATAACACTAAAAATGCTTAAACTTATTCTATATGTCCCCATGTTGGCGGGGTAAGTGTCACTTCGGTGTCAGTCTGATAACTTATGCTAAGAATACTTCGTACGACTTTCTACCACCACGTCTTGATGGCAAGTGCACGGGTTCGCGCCCCTCTACCCTTTATATAGATGCAGCGCCATCTATTAACCAATCAGAACAATTCGAATTTTAATTTTATAAGAATGTTTACACACGATAAATGGACATTTAGGCGTAGCAAAGGTCATCTCTACGTTGGTTTTATTCCAATAGATAAATTTTTAGAAAGTAGAGAATTAATGTGAATAAACCACTAATATGTGTGATGGATGCAAAATTTTTAGTTATTATCACCTGCGTGTAGGTAAATGTATTTTCTTTAACAATATTCGTACTTGTTTTTTATAAAAACAAATAATTATTGATTATTTTAGGGCCAAATTAGTGAATGGCTTTATCGTAGCAAGAATTTATTTGAACTTTCATTCAAAATATCGTCCAAAGTTGATATTTTTTTTACAAGCGAATTAAAACTAAAGAGTAAATGAACTAAACTTCATAATAAGGAAATCTTTGTAGTAAACAATGAAGTATAAATTCAAATAATTTTGTTTTAATATTACAGCAACGTTGCTCTAATACTTAAATTAAAAATATACTTATGACATTTCAAGCAGGCTGGTATTATTATTTATATATTTTCTAATAAAAAATTTCATTAAAATATTATATTGTTTTTATATACTAGACAGAATTTAAAAGTAATTTAAATAGTTTTAAAATAATATTTAGGTCTATGTTTAGTCAAAGTAAAGACGCAGACATCTCCATCAAAAAAAGCAATAATAATTATTACCTAACAATAAGAGTTACTAACATAATAGGAACAAGCACAAAGATATTTCCTAAAATTGCTAAAAATACACTAATTACTTTCCCGTAAGATAAGTATACTTCTTATTTAGAACAATTGCAAGTAATTAAGGGATGTTGCTAATACCAAATCTTTAAGGATTACTTCTCAGAAAAAATTGTTAGTGATTGTTTAAATACAAACAATACAAATGATTGTTTTGTAATTAGTTAACAAGAAATGTTTATACGATTATCGCTAACTGGGATCTCAGTTAAGTCGTAGAATTACTTATTATAGTTTTGAGGAAGTCCTAAAAAGTGTTTTAACTTGACACGTGTTATATATGTATGTATAAATATATGTATATACATATTAATATCTATGTACTTCATGCTACGGAATGGCTAAAAGCTATAGATTTATTATGCAAGTTTTACTCCCCGGGTCTTCCGGGCAATGAAAGTTGGATGATTTTATATTTTTTTAGTACAATGAATTTTGAAGTACTTTAAACTATTACATTGTATTAAATAATATATCTTTAGTTTGTTTGATTTTATATTATTATTATTGATTTGTTATATTTGAGATAATACTTATGTTTTTAATTGTTCAATATCGTTATTGAAAAACATTCTTACTCGTCCTACCTATCTTACCTAGGCAAACTAGTGTACTATGACATTTTTAAAATTCGTTGATATTTATCACATATATAAAAGAACACGACATATTGATTTGAGCTCTTTTTTTATTAAAAGTTTTCATTTAATATCGCTTTTTCAAGATTGCTCTTCTTTCTTCTGTGATCTCTTTATATATTTAAAACTATATATTGGTTAAAAATTATAAGAGATCAAGTTATTTAATGTATCTACTACTTAAATATATATTACAACTTAACTGTAGGATACTTAATTTAAGAGTATTATGAAGTAAGAATTGATTAATTTGGTTATGCTGTGATCGCATTTCTACCTATAAATGGAAAGTTTGAAGCTAATAATTATATTTTTAATAAGATAATTAAAATTATTAGATTTTTAAATTCCTATAATGAGTTAGTTTATTTTATTTTATTCTTTGTATTAATATAATTAAAATACACTTGAAATCATTATAAAAATTACAGTAAAAAGATATGTTTAAAATTATCTTTAAAAACAGATATATTATTACGTCAGTGTTATTTTAAAATCTTTTTGTCTGATTTTATAATTAAATATTATTATTTTTAAAGAATGAATACGAAGAGTGTCAATATTATTTGTACCTACTGGCTTCAAAAGTTCGTATAGTACCTACCATTTATATGAAAATGTCTAAAATGCTATCAGTGAGGATAAAAGTTACAAAAGGTTTGTTTTGGAGACAATGACTGATAAGATATTAAACAGCTTTAACTCCATTAGGTATATATACATGTTATATTGAGATAATGACAAATATCGCTCGTAGAATAATATTGTGTTATATTTATGAAATAATTGGATAACATAATGGAGAATTACTTTGTATTTAACATTAATAATTTATGTCTTAATGAAGCTATGTTTTGTAATACTACGCGTTTCTTATTATTCTATACTAGCTTTCCGCCCGCAGTTTCGCCCGCGTGGAGTTCGGTTTTATCGCGTTTCCAGGAGAACCTTTCAAAAGTCCTAGATAAAAACTGTCCTATATTCTTTCTCAAGGTCAACTCTATGTCTGTACCAAATTTCATTAAAATCAATTCTGCGGTTTAGGCGTGAAAGAGTAACAGACAGACAGACAGACAGAGTTACTTTCGCATTTATAATATTAGTAGGGATCTCCATAATCTCAACGTTTCAGTTCCTTTATAGCAAACGTGATCAAGTTTATGAGATGAAAGTGTCTGTCAGTTAGTCTTGTTATTATTCATCTACCGCTCACGATTTCTTAATTACTTACTTTGTCCTGAGCTCCTTTAGATGTTAAATAATAAAAAATGCATAGTATCTGAAGAACTTACTTTAATTTGATGTGTATACCCAAAATTCATACTTATCAGTAAATACATATAAGATTTGTTTTTTGTTCAAGTATAAACAGTTCTTTAACAGAATTTATAGTAATATATCATAAACATCTCAAATAATATTTCAATGTAAGTCACATGTAAGGAAAGCAATTTTAAAAGACGTTTTGTTTAAAAAAATATATGATAAAATCAAATCGCATTTAATTAGTGACATATGTTACGTGAAATAAAATCACAAATTGCTTGAACTGAATTTTATACATTGATAAATATATTATATCAAAAGTACATTGACCTCGCGACATAGACCTCGACGAAAATGTCTAAAAATATATAATATAATCTTGAATGTCATCTGTTACTACATACAACTATGAATTTGATGAATTCATAACTAACTTATTACTTAAATACGTTTGTATTATGAAATTAAATACTAAAATTATTTTGGTGAAAGCTTTTCATCACAAATATACATAGAATGAAATCAATATTATTCGTATTACTACGCGTATTTTGTTATTTTAACTACATACTCCTGGCGTTTCGGTTACTTTTCGGCAAGCATGATGACGGATAGACGAGATGTATTGAAGCAGTTTCAATTAAATGAATACTCGCGAAAGTCTTAGTTCCAATTATAAAGAATTATTATATTAGAATTGAGTTGTGCTTGGATGTAAAGGTGGCACTTCGCTTGGCGTTTGTTTGTTGTGTTCGGCTAACTAAGACCATGTGTGGAGGATTTATTCGTCTTCATTTGGCATATTTGCACTAATTAGACACATATACAAATAAGCAACATTGCGTAAAGAGGTGTTGTTGGCATGCCAAGTGTGGATGTCGTGTTTGCGCTATTTGCACTTCGTCCAAATATTTGGGCAAATGCGGCGAATACGCTACGCGAATAAACAACGTCAAGTGAACTGCCATCTTTAGACAAACTAATAGTAAGAGAAAATGTAGCCTTAGTTTATAATCTCACTATCTTAGTAAGATCTTATTTAGTCTTTTGTATTGTAGAAAATTATCTTTTAATATTGAATTACATATACAAGTTGTGTGAAGTTTAATAGTTCAATATAGATAAAGATTGCGCAATACATCCCTACTAATATTATAAATGCGAAAGTAACTCTGTCTGTCTGTCTGTCTGTCTGTCTGTCTGTCTGTCTGCTACGCTTTCACGCCTAAACCACTGAACTGATTTTAATGAAATTCGGTACAGAGATAGAGTTGACCTTGAGAAAGAACATAGGATAGTTTTTATCCCAGACTTTTGAAAGGTTCTCTTGGAAACGCGATATAACCGAACTCCACGCGGCGAAGCTGCGGGCGGAAAGCTAGTATGAAATAAATATCTAATAATGAACTAATTAGTGAAATGTTACATTGTTAAGTAAAATTTTGTTAAAATCCTTAATATTAAAATTTGTTAATACAGTACCAACCTACTAAAATAGTAACAAAAACATACTTTTAATAGGTACTGTTAGAAATAATTTAGGCAGTACTTCCAGTTAGATGTTTAATGCTCCACAATATGTAACAGAATCCCCAGTCTAAAACTTGTATCCTATTTATAATATTCAAAGGTAACATATTTAAGTGAGGGTAAGTTATAATATCATACAAAGGCCACTAGTCAGTGGTGGCCTAGTGGTCAAAAGGTCCGCCTCTCATGCATGAGGGCGCGGGTTCGATCCTGGCAACAACCAATGTGATTTTGTCGTGTCGCCTGCCTGACATCAACCCTCTCTGGGAATACTCCCAGAGAGGGTTGATGTCAGGCAGGCGGCTGGTCGTATAAACAATTAGCCAAAACTATTCACAACATGTAAGGCAGACCCTGGCTAAACCTGGGAAGTAGCCAGGTAGAAGAAGAAGACAGAGGGCGCTAGTTAACTACCATAAGAATTCCCAATTACTACCAGAATATAAATAACGTTAAGCTTAGAATTATAAAGTAAATCACAACTAAATAATTACATATTACCAATAGTACATACTTAAATCAAATTAATTATGTATTTGTATATAATACTTATGTAACATATAAGCACTTCTTCCCCATTTCATATGATTCATTTAATACAATATATTTTACTGACACGTGCAAGATAGTTGTATCCGCTATGGATGTTGATAAAATGTTGCGAACTCTGCATTACAAATGTTTTTCTTAGTTATATGTAATATGATTATAATGTATATATATATCTAGAAGATTGTGAAACTTTAATAAAAATATATTATCAAGAAATTAATGAATGGTTTAAATGAAACTAATATTTTTTGGATATACTACTAAAAACAGTCGCGTAGTATATCCGAAAAATATTAGTTTCATTTAAATGAATAAAACTCGCGAAAATGTTTAATCTTATTATTCGATGGTTGTCCAAATTTTAACATTTAATAAGCTATTAAAGTACATTAGTTTTGGATAATTTATTATTTCTAAAAATGGGCTGTTGATTTTGGTTACAATTAACAATCAAATAAAACTATTGATATATGTAAATATATATTTTATTTAACGTATGTATATAAATTTTGTACATAATATATATGTATATAAATATATTAAGTTATAATATTAAAAGACTACATAATTTCAAACTTATTACTAACAGTTTCAATTCTTTATTGAGGCAGTATTGTTTAAAAATGGTTGTATTTTGTAGAAATTCATAAAAAAATATTCTTCAAACAAATTTTCATAATAATGACAATTATATTTTTTATAAAAGTATATTCTTTAAGTGATTTGAATAATATTAAATTCAAAAATTATTGTTCTTAAAGTGTATGGATATCTTAGAAAACAATTGTTATTGCAGATCCAAACTAAGTAATTTATAAAATATTTAACAAATACCATAAAATCTTAATTTAAGTTTACATAGTAGTGAAATAATTAAACCTTGATCTACAGCCTTCGTAATGAGGTATAGTTAAAACAATAACATAATTTTTAAGCCTTTCAATTTGAGCATTTACTATTATTATAATATGTGACTTGCTATGAAAAATGATGAGGTCATCGGGTCTCAAGTGTCGGCATCTGAAACATAAAATGAAATAAAATTAAAAATTTCTGAATTTTAAATTCAAAATATGTTTTACAAACTAAAAGTTACTGTAAATATTTTTTTTTGTCATTGAAATTAAGAAACTTTCAAAGTTATGTCGAAATCCATTCAAAGTTATTTATCGTGCCTTTATCTGTATATATATCAACTAATATATGGCTTATTAATGATTTATACATACATATATAGTAATATTACTATGTTATGTTCCATAAGTAGTCTATTTCTATATGGATGAAGTTAATGATAAAAAATTCATGAATTATTGTACAAGTCTTTACAAAATTGTATCCATTTATATGAAATAGTCATAAAACTCATATTTTTCAACAAATGTTTCTTAATCTGCATTTATTATTGTTTCTAAAATTAAATTAATGTTGAGCTAGTATTTATATTTATAATTAAATTAAAAAGTATGGAATAACACATTCAATGTCGCGACCAGGATTTGAATCTGTAACCTGATGGTTAACTCGTTTCACTTGTTTTACAAATTTAAATCATCGTGTCCTCGAGTCGGTGAATTAATTTTCATATATTGTTTAACATCAAAATTTTAGTAGTTTAACATCGTTTTCTATTAGAAAGTTTATATATATACAGCTGAAGTCACATTAATATTTTTATATATCATCATCATCAGCCTATCAGAGCCCACTGCTGAGCAAAAGTCTCTTCTCACATGTAGAAGGTTTGAGCATTAATCACGATTGCTCAAAACGGATTGGTGATTTTAAACTTATAATCTGAAATTATAACTCCAGGTTTCCCCACGATGTTTTCCTTCACCGTTTCTCAGTCAAAATATATTTTTCTAGTTGTTTCCGCGAATATATAATAATGTTTGCAGAATAAATAAATAAAAGCATCAGAAGCGAGGTAATCAGCGTCCGCTATCAGTGACACGTAAACATTCAGTACAAATAAAGTAAGTTCAAAGTATAATTAAGATACGAGGTTGGACGATCTTGAATCACTTGAACTCATATGAATATTATGATCGATTTAATTTTACAAACGGTTTCATTTGTTTCATATAAAAACATAAAAATAATAATAATGTATAAAGTTTGGATTTTCCTATTTGATTTTAAAGTATTTAGTTAAAATTTTATTGCTTGCTTCACTGATTATCATATCACAATTGTATGGGACAAATAATCAAAACTTCCATATATAAAATTTTTGTCTGCTTGTTCTTTTGTTTCGGCAAATCTTTGTAACGAATGGAGTGATTTTGATAGGAATTTCACTCGCAAGTAGGTGATGTCATAAGAAGTCATTTAGGTTGCTATGTGACTGATTTAAAGAAAGGGAAGCTGTGATGTCGACCAAAGTGTTATCATTTATTAAATTATTTGTTTTTAACAGAAAGGGCTATGACCTGGGTTACTTCCATTGTAACCAAGTCAGGATTTTCCTAAAAGATCTTTTAAAAAATGAATGATACTTCATACAGATGACGACGTGGATCTTAAAAGAGGTTTAATTTGTGAGCAAAGACCAAGACAATAGCTAGTTGAAAAAAATATATATGTCAGGTTGAAAGTGACTAAAATTGGTTTTCCCGAAACACTTTTGGTTTATTTATTATTCAATGTTTATTCTTAAACGCCAACTGTTGGTAATAGTTCGCAAAGGTAATAAGAGTCAAATATTTTTGGGTTATCGTAATATATCGGCCATCAGAAGGGGATAAGCCAACATGCGATCTTGTGAGTAGGATCGTAAACACTGTCTCTGATAGCCTTCTTTTCCTGTTTTATTATTGCCTATAAATAATTATAATTATTACATCTTGTTTATAAGACAAATGTTTCCGAACTAAAACTAGAATTTTATAACCAAGAAGTTTTCGAAACAAAAAAAACTTATTTTTTTAAAATCCACTCCTCAATATTATAGCCAAGCTTAAAACTATAGAATTTTTTTAACGTCTTATTTATTAACATGACTTAATTTTGTTCTTGATTAAATCCTGTTGTTACTCTTAATCTTGCACTCATTAATAACAAGTATACAAGATGTTGTTCTATAAAAACACACGTGTTTATTCTAAGTATTATCAATAATAAACTGGTTAATTAATCCTCATTAACAAAATAACAATGTTTTATTTGTTACATGATTCACACATTAAGGGTTAAGGTTCCTCATAAAAGTACGAGATAGTGAGAAAAAACATGCATTTAAAAGAAAGAGTTTAATATTTGATAAGGACAACAAAGACGTTGAGTCAGGAGCTATAAATAAAACAAATATAATGTAAAAATTAAGACTATACTCAATTGCAGAAAACAAATTTTACCACATAAATATATTATAATAATTAAAGTGTAAGCTAACGGTCATCACATTAAAGAATTTTTTGATATCTAAGTCTTTTTATTGTTATTGTAAACTACATATCGTCGGAGATAGTGCAAATCCGCGTAACTACCATTGGATAATTCCGCGTATCTACATATATTGGAAGCAAATTATCAGAAGAAAATTTGAGCTGAAGTATGTTCTATACTGACGACTTTGAAAGGTAATGTTTTCATAGACATTAATAAATTAAACACTTAATTATTACTAACTGTGAACAAAAGTACCTTAAAAGTCGTTAATATGCAAAATATTTCATTTTGAACTTTATTCTGTCAATGATCACGTTTTCTGCAAAGTAACCGAAATGTTGGGAGTATCTAGTTAAAAAATAAATAAATAGCGTACTACATCCGAAACTATTAGTTTTATTTACGACAAATTTTTATTTAAATTTTAATGAAAGGTCAAACTCCCCGTCTGTGGGAGTCAATACGCCCATTATAGTCCAGGCGAGGAAAACCCCTATCTTCCTTAAATTTACTGCCTTACGCCGGGCCATTTTGAACCGGGATGGTCTTTAAGAGGCACCAATTTACGATTGCACTACGGATTTATATATTGCAGTTGACTTTATTAGTTTTGTACTTGTATTCAATAAATTCACATTCTAACTCTACAGTTTTATTTCGAACAATTTTTAATATAATTATAAGTTTATCGAGATGAGCGAAAAATAAAATAAGACTAGTTAATACTAATGAACGACTTTAGAAATAATAAATTAAAAATAAAGTTCAAGAATATTATTTTAAATTTTCTGATAAATCCAGAAAAAGAAATTGATGGAAGGATGCTTTAACTGATAACCCATTTAAGGATTAAAAGAGTACAATTAAATAAGATATATTTATTACTTTACTAACTCATATTTTAACGAAACAGGCGAAAAATATCAGACAGTATGTCCGTCTGATCAAATGAAATGAGATGAAAAAACATACGCAGGCCAAACGATTTACGTACAATTTAAGTTGGACGTAAAACGTGAAATGGTTGTAATTTATTGAGACTCAAAATATTCTATGCACCAAAGACTGAATTCAACTATCACATATTGTCTGCGAAAGGCATTTAGTAAAGTAATTGTAAACATTAAGCTAGTATTGAGAACTTTTTATTTATAAATATATGTAGGTAATGAGATCTAAGATTATCGTGAGTACTCATTTAAATGAAACTAATATTTTCGGATTTACTACGCGACTTTTTATTTTTGACTATAAACTACATACTCCCGATGTTTCGGTTAATTTATAGCAATCGTGATCGTTTATATGTAGGTAATTTTGTATTTTACTAAAATAATACATTATAAAAATAAGATTCTATTACCTATCTATTTTATTGCTATTACGGCTACTAGATTAAATTTTATATGTTTTATAGTGGAATCCAACGACACGTATCTATGTTTCTAATTGAGTAAAATATATTATAAAACTTTAAAAAATGTAGGCTTTGGCTATAAAATGACGATAACTTATATATCTTTTACTAATAATATGTTTCCAAAACCATAATTGATTTAATTTGGGATCGCTAGGACGCCACTTTTTTGCGAGTCATGTTATACCAGGAATTCATAAAGTAAGTACGATAATTCTTATTAATAACCTGAAAATGAATATTTAATTCATATGAATTTGACATTACGTGTACTTTATATGCATAAAAAATAAACAATACTTCTTCAGCCATGCCAAAACTTCTATAATACATTCTGCTCAATGAATCCTAGTCTTACTCATTTCGGTTTTTGTATGCCAAGCTCTTAAAAAATTGTCACAAATTATTTACACCTAATAAATATAGTAATGCCAAGTAGGATGAACTAAATACAATAAATATTCGGGTTTTCGAGGCGTCTTTTATTTTTTACTGAAACTTGGCTGCAGTCATAACTCTTGGAAATTTGAATGGAAATCTGAATTATAAGAATATTCAGAGGCATTAAGTATGCGTTCTGTAAAAAGTTTAACATTAAAATTTATTTTCTCTAAATGTTCTTAATGTTCTCCATGTGAAAAGATTCCTTTACTCAGCAGTGGCCTCTTATAGGCTGACGATGATGATGAAGTGTTATTTAGTATGTATTGTGTAATTTTACTGTATTTATATGGGACGAAACCTCTTTGAATTCAATGGATTTACCGTAATTTCTATCTAATGTTGTTAAAACTCATATCTTAATTTTTTTGTAACAAACTTTTTAAGATATTATATTGAAGCGCGCGCATCTCTGGCATCTCGCCAAATGTGTTGGTTACACAACTACACCCAGTATAGGTTTAAGGATGTTTCACAAACGTACATGCAACATTCTCGTATAGATGATCATCACTAAGCAATTCTTTATATCATTGGCTATTTGGCTTTGATGTTAGGCCTGTGTCTTCAACAGAAAATCGTTTATGATAATTTTTACCAGGATTACTTTATATACGTCCACTCTTACAGATTGTAATGATGAAGCAAAACAGATAGTGAAGTATTATCTTCTTCTGTATATAGTATTATATCTTCTAAAGAAGAAAATCAGCACTGACGTCATTGTTAGAATATTCAGATGATGTTAGAGAATTTACAATAATTTTTTTTTCATATTTATTTTACAATCAAATGACGTCATGTGAAATAAAAAGAATCCAACAAAATGAAGTTAAAATTAAAAAAAACTCAAAGTAATACTTTTCTTATAAATTTAAACATTAATGTTTCTTAAACAAGAAAGTGTAGACGGCATGGTAAAAATATATATAGATATGTATATTTAAAGAAAAAAAGTAAACTAATATTCCAGAAAAACAAATGATTAACATCCTTAACTTATTTTTTTAAATATATGTAAGTAAAATATTGTAAAAACTAAGTATTAAGTAAACTTACATTCATATTTAATTTCTTCATGCCGTTGTGTAAGCTGTGATAGTAAAATCCTGAAATTAAAAATGACTTTTAAGATTTTTGTGACCTATATGCCAATTTCGTATTAAATTTTTCATATTACATATTTCTCAATTAATTCATGGAACACCAGTTTTTTGTTAATTTGATGTCATCTAAGTCTTTAAACTACTCTGAAAACACTTTTTTAGCCTTATGTCATATATAGACTTTCAACAGAGTCGTCTTCGTGGAGTGATATAATAGAAAATGTTTGAGATTTTGTTACTTTCGATCATTCTTTTTCCCAAATTACTGAAATTTTTCATTCGTTTTCTTTCTAATAATATTCTATCTTTAATAGAAAAGTATCAATACTTACATTGTTTTTATTCAGAAACCTGAAGTGTCATACCTGAAAAATCGCTTAGCACAAACTTTTAAACAAATGCCGTATATTCAAAATACACAAGAAACCAAATTTTAATAATAAAGAAATTGTTCATGAAAAATAGAGTCATTTCGCCTTAAGTAATATTATATGCAAAATAGTCGTTTATAAGAATATACATAAAAGAACACAATGAACAAAGTACTTTTCAAATGGCCTTAATATTAAATTTGAATTAAATATATTTGTTAAATAACAGTATCACCCAACAAATTATCAGCCAATAACTCATTGGGCAATAATAACAAACAAAATAGATAATAAAGTAAAGTGACTATGTTTTATATAAAATATATGCATACATTAAGACAACAAAAAATATATCTTGCAAATAAAACAGGATTTTAATCTTCATTTATTTGATAATATAAATGACTAAGCTTCACTAAAACAACAAAATAAAGGTATTATACTTTTAATAAAATCTATATATTTAAATTTTAATGAAGTTACGACGACGTCTAGTCATTGGAACTATCCTTACAAAACTTATGGCCATTGAAAAGTACTCTGTTTTTATACGTCTATTGTGTATATGTCATGTAAGTAGTACCTCTATGTGCTATCGCAATGATTTCTCTCATGCTCTGTTCCGGCTCAGGTTGGTGTTCGGGCTGGTCGTCCGCAGCCCGAGCTAGTATCTGCCTCACGACGTCACGTGGCGGCGCCCCTAGCGGCGTCGGTCGCTCCGCCAAACCCAGCTACAAGATGAGATAACTTGAATTGAGTTGCAGTTAACCAAAAAGTGATAACGAAATTTAATGTAGCTTCCAGTGCTACCGTCATTCAAGTATCAACGTAAAGTCAAGTGAAAAACTGGATGTCTTTCGTGTTACCAATGAACTGTCGCTTGTCAACATCCAATAGGCTTGAACTAGTTTCTCTGTAATTTATGAGGATGCTGATTTTTTTTGTATCCTTATATATATATTTTAAAAGAGCTCTTTATTGAATTAAAAAAAGTAATACATATCTAAGTAAATTTTTTTTTTGATAAAATTTATGACATAACGTTATTTATTTTATTCTATTATATTTTTTTGTCATCGTTTTTGTAATAAATTTGTTGAATTCGGTTCAGTTAGTGAGAATAGAGCAGAAATGTACTTTAGAAAATGGTTTAGAAAATGTCTACTTCTGATATACAGCATGCCATGACATAAAAAATATTTCTGGCTGTCCATAGGCATAGACAAGCGTATTATCCCAGATCCGGTGGAATGATTTCACTATTTCCAACTAAACAGATGAAGATTTTCCTCCAAATACCAAATACCAATACCAAAGGATATATATACCAATACCAAAGGAGATACGAGTTCATACTATCTATTGAAGGTCCAAAAATCTTAGAGAGAGAGTAGATTACTGTAATAGCCCATTAGTAGTCAGTGTTAGTTAGTAATAGGCTTTGTATAGCCATATATTTCGGGATTTATGTACACAATATTAATCGTATACAAGATACCAACAAGCCTTGCATTAATTAAAATCAAAAAACTGATCTATCCGTGGCGCATATATCTTTATCACAATAATTAGAACCCTTTCAGACCCATCGTCTTTTTATAATCGAGGTCCACGAGTGTTTAAAAGCAAATGTTTAAAGAATGCTTCAGGATAAAGAACCCTAATCATATAGAGTTGAATTTTATGCAAGGAGTTTGTCCATAATGTTGTCGTCTTCTTTTATATCGTGGGATAAGCAGTCATCTCCAATATTTTAGTAACAATAACGCTTTAAAAACAGCGCAGTACTCTCATGAAACAGTATGTATCATTTTATTTCGTGTGCTTCCGTATAAAATTATTGCAATAACCCCATATTTGAATATAAAATAAATTCTACATTGTTTTTCATAAAATTACATACACAAATTAAAAAAAATAGATATTAAAGTTTAATGTTACAAAGATTCAATTCCAAAACACGATAAGCATTACCTTGGCAAGTATTTGTGTTTTGATGTGTTCTAGTCTCGCCGGCTCTGGCGCTGGCGGCTCGTGTATCTCGTGCGACCCGTATGTCCCGTGGGTCCCGTATGTCCCGTGCGTCCCGTGCGCCCCGTGTGTCCCGTGCGTCCCGTGTAGACCGTGTGTCCCGTGTGTGTGCTTGTGCGAGGCGGCGGCGGCGCGCGGCGTGAGCGCGAGCGCCGCACACAGCAGGAGGCAGGCGCGCATGGGCGCCTAGCCGAGCAAGTTCAGCCAGCGCCATCGACACCCAGCCCGGTCGACATCTCTTCGCCTGAAATAAATAACATTTAGGAAATGTTTTATGTGATCATCGTGATTATAGTACACTATAGTGGTTTATAAATATAATATTATTAGGTACTTATATCGTTGACACCTATTGGTAATCATACTGAATGATTGGTTCTGCTAGATATACTGGATTTGCATATAAAAGCAAAAACCTTATCTAACTATCAAGCTTGACATTACCTTCGAGACAGAATCTGTGATTTCGTTGGTCATCTATTTGAGTTTTCTTAAAATATATTATATGTAATAATATAATAATAATTAATTAAAGGTATAAAAATATGTTTCAGAAGTACATAGTTTCTAAACATTCTTTAAAGAATAAAATAATCGTTATATTTTTTTCACTTATTTATTTTATTTTAACTTTCTCTGCGATTTAGTTCACGTTTAATAACGAATGTCGAAATTGGTCTGAGAAAATTATAAACATTTAAGCAATTATTCTCTTTAAATACGGCTTTATCTTTCTAACTAAAACGCCAAGAGTAAAATATTGAATGGTCATTTCAAAAATACTTTTCATGTTTTATAGAAGTAGTAGCGTGACACACCTTCTCACTATTTATGCCTATTGAATTCTTCGATCTGTTTGGTATGACATTGAACAACTTTGTTATAACAATAATTCTAGGTTTTGTTGAAATGAAGAAAATATTTGTGGTTTATTTGCCAATATTAATTAGGGTTAAAAACAAATTTTTAAACAAGTTTAAAATTGGGTATCAGTTTCGATGTTTCTTAAGGGTATTTCTTTACTAAATCATGATCGTTACATCCCTACTAATATTATAAATGCGAAAGTAACTCAGTCTGTCTGTCTGTTACGCTTTCACGCCTAAACAAATGAACTAGTTTTAATGAAATTTGGTACAAAGATAGAGTTGACCTTGAGAAAGAACATAGAATAGTTTTTATCCCAGACTTTTGAAAGGTTCTCTTGGAAACACGATATAACCGAACTCCACGCGGGCGAAGCTGCGAGCGGAAAGCTATTAAGATATATCGTAAAATATTATAAAGAAATTAATTCCGTGTTTATTGTAAAACAATTTAAATTTTTCAATATTGTTCAATAATAAACCGTAATTGATTATAAGTATGATAAACAAGTTGCAACAATAATAATTTGAGAAAGGAAATAAAGTAGAACTAGTTGAATCAAATAAAAATTAAAGTGAAAACATTTTTAACTTTGAATAGACTTATTATTATCTACTTTATAACACTTTCTAGTTCATACCTAACTCTAATCACGAAAAGAAAAATATTCAAAAAGATTTAAGCAAAAACTGCGATAACTAAAGCGTTGTAATCTTTGAAAATTTCATTACAAGAGGTACATATTTTCCAAATTGACCTTTAAATTTTTTAATCCATGTTCCATCAGTTTGAATGGAATACTGATGAATGAAATACAATTTTTAATGTTTTTAATTTTCGTTCTTTTATGTATTATCGACGTGGAAATTTACGATCTCTGTTTTTTGTTTGAAGCCTAAATACTTTAGCATCTCCGTAATTAGATTTAAACATATTGAACTAGAATAACGACTGTTTCAATGTGATTTCAAAGTAAAACTTAATTTCAGAATGTTTATTCTACCACTATCATATGCTCAGTGAAACAGCTGTAACGCCATTTATAATAACTAAGTATTGCTGGTAATTTATTTTATGTAAGTTATATTATTTATTTTACTTCTAATTATTAATGTTTATAAGGTTAACTTAAGTTAATAGAGTTTAAATTTTAATAACGTTGTATTTCCATTACATATCCCCACATCAACGAGAGTGTATGTTTATCCTTATTTAATAAGTACGACGTATCTTAATTTTAATCCATACTAAAATCAAATTTGACGTTTAAAAACATTGTATAAATAACATGTTCTTTATTGAATTAAACAGTTAGAAAGAATGTTATAATAAAATAATAATAAATAAGTAAGTTCAACGACAGGTAAATTCACCCTCACAAGTTAAACCCATTATTCAAAGCCCGTGAACTGCGCTTAAAGTTCAAAGGCGAAGGGCGAAACATAGACACGTGATAGGAGGAAAGCGGTTATATATAAACTATTAGAGACAGTTATTGGTATTGGTATTTATTATAGTATTTATCCTTACTAATATTATAATGTGAAAGTAACTCTGTATGTCTGTCTGTTACGCTTTCACGCCTAAAGCAATGAACTGATTTTAATGAAATTTGGGACAGACATAGAGTTGACCTTGAGAAAGAACATAGGATAGTTTTTATCCCAGACTCTTGAAAGGTTCTCTTGGAAACGCGATATAACCAAACTCAACGCGGGCGAAGCTGCGGGCGGAAAGCTAGTATGATATGTTGGTAATCTTCTCCATGTAAGAAGAGCAGCAGTACACTCTGACAGGCTGATGATGATATTAGTAATGATTATAAAATATTTTTTCAAAGAACTACATATTTTTTTACAGTCATATTTTTTCAGACGTTTCATAACGAACAATGAGTTGCTTTTTAAATGTGTAACACGAAAAACTTAGAGTTCAGAATAATTACTAACGTTGATTAGAAAGTATTTTTACTGTTAGTAAAGTGTGTAAGTGTATATTGTTCAATGTTTCGGACCATGTTTAAACTTTTGTAATATTGAAGTGAGTATGGACTACTGCATTATTATTGTTCAATATTTTCATGTATAGCACACATTTTAACATTTATTGCATATTAATAGAGCCACGTCCTTTTCCAGTTTTATACGATGAGAAATATCATCCTTAGTTTTAATCTAAGACGACATTTAACTAATTCTTAAGGCTATTTCTGTACTTATTATATGTAGTACACGGATATGTTAAGCATAATTCGTTCTCCTTCTAGTATTATAAAAATATAGATATTTCATAAAAAATCCTTCGTCACAATTCATATTAAATATAATAGTAAAAATGTATATATTAAAATGGTAGGAAAACGTCGTGATTTCTTTTTTTGGGGCAAACATATTATTTTCGGTCTAACTGTTATCTTTAACGGCTGCAGTGACAAATTGTATTTTTATTACGAAGGTAACGGAAGGCTATTAACATTCTGATACCTTAATAGAATTACTGTTTTGTGGTTAACGTGATTTTCAGGAAAATATTTCTAATTTCTGTTTTCTGTGTTTGTAGTTTATAATTAATTTCTTGATGTATTCAACCTTCAAATATTATTATCATTTATTACTGGAATTGTTTTATTTTGAAGAATATTTATATTTTTGTAACATTTTAGTTTCGTCAATAAATGTTTCTATTATAAGGCTTGACCTAAATGCAACAATACATCCGTACTGATGTGACATTTGTGTGATATGTTCAAGTCACAAATAATAGGGAAAAAGAAATGAAAAAATAATGTTTGTATATGCTCTAAAATAAACTAACATAAAAAATTAACTTCTATTTGATAGATAATAGTTTAATTTAGTTAAAGATTTTTATTGAAAATCCAAGATATTGTTTAAGAAATCGTGGTCATTATTTTAAAGTTACACGAAAATATATTAAATTATTTGTATATAAAGTTATACGTGTGGTCTTTATATGGCAGTAATTTTGAAATTTAATCCGATGCTCTGATTACAATGAAGGATTGTATTCACGGATAGACGAAATGAAAATGTCTGTGAACAAAATGCCAGATCTTTTCTAGAGGACAGATGTACTAAGATTGATTGGATGGGCTATTGGATTTAAAAGATTCTTTTATATAGATTGCCGACGTACATACAATATTCTAGATAACTCTAAATGTCAGAGCCGACAACATAATCTTAGAATTCAAGTTATAGTTAGGAAGTATTTAACTGTCATTATGGAGGAGTTACCTAAAAAAATTGATTAGGTAGAGAGAGGAGCTTGGACGGTGGAGGTGAGCGTTTAACGCGTGTTAGATAGGGTCCCTTAAACCTACACCTGGGTCACAAGTCCCAGGCACTGTTGAAGCTCCTCTCACTGCAATGCGATGGACCCGACACCCGCACAGTGAATACATTGAATGCTGAGGGTGAATACATGGAGTGCTGAGAGATTTCGCCTCTTTGGATGTAGATGTAAAATAAGATGGAACTGACCGACATTTTAATCTTTAAAAACTGTCGTAATGATAATTATTAATGCTAGCTTATTAATTCCAATAGTGACAATTGAAGTTACTTACTAAAATACGTATCATCAGGGATATTAAAAATATTAATTCATATTTCATTGCCCATGGACCAAAAGGTTGTTTAAAATTTATTAAAATTAAATTTCGAAGAGAGAAAAACGAAATTTTTAACTTATTTACCGAATATTCTCAATTAAATCATGTATTAATTAATTATTATTATTTATGGTTGAAATATATTGTGACACTTTCTTAAATTTCAATGTCATATTGTATTCCGTTTATAATGAAATCAAAATAATAAATGATCTTTAAAACATTCACACTTTACATTATCGACTCACCTTTTTAAAAACGTTTCATTAATTCATAAACTCGTCTTGTAATTTTTTATTTTTTATCAAACTATTCAAATGAACGTAAAATTTTTATTACAGCACCTTAACTAGGGCTGCCAACGATCGGATCTGTTGAAGGTAGTTTGTTAACTGAGAGGTTCCAGCCCTTACGCCCAATATATACCGTTGTCATCCCACACAGTAATACCGCTTTTACCAAAATAATGTTTGATCGATACACGAACAATCTGTATAGAATATGGAAGTGTCTTAACAAATTAATTTAAAAAATATAGAAAAATTATGGTTGGTGACAACTGAAGATTTTTGTTGGTGTTACAAGGACTGAAACATTTGAAAGTTTTAATTATTATTTTATCAGATTAATATACATTCTATTTCTTCTTTCATAATTTATTATAAATATAAATAAACAC